CTGTCTAGCCGAGATTCAAATATATTACAAGCCAGAGGAAGGCGGCCTCCAAAAAAGAGCACGAGAAAGAGAGAGAGAGAGAGAGAGAGAGAGAGAGAGAGAGAGAGAGAGGGAGGGCGAAAGCAAGAGAGATTGGAAATGGGCTGTCGAAAATTTAGCCCGATAGAAAGCAGATGGATTAGAGGCGGTTGATTTGCTAGGGGTGGTAGCCAGCAAAAGAAAATTTGGAAAATTCCGAATTGCGCCTGCGTACGTTGAATTATGGCCACGATTTCTAAATAGGGCATCTAGAAATTGGCCCAGAAATTAATGGGATTGGGAGTAGAAGAAACGGTAAATTGCAAAAAATAGCATCGGCGAATTCGCAAGAACCTCTGCCAGGCTGCCCTGATTTAGAATTCCTAAAAGATCATTGCTAGCTTGCCTTTCCAAGTAGAGCTCTTCGTTCCACCAAGGTCTCAAACCGACTCTTCCTTTCTTTTTCCTAAACTTTAAGGATTTCTACTTTCTTCTCTCGCCGTGTCTCTCTCTCTCTCTCTTTCTCTCTCTCTCTCTCTCTCTCTCTCTCTCTCTTTCTCTTTCCCGCTCTCTCTCTCATTCTCTCTCTCTCTCTCTCTCTCTCTCTCTCTCTCTCTCTCGCTCTCTCTCTCTTTTTTTCGCTCTTTTCTTTCCCGCTCTCTCTCACTCTCTCTCTCTCTCTCTCTCTCTCTCTCTCTCTCTTTCTCCCCTCTCTCGCCCCAATTCACTAACGATCGCTGCTAGCTTGCCTCCCTTCCAACAGGTCCATAGTATCGCCCCGTAGTCCGGGAATAATTTGTGGAAATTTGTCGAAATCCCCTCGGGACCGGGGAGCAAACACCCATAATTGAGACAGGCTCCTCGACTCCTTCCCCCCCGGGACCCCATTTTTCACCTACGAGGGCCGAGTAGGGGAGCCCCATTCGCATAGTTTCAGATGCTAACTAGAGAAGGAGCGGTTCGTGAGTGATATTAAAGGGGCTGAGAAGTCAGGGCAAGCTAGCAGAGATTCTTTAGGAAAGGGCAGGCTGGCAGAGATTCTTTAGGAAAGGGCAGGCTAGTCGAGGCTCTTTAGGCTTATCACCAGCTTCACAATTTTTTCTACTCCACGCCACGACTACCGTAATCCCGAGTTGCCCCCCTTGCCGCACCTAGACAGCCAAATGCAAATCGGCGCATGATGGGGCTGACGAGGGCGCCTCGCGCCCCCCCCGACTGCCCCCAACTCCCTGGGGTCAGATTTTAGCGTTTTGGCCGCTGGCTGGTGGGTGGCTGAGGGAAAAGAAAGGATTGGGCCCATGGCTAAGGGCCCAAACTGGCCCTCACCACACCAAATTCATCATTGCCAACACAATCCACTGCTGCTCAGGCCCCCTCGAAAATCCACTGGGGACCCCGGGGGGCCCCAGTGGATTACGGTAGCCGCGAGGGTTGGACTGGAAAAACAAAGATTTGGTCTGGAAGTGGGAAATGGGCACAGAACCTCTGCTAGCTTGCCTTAAATTTGACGGTTTTGTCTAATAACCCCTGCTAGCTGGTCCAGAGTTGGGTGTTTCCTAAAGAGTTACCGCTAGCTCTCCTCAGATCTCATTTCGTTCCTAAAGGATCTTGGCTAGTGTCCCGAATCCTAAAGGATCCCTGCTAGCTCGCCCTCCAAAATTCCCAAATGATCCCTGCTAGCTGCTACACTGCCCCGAGTATTTCAAATCCCATAGGATCTCTACTAGCCTGCACCCCATGTAGGGAGGTAGCAGAGAGCATTAGTGAGTTCGGTGAAGATTGGCAGGCTGGCAGAGGTTCTTGAGGAACTCAATCCAATTCCTGATCCCTTAAAGCCACAAACCACGCCAAAATTGCGCGAATTTACTGAGGCTGTCACAATTCCTCCGGGGAGGTGGTGAGCAGGCAGCTAATTTGCATAATCGGACCTATCGTCTATCATAATGCGATCGTTGCCTGGGGGGAGTGACAGAAGAGAGATGGAGAGAGGGAGAGAGAGAACGAGAGAGAGGGAGAGAGAGAGATGGACAAAATGAATGAGTGACTGACAGCTGGAAGACAACAAGTCGCCTCAAATTAGCACCTCAGGGTGATGAGCCCCCAGGGGGAGGGAGATTTTCGCGCATTAATGGATCAACGGGCACGCTGGCAGAGATTATTTAGGAAAGGGCAGGCTAGCAGAGATTCTTTAGGAAAGGGCAGGCTAGCATAGATTCTTTGGGAAAGGGCAGGCTAGCAGAGGTTCTTTAGGACCTCTGCTAGCCTGCCCTTTCCCGAATTCCCAGACTATAGGAATTCGACTCATCCATCTCCAAACAATAATAATCGGATTTCCCTCCCCCCGGACATCCCATTGGGGCCCATATTTTGATGGGGGCCCCTCAAATACTGGGCCCTATGATGGGCCCCCAAATTGCCCTAGCCTTATCGGGGCCCATGATCAGCTGCTTCAATTCTTGGGCGCCCCCCACTTCTCTGCCCCTTTAGGGCCCAAAGCAATGGAGGCGGTGGAAGAGATAAGGCCCCGGTCGAAAATTCCCAAAATATACTCTCCAGGGCCCAATCCCCGGGCCCCATCATCCATTTCTGGGCCCTAGGCCTTGGATTCGCAACATAAGCGCTTCCGGCGATAGTATTAGTCCGGAATTTTGGTGTATTATGGATCAGCCTAAGCCCAAGCTTATGCCAAGCCTAAGCCTAAGCCTAAGCCTAAGCTTAAGCCTAAGCCTAAGCCTAAGGCCAAGCCTAATCCTAAGCCTAAGCCTAAGCCTAAGCCTAAGCCTAAGCCTAAGCCTAAGCCTAAGCCTAAGCCTAAGCCTAAGCCTAAGGCCAAGCCTAATCCTAAGCCTAAGCCTAAGCCTAAGCCTAAGGCCAAGCCTAAGCCTAAGCCTAAACCTAAACCTAAACCTAAGCCTAAGCTTAAGCCAAGGTCTGGCCTGGGCTTGTTGCAGTTAGAGTGGATTACGCGTTTCCTAAAGGAGCCCTGCTAGCCTGCCCTATCGAAATTCTCAAAGTCTACCGGCTGGCTTGCCCGAAATGCTTCGAAAACCGGGAAATCTTCGAAAGAATCACTGCTAGCCTCTCCGAGTCTCAAGTGTCCCAAATGATCGCTGTTTGCCTGCCCGAGCTATATCCATTATTCCGTAACAGTCTCTGCTAGCCTGCCGCTTTCACTCGTCGTGCCTCAAAAATCTACGCTAGCATGCCCTGGTGCCGGTTCCCACAGGAGTCAATGCTAGCCTGCGCGTAGCCCAAAAATCCTAAAGGGTCTTATCACGAGAATTTCATCACGTTTTTTCATAAATTCGATATAATAATCGCTGGACTCGTTTCCTAATTCCCTAAATTGGGCTCCAAATTTTCATCGGCCGATGCTCTTCTTGGCAGAAATAAATTTATATGCAAAATTGGGGCGACCCGTTGTGGGTAGTGGGGGTGTAATCGAGACCGTAGACGGATGAATTGCAATTCCATCTTCGTCGCCCCCATCGGGTAGAGAAGGGCCCTTTTTGGCACCGAGCCAACTGGAAGACAAGGACCGGCAGTTGAAATTCGAGCAAAATGGATTCGTCTCTTTCGCTTCGGGGTCCCCAGAAAAAAAACTGATTGAAATTCATGGATTGACCCCAGCAAATGGAGGGGGGATTGGATTGGACTTGGGATTTTACGGGGCGAATGAAAATTTGTCAAGCGGGTGACTAGCAGAGATTCTTTGGGAAAGGGCAAGTGAGCAAAGATTTTTTGCGAAACAACAGGCTAGCGGAGTTTGTTTCAAAGGCAGACCAGCAGAGATTCTTTAGGAAAGGGGAGGCTAGCAGAGATTCTTTAGGAAAGGGCAGGCTAGCAGAGATTCTTTAGGAAAGGGCAGGCTAACAGAGATTCTTTGGGAAGGGGCAGCGGAGCAGCTAAAGAATTAGGAATCAGCTCAAAGCCAGGCAGGCTAGCAAAGGTTTTTGTGGACTTGTGCCTTCCTAGTCCCTTTAAAGAGGGCTTCCCAGCTTTTTTATAATTTCGCCAGCCAGTTTTGGTGTTCTTCGAGGCCTTAACGCCGAAAATAAATTCCCCTTCGCAACTTCTCCATCCCGGGTGGTTGCTTTTCACTGGTTCCTCGAGATTCCGGGGTGGGCCCCACCCCGGAAAATGGGTCCCGGGGGGGGAAATTTGGGGCCCGCCAGGGCTGGAAAAACCCGCCCCCTCGGGGTGGCCATTGGCCCGAGGGCCCATGGCCACCCGGGCCCGCCAGGCTAATGCTTTTCCTTCCCAGTGGCCGGAAGCCCTGCGTTTTTGGTTCGGACCGGGGTACGGTAGCTCGTTTTTTCATTTTTTGAGCGGTGATTTTTTTGAAATCTCTTTATTTTGTGAGCATCTTTGATTTAAAGTTATGAAGGGCGTTGAGAAGTCTTTGTGTTTCCAAAAAACTCTCGGCTAGCTCGCCTTTCCCAATTTTGTGGACTCGCGGTTACTGTAGCTCGTCCTTTGCGATATCTTAGATGCTGAAAATACCGTTTCCTAGTTGCGGATTTTCCTAAAAGATCGCTGCTGGCTTGCCCTTGCTCAATTTTTTGATCAGGTGGTTACCGTAGCTCGATTTCTGTAACAGTTTTAGCAGTCTTGAGTTTTTTGTTGATTTTTGCTGTTTTGAGGAATTTCCGGGATTTAAAAAAGCCTGTAATGTCTAGAAAATACGCACAATTCCTAAATTATCTCTGCTACTTTTCCCTTATTCCTGTGAAAAATGTTGTTTTTCCGAGATTCCTAAAAACTATCTGCTAGCCGGCCTCCTCGAATCCGACCAAAAAAATAATCCTGAAATTTCTCACAATTCTCTGCTAGGCTTAGGTTTGGGCTTCGGCTAAGCTTAGGTTTAGGATTAGGCTTTGGTTATGCCAATTTTTCAGCTTCGAAACCATGTTCGAGAACGCCGACCTGACGCAGATGTGGAACCAGTATTGGCAGCAATCGCTGGCTAACCAGACTCGTGAGTTTTGTGGCTTAAAGGGACCCTGAAGTCGAAAATCTATGGCTACATGGCAAGATTTGCCCTTCTACGAAGCTTTAAAGAGCTGACAAAATAGAATTATGTAAATTATTCCATTGTGCAGCTCTGTTGTGCCCCGCATCCGGGTCGGGTGACGCCGAGTCTTCTCCGAGTCCTGCCGTCACGCCAAAAACCCCGGATGGAGAGGGGAATAACGTGGATATGGGGCAGATTGGTGAGTTGGAGAGAGAGAGCGAGAGAGAGAGAGAGATTTTGGACTTTTTGACCTTCTGACTCCAGATTGCCACTCGATGGACTCAAAGCGGAGGCGCACGAGGACGAATTTTACGGGCTGGCAACTCGAGGAGCTGGAGGGTGCCTTTGAGGCAAGTTTCAATTTATCCAAAAAACCTAAAAACAAATTTTTCAGTCTTCTCATTACCCGGATGTGTTTATGCGCGAGTCGCTGGCGATGAGGTTGGACTTGCTGGAGAGCCGGGTTCAGGTTAGTTTTTAGGATTTATGGTTGAGGAAACTAGCAGTGGTGCTTTAGGAAAAGGCAAGCTGGCAGAGACTCTTTAGGAAAGGGCAGACTGGCAAAGATTCGTAGAAAATTGTGGCCTTATTTTGTCTTCCGAAGTCCTCTCATTAAATCCAAGAAACAACCCCGAAACCACGTAACCTCCCATCGGAATCTCTTCCGAAATCAGAAGTCAGAGACGTGCCCGGGTGGGCGGCCTAGATGGATGAGTTTCCAGGGCTTTCGTGGACCCTGTCCCTAATTTGTTCGCTCGTATCTACACGGAAAAATCTGCGGGCTACGACAATGAATTGGTGTCCCACCGCGTCGCCGCCGGAAAAAGCTACCCTGGCAGCGCCCTAAAAAATGTCCCAGATTAGGGGGGATGATAGTGACGTGGCGGGCGAGCTAAAAATGTAGCTTTTCTTGTCCGATCTGGTACCTAAAGAATCTCTGCTAGCCTACCCATAGTGGAATTTTTCAGGTCTGGTTCCAAAACCGGCGGGCAAAATGGCGAAAACGTGAAAATCAGCGCAAAATCGCGCTTGGCAACGGCCCAAGCCAAAAAGACCCTGGCGATGATGATGCGGTTGGTTTGGAAAAGGCTGTATTTAATCCTCGATTTTTTTTCAGCTCAAAAGAGGGCCCTCATTTTCGATTGAAAGCTTATTGGCAACGGCACGGGTCCCACGGGGAAGACGGCCGAATGCAAAGTATCCGAGGGTACAGGTGAGTTCTCTCTCTCTCTCTCTCTCTCGCTCTCTCTCTCTCTCTCTCTCTCTCTCTCTCTCTCTCTCTGAAATCGGTTCAGCCCAGTCTAAGCCGAAGCCAGGCCAAAGCCTGCGCCTGCGCCTAAGCCCAAGCCAAAGCCTAAGCTCAAGCTTAAGCCTAAGACTAAGCCTAGGCCTAAGCCGAGGCCAAAGTGGAAGCCTCGCCGTAGCCTAGGCCGAAGCCTCGCCGAAGCCTAAACTTAAGCCAAAGCCTAAGCACTCTTACAACACGTTTCAGGCCTGCAAAAACCTCTCCCCGTTGATGTTTCCACTTTTCCCTATCACCCAACCGGCCGGAGCCACGATTCGAGAGGCTTCACCTCCCCAAGTATCTCCAAAACCAAAGACGTCTGGACTTCCGGTTCCGGAAACCGAGGTACCGATTTTTGTCCCGCCTACCGTGCCGGAAACTGGCCTCACTTCACTGACTGAAGCCCAGGAAATTCCTATCGTAACTAGTGAAGCTCCGACTTTGCCTATTTCCACTTATCCCACTCTCGATTTCCAGCTTTTGAGTAGAATTTTTGGCATGGAGCCGCGGGGGAAAGGGCAGGAAACTGTTTAGGAGGCTTCGAAAGGGGTCTGAAATCTCTCTAGCTCTCTCTCTCTCTCTCTCTCTCTCTCTCTCTCTCTATCTCGCACTTTCCCTCTGCTTCTTCCATGCTTTTATCCCGCCTGTGATCCGCCCCGATGAGCGATAAATATTTTGCACGAGTTGGGATAAAAATGCTGTAATAAACAGTATAGTAATATTTCTGGTACACTCCGCAAAAATACTCTTGACGATTTCCGGAAATTGGCCACAATTTTGGATCCCAATTTCGAGGAGAGCGGTAGAGAACAAGAAACAGAGATCGGTCTTCAGAAAGAGAGAGCGAGAGGGCGAGAGAGAGAGCGATAGAGAGAGGGAGACAGAGCGTGAGAGACAGACAGACACACAGACAGCTCCCAAGCACTTCGGAGTCGATATTCTACCAAATTCCGACGATCTACTGCTATAATGCCGCTTTCAGAGTTAAGAAAAGTAAGTTCTTAGCCTTAAATTATAGCAAAAGCGAGAAAAAGAGAGAGAGAGATAGAGAGAGAGAGAGAGAGAGAGAGAGAAGAGAGAGAGAGAAAGAGAGATAGAAGAGAGAGAGAGAGAAAGAGAGAGAGTGAGAGCTAACAAGATCAACCTAGAAATGGCAAGGCCTTACCTTTGATATTGCCGCTGAAGAGATGCGGCGCCTCTACAAAACGCCCACGAATGAAGAAAAATTACAGTAGGTTGTCAAAACCACCAAAAAAATCAACTTTATGACTTAAAAATTCGTATTCTTGGATATTTTTTAGACTCTATTCCCTCTATAAACAAGCTGTGCATGGTGACATTCCACCACTGGACGAGTACGGTAAGTCGGGCAACTCTTAGGATCGAAAAGTCGCTATAGTAAAACCCGGCTCGGGGTTTGAGAAGGAAAAGTATGAGGCTTGGGAGGCGATGAGAGGTAAGTAAGATCTAGAATTTTCGGCAGGCAGCCTTGCAGAGATTCTTCAGAAAAGAGCAGCCTAGCAGAGGTTCTTTAGGAAAGTCTGCCACTTCTTGCAAAGCAGAATACGTGCAACTGGCCGAGGAGATGATCAAAAAGTACGAGCGGAACATCGTGCGGAACAAGTGGAATAGCGATGTTTGGTCTGTGGATTATTGAGGTGGAATAAATGAGAGCATTAAACAAAAAAAGAAATAGACATTTTAAAGGAACTTTGAAGGCAGATTCCAGGCAGGCGAAGAATCTCTGCTCGGCTGCCCTTTCCAAAAGGACTTCTGCTAACCTACTTTTTCCAGATTTCCTTGACCTTCCCATCCCCTTTAAAACAGCATAAACAGGTGGCATTAGTCCCTTTCTGCGTCGCCCTTTCCGGGTGCACGGCGAATTCAAATTCTATTTGCTGCACCCTCGACGGGGAGGGCACATTTTAGAATGTCGGCGTCGCTCTAGCCTTGTGAGTTTTTGAACCCGGAACCAATCGGAAGTTATCTATTTTTTTATTTTAATAATTTTATCCTGAGCCTAAGCCTAAGCCTAAGCCTAAGCCAAAGCCTAACCTAAGCCTAAGCCTAGCCTAAGCCTAAGCCTAAGCCTAAGCCTAAGCCTAGCCTAGCCTAAGCCTAAGCCTAGCCTAAGCCTAAGCCTAGCCTAAGCCTAAGCCTAAGCCTAAGCCTAAGCCTAAGCCTAAGCCTAAGCCTAAGCCTAGCCTAAGCCTAAGCCTAAGCCTAAGCCTAAGCCTAGCCTAGCCTAAGCCTAAGCCTAGCCTAAGCCTAAGCCTAGCCTAAGCCTAAGCCTAAGCCTAAGCCTAAACCTAGCCTAAGCCTAGCCTAAGCCTAGCCTAAGCCTAAGCCTAGCCTAATCCTAAGCCTAAGCCTAAGCCTAAGCCTAAGTCTAAGCCCAACCTAAGATTTTTCCGGATCCCCACTCCCCCATTTCAATTCGGAACCCCCCTAAAAATTCCGGGACACTACGCGGCATACGCCCGGACGGCCGGCAGCCGGCTCGCGGCTGGGAAATTTGATGCAAATTAGGGGAATCGGAGGCGAGCATGAGGGGTGAGGCCCAGCCAGGATTATTTTTTATGGCCCTCGCTACCCCACGCAGCCCGGGAATCCTTGTGGGCCAAATTTCACGCCCATCGAAACGTCATTTTTGTAGCGTTCCGGGATTCGGAAAATTGGCTACTGATCGGATTGGCCTACGCTTTCCTAAAGAATCTCCGCTGGTTTGCACTTTTTTTGAAGACTCTCTGCTAGCATCAGTTTTTATCTCTCTTTCGCTAACTCTCTAACGCCCTTTCGCTTTCGCTTGCTCTCTCTCTCTCTCTCTCACTCTCTTGCACTCTCTCACTCTCTCTTTCTCTCTCGATCTCTCCTTCTCTCCTTCTCTCGCTTTCTCACATAGGGCAAGCTGGCAGAGATTTTTGCGGAGCGAAAATTCATATAACGACAGAACCAAAATTTCGAGTTTTGTACACTTTTTGCAGGAACTGTGAATTCAAAGAAGCGAGCAAATATTTTTAGAAAACGTTCGCTATGCGCTCGCTCTCTCTCTCTCCCTCCCTCTCTCTCTCTCTTCCCTAGGCAAACTAGCAGAGATTCTTCCAGAAACCATATCCCCTTCATCGTCCCTTAAACCTGAATTCTAAACTCCCAAAAATGCAACCACCCCGGGGAATTGTTCTAATTTCAAACCCTCTCGACTGCTAGAAGAGGCCCCCCCCGTCGGGGTGGGCCCTCTATCTGTGGCCCCCCTGCCTCTGGCCATCGTCCTGTCGTAAGCGGTTTACGCGGCCAATTGGATTCGAGCCCCCGGGCCTAGGGCCCTTGGCTATGGCCACTGGGCCCTAAGGGATAGGACCCAGACTAGGGGGAAGAGCTATATTCTGTCTCCACACGACGACCCCTTCATCCACACGATCGCCCGAACCTTTGTGAGAACACAAGGAAAAAGGTTGTTGGGTCCTAACATTGGGCCCTCGGTGGGCCCCTTAGGTTTTCTTTAAGAGCTTCCCGTTCTTTTTGAAGAAGTTCCGGGGTTGGTGTTGCCCATGTTGGTGATGACGCCAGGGGCTAAGGCTATTTTTAGGGAGTTTTGAGCTGGGATTCCTCAAGAATCTCAGCTAGCCTGCCTTTTCCTCAAGAATCTCTGCCAGCCTGCCTTTTCCTAAAGAATATCTGCTAGTTTGCCCATTCTAAAGAATCTCTGCTAGCCTACCCATTCCTAAAGAATCTCTGATAGCCTGTCCTTTCCTAAAGAATCTCTGCTAGCATCTCGGCAAACTTTTGAATATAGGCAGGCGAGCAAAGGTCATTTGCGGAATTTCCTGAACTTGCCGTTTTCTTCCGTTTAACCATTTCTTTAACGAGTCGCCGCTTTTCCTTCTTTTCTTTGGCCGTTCCGCGTTCTTCCTCGTAGCTACTTTGGGTGCTCTTGACGAATTCGGGGGACCCCGAATTCAGTTCCTCACTTCAAATTTGAAGCGACACTAAAATGCTTCATAGAAATTCCTAAAAGATACGGCTATGTTTATATCTCTCTAGCCCTCTCTCTCTCTCTCTCTCTCTCTCTCTCTCTGTCTCTCGCTCTCTTTTACTACGCAACGCACCAACTGACGCAGCCTGTCCTCGAAATTGCGGCCCTATCTTTAGTGTGTGGTGGGCGAGCAAAAAACTCGGCTAGAGATCCTCGTTTAGATTTTATGCCTGGAATAGCTCGGTTCGCGGAAAATGGCCTGAAGCCATTTGGCCAAAACGGAACAGGTGATGCCGAGGGGTCTTTACCGTGGTGGCAAGCTATCAGAAATTCTTTAGGAAAGGGCAGGCTAGCAGAGATTCTTCAGAAAAACGCAGGCTAGCTCTTCCCATTTTCTGATGCCTCACTCGCTTCCGGATTTTTTATCCGGAATTTTTCTGCGGTTTCCCTGCGGCCGAATTTGAATTCCCACGGGTCGCAATCAAAGCTCTTCGGGGCGAGAGAACCCTAGCGGAATTTGGTGACAGATTTTCGGAGCTGACCGGCTCGTTGAAAAAAATTTGATTCCGAGACTTGCTCATTTTTGGCTTTTAAGTCGGCTTTTCTTGAAGAATCCCTGCTAGCCTGCCCTTTCCTAAAGGTTCTCTGCTAGCCTGCCCTTTCCTAAAGAATATCTGCTAGCCTGCCCTTTTCTAAAGGTTCTTTGCTAGCCTGCCCTTTCCTAAAGAATCTCTGCTAGCCTACCCTTTCCTAAAGAATCTCTGCTAACCTGCCCTTTCGTAAAGAATCTCTGCTAGCCTGCCCTTTCCTAAAGAATCTCAGCTGGCCTGCCCCTTCCTAAAGAATCTCAGCTGGCCTGCCCTTCCTAAAGAATCTCTGCTAGCCTCCCTGTCCCTCCCTTCCAAGTCTCTTTAACACACACGCCAAAAGCCAAAGCGTCCCCGGCTGTCCAGCCCTGGGATCTTTTTGAGCTTTTCTTCAAGCCCTTCTGGGGGCTATTCCGCGAGGCTCCTTTGTTTTTGACAGCCCCCCCCCCCCCACGCATTCACATACACACACCCCATATACACTCATTCACATACCTCCCTGGCGCTCGTCAACGACTTGCAGAGAGAGCAAAAAACCACCGGGCCCGAGTTCTGCCTAGGGAAAACAAAGAATTTTTTCGGGGCATGCTGGCAGAGATTATTTGGGAAAGGGTTCTGAAGTCATCTGGAGCTCGGGAGATGGGCGGGCTGGCATAGATTCTTCGGGAAATAGTCTTAAAGGGGCTGAGAAGGAGGGTCCGCAGACGAGGACATACCTTTTGAGAATGCGTTTTCAATGGATTTGCAAGTCCGGATGTGGCAGGCTAGCAGAGATTTTTTTGAAACCAGATCCGAGGCGAATCGAAAGTGGGCTAGCAGAGATCCTTTAGGAATCGGCTTTAAAGGTGTTAGGAGGGCAAAGCAAGCTAGCAGAAATTCCTTGGGAAGCGCACTAAGGGTAACTTCCTGACCAAAAGAAACGATCTCTACTTCGGAACCATGCTTGAAAACCTGGATATCGCTCTCGCTTTCTTTCTCTCTCTCGCTCTCTCTCTCCCCTATCTTCAACCCTTCCAGAACGACCACGACGAAATTCCGAAAGAAAAGACGATTAGCTGTGCCCGAATGCCCTAGGTCTAAGGCCCCTTTCCGGGGAGGACAACCTGCCCCTCCCCAACCCCGAGCCGACCGGATACTTTTCGGGCAATTTTCAAAGTGGACCCCAGGTTTTTAGGTCCGCTTTTTAAGGAACTACTTTTGCTGGGGTTCAAAAATTGTGCAATTTTTTCTCGGAAGCCTAAGCCTGAGCTTGAGCTGAAGCCTAAGCCTAGACCTATTCCTAAATCGGAACCGAAGCAGGCTGGCAGAGATCCTTGGGATTCATGCGTCTGGGCAAGCTAGCGGTGATTCTTTAGGAATGAGCGCCCGGGGCAGGCTAGCAGAGATTCTTAAGGAAAATCATCTAATTCAGGCCAAATAGCAGAGATTCTTTAAGTATTTGTGAGTCCGGGATCTAGCGAAGATTCTTTAGGAAACGGTGGACAAAGGCAGGCTAGCCGAGCTCCTTAAGGAAAATGGACTGTTTGAGGGAAACTAGCAGAGATTCTTTAGGAAAATACCTTTTTGGCTATTTTTTTTGCTCAATTTTCTGATGTAATTTTTTCAACCCTTCAATCGATTTTTGGTGTTTTCTGGGGCTAGCTAGCAGGGATTCTTTAGGGATTTTGGCACCTTTCATTGTTCATTGTGCTTTCAATTTTCTGATCTTGAGTGAAATTTCCTGGTGTTGTCGACCTGCCCTCTTCCAATCCCTCAACGAATCCCGAAAAAGGCAATAACCCTCCCCCTTCCCCTCCTCTTCCTCCACGCAATCCATCAAAAATTCCCGAAGACGTCTGTCTCTGCTGCCCTGCCCTCATCAGAATATTTTTTCACGTGCACCCCTCGACATTGAGCGAGAAAAAAATAATTAGGAATTTTTGTGGCTGTTTCTGACTTTCGGATCGTAATTTTTGCGAATTTAAGTAAGTTAAAATTCGCGTTTTTACTGGCTCGTTTCGAAGTCGTAGGAATTTTGCGCATTTTAGTGTATTTTATGATTTTTTTTAGAATTTACTTTTTTCTCCTCGCAGATTTTTCGATTTTTTTTTCTGTAGTTTTGACATTTCTAGGGTCTTTTCTTGCTTTTTCTCTTATTTCTGAGCCGCGCTGAAATTTTTTGAACTTCCCGTAGACGTCGCATCATTTCTGGAACTTCAGAAATTTTCAAAAATCCCTCAAAAATTCCCAAAATCCCCCAAAAAGGCAGCCATTTACGTTTGAGCAGCACACGGCCAGACGGGCACGCGATTTCCGCATTTTTAATAATTTTTCGTTTAGCGAAAACTGCGGGATGGAAAGGGGTTCCAGCTTTCGTGTTCTGCTCACAAAATTATTCCTGAAGGTTCGGCTTAAGCCTAAGCCTAAGCCTAAGCCTAAGCCGAAGCCAAGCTGGACTTTGTCTTTCACGCTCTTTCTCTTTCTCTCTCTCTCTCTCTCTCTCTCTCTCACCTAACGATGCATTTCCAGATATACGTCGCTCCAACTCCGCCCGGCTGGCCGACTGCGCATGCGCGAGGGATGTGGAGATGGCCACTCGGCCTCCGTCTATTGCTCATCTTCGGACCGGCGGCCCAGGCCGTTACGCTGAATATTGGTAGGGGGCGTGCTAGCAGAGATTCTCGAGGAAAGGGCAGGCTAAAATACCCTTTTTTCAGGTACGACCTCACTAAAAGGCAGCCTCGCCTATGAAAACCTTCGCTATGCCGTGGAGAGGTGGAACGGGGAGCAGGCCGTCCACACGAACGTCGCATTCCAAATTGCGTCGCCGACTTCGGCGCGTACGCCGATAGAAGAACGGGGTAGAGGAACTTATTCCTTCCTAGTACCTTAAAAATTTATATCAGGTTGTTACCGCATTTTTCAGTATGCGAGGTCGTACAGCACTCGATCGTCGCCCTGGTGATAGCCCCCAGCGAGCCGGCGCTGGATTCGCCGATGTTGCACAGTTTGTGTCATCATTTACAGGTGCGTAGTGAGTGGAAGAGCAGGCTAGCAGAGATTCTTGACGAATTTTTGGATTTCTAACAATCCCGGCTAGCCTGCTCTTTCCTAAAGGATCTCTGCTAGCCTGCCATTTCCTAAAGAATCTCTGCTAACATGCCGCAAGCTGCTCCGAGTCTAGTCTAGCCGAATGCCCCAAAAACACCCTCAATTCCAGATCCCGTGCGTGGCCGTCTCGAATTTCGGCCTTTCGACAACCGTGAGCGATTTCCTGACCCAGCTGGGACCGAGGAGGTTAGTAAGGGAAAAAGGCCTTAAATAGACAAGAAGCGAAAGCGAGAGAAAACGAGAGAGAGAGAGAGATAGAGAGAGAGAGAGAGAATGAGCAAGAGAAAGAGAGGGAGAGAGCGAGAGAGAGAGAGAACAAGTCATGTTTCCAATTTCTAGAGGGCTAGCCGCGCAAGCCACCCGCGAGTTCATCCACAACCTGCGGTGGAACAGCTTTCTGCTGGCATATCAGGCGGATTCCGGTACACTTCTTAAAGGAATTTTGAAGGCAAAAATCGACCCTTCCACTTGGCTAGGTCTCGACAGAACCATTCTTTCGTTTTCGGACCAACGTCCGGTCTCAAGGACAATAAGAAAACATCGAAGCATGTGAAATTTGGAGCGTCGCGTAGATGGCGAGACCTAGTTGACAAGAAAAGTCGATTTTTGGGATTTCTGAGCCTTTAAAGGAACGTTTAAGGCAAAAATCTATGAATTTTTGACTGTATTCCGTTGATTTTTAGACCTCGAGGAAGTGGCGCCGCTGATGACCGACCGGAACGATGATGATCATCTGACGATGCGGCCGAGCGTCAAGGTATGCAAAAATTCCTTAAGGATCTCTGCTAGCCCGCGCTCTACGACAAACAATTTTTTAGAATTTTAGCTGGGAAAATTCAGAATATCAATTCGGAAAGAATCTCTGCTAGCCGATCCCGGCACTCGTTTTCTCAAAAAGCCACGCATTGAAATTTCCCCCATAGTCTCTGCTAGCCGCCTTGTTTTCCTCTATGAATCTCTGCTAGCCTGTCCCGGATCTGATTTTCCCAAATATCTCTGCTAGTTTCCACACAGCATCCCTGCTAGCCTGCCCAAATCTCAAAAAAATACACACATACAAAATCCGATCAGGAATTCGAGCCGCCGGTGCACCGGATAAACGTGAAGGTAACCATCGGGTAGATCGACACTCTTCTTTGCCGTTTTTCCATGACCTAACAAGCGTTTTAAAGGGATTGGCAAGGCAAGGGTCTCGATGTCTATGGATTTCTTACCGATTTCGCCGCCCCCGCGACACGCAACGCAACGCAACGCGCAAGCCCCTGTGGGGGAGCGAACGGCGAGCGCGTTGCGTGTCGCGGCGCGTTGGGTTCTGGACTGTTAGCGGGAGGATACCAGGGCTGGTTCGCTTTTTCCAGATACCATTTTTCGCTATGGTTCTCTACAGCCCTCTAACAAAATATGAACAACTTTCATAGCATTTTACGTCGTTTTTGAATATGAAACAATAAAAAAATGAAAATTTTCGAAATTGGTTAAACTTTTGGTTAAACATGTCTGAAAAACGAACAAAAATGAAAGGAAATGATAAATATAGTGAGGTTGGGGTTCTTTTTTCTCTTTCTTTTGTAAGGTTTGAATTTTGAATCTACAAAACACAAAAAATTTTTTTGCTATTTTCTAGCAATCAAAAACTACTAAAAACACTTTAAAAAGGCATTAGTTATGATAAAGTTAGGTATAGGCAGAAAAACAAAAGTGGTTTCCCCAGCCCTGCGAAAAATCAGTCCCCCGCTAACAGCCCAGAACCGTGCATTGAAATTCGTTTAAAATCCATAGCCAAAAATCCACAGCCCCTGCCTGGTCCGTCCCTTTAAAATCGCAGCCTCGCCTCGCATGCGTGTTCCAAACAACCCCTCTATAGTTTCTCTGGGTGGCCGGTAGCTTTTTGAAAGAATTTTTAGAGGGACTGTGAAGTGTGGAAAATCGGAACCAAAGCCCAAAGCTTGGTCAATTTACAAATTCCGATTTTTCCACTTCCCGGTCCCTTTAAAACCAGAATTTGCATATTTTTTTCAGGTGAAAAAGTTGCCGCGGAGCACCGACGAGTTCGAGCCGTTCTTGAAATACATCCGGAACAAGTTGAAGCAGACGAATATCGTAAGTTTTATCGATTTCCTAGTTGTCTACCGTACTACCGCGTACTGTAGAACAGTACAGTACCGTATGCCGTAAAGAGTATCTTGTCGTACCTACTATTGTACTCCCAGGTGGTCCACTCGAACAACATCACCATCCTGTACAGCCTCATCCAGCTGGCCAGAGGGATGAACATGACCGAGCAGCCGTACAGCTACGTCTTTACGCATACGGTAGGGGGTGTCCTGGTGCCTTTAAAGTGCCTTTAAAACTTTCTTTCCAGGACCTCTCCCTGCTCGAAGACTTCCTCAACAACATTGGCCCGTTCCATTGTAACATCACTGGGCTGCAGCTTGTCAAGAACGACCCGATGATGAAGGTACGGTAGCGGTAGCGAAGCCTAAGCCCAAACCTAAGCCTAAACCTAAGCCGAAGCCGAAGCCTACACCTAAGCCTAAGCCTAAGCCTAAGCCCAAGTCTAAGTAAGTCTAACAACGCAATTTTTGAGACCGAGCTGGCCCTTACGACCGAGACAGTATCGGCGATCGGAGCCGCGGTAGCGAAGCTCCAAGAGGTAAGCTCTTTCTCTCTAGCTCTCTCTCACTCTCTCTCTCTCTCTCTCTCTCTCTCTCTCTCTCTCTCTTTCTCTCTCTCTCTCTTGCTATCTCTCTTTCTCTCTCACTCGCCGCTGCCGATTTCAGCTCGGCTACCCTCCGCGCCCAGCTTCATTACTCTGCGATGCTCGGGACAGTTGGAGAGACGGGAAACGAATGCACGAGGCGATTCGGAAGGTATTTTCCAGATACCATGGTCCCTTTAAACCGATTTTCAGCTTTAACGAACCACACCAAATGACGGGTGAAGTGGCGTTCGACACGTATGGACGGCGAAAAAACACGCGGTTTTATGGAGTCGGGAGAATCAATCCGTCTTTTGTGAAGGTTGGTGACTGGAGGCTAGCAGAGATTCTTTGGGAAAGGGCAGGCTAGCAGAGATTCTTTAGGAAAGGGCAGGCTAGCAGAGATTCTTTAGGAAAGGGTAAGCTAGCAGAGATTCTTTAGGAATTCGCGGCATCCCAGCAAGAGCGGTTTTTGATTGAGATGCAAATCTCAGAAAACGTATAGCAAGAAAAGTTTATTTTCATGTTTATACATGGTGGGGGGGCATATTTTCCGATGCGTTGTGGAGATCCGATTCCCGTCTTTTGGTGTACCGCGTAGTGTGCTTACTGACGAGGGCCGCCCATTTGCATGACGCGCTGGATTTCTTGGGCGGCGGAGGGGTTGGTGCGCTGGAGGTTCTGGAGGTAGGCGCCGATCTGCTTGTTCTTGTCGGCCATCGTCAGCGAGGTGTTGTCGGTGATCTGGAAAGGGCAGGCTAGCAGAAATTCTTTGGGAAACTGTTATGAGCGGAAGCCCGAGAAGCCTAAGCAAACCCCCACCTGAGTCAGGTCCTGGTCGGCCTTCTTGGCGGCGGCCGAAAGTCCCTGAACGGCTTGCTGATGCTGCTGCTTGGCCTGGGCCTTCATCTGATCCATCTGCTGCTTGAACTGCTTGTAGGCCGACTGAAAAGTGAAGGGTAAGCTAGAAGACATTATTTGGGAATGCAGCCTCAACCCAAGTCTCCACCGAAGCCTAAGCCGAAGCCTAAGCATAAACTGAAGACTAAGCCTAAGCCCGGTGGCTAGCAAAGATATTTCCGGAATTTTACTCACCTGAATAGACTGGGACTGCTGGCCGACCCAGGCATTGACCTTGTCGTCCATCTGCTTCTCCGTCATCGATTCCGAGTTTTGGAAAAGGGTCCGGAAGCTGGACTTGACGGAGTCGGAGGCCTAAATGTGGTTTTGATGCGAGAGAAAGAGAGGTAGAGAATGATAGCGAGAGGCAGAGCGAGAGAGAGAGCGACAGAGAGAGAGAGAGAGAGAGAGCGAGAGAGCGCAAGAGAGAGTGACAGAAACTTACCCCCTGGAGGAATGGCGGGTCCTGGCCTTGCTGACCTCCTTGCTGTTGCGCGATGACGACATTCAGGGCCACCAGAGCGAGCAGGGCAACGACGCACTAAAGAATGGGTTTTGGCGTAGGCTAGCGGAGATTCATTGGGAATTTTGGGGATCGGGGAGCTAGCAGAAATCATTTGGGATGCCTAGGTTTCAAGGAGAGGCTACCAAAAAGTTTTCTAGGCGCTTTGCGGGCTGAGAAAAGCTAGCAGAGATCATTTAAGAAACTTGCGAATTAAGGCAGGCTATCAGCGATTTTTTAAGCATTATGAAACCCAGGTAAACTAGCAGAGGTTTTTCAGGCAATTTCAAAACCAACCTGTCGAATCATTTTCTGAATCACTAATCGGTCGAATAGTGGGGTACCTAGAATTTGGGCGGCTTTTGTACCCCGGTGGAACGGCCGGGCCACGCCCCTTTTGTGAAAGGTGAGAGAGAGAGAGAGAGAGAGAGAGAGAGAGAGAGAAAGATGAAAAAAGTTGGACGCGCAAATAGGCGAAGTTTGGTGATCAAACGCCAGGTGAAAGCGAGCCCCCGCGCTGAGTTTGTGCGGTCCGTTTACAGGAGTAATGCGTACACTCACCCATAAAATAAACCTAGGTATTCAATGGCGAAAAATAGGGTGTTTTTGATCCTCGAACGTTTGCGGAGCCTAATGGAGTTGGGGCACGACACACTTTCGAGCGTCAGGGGTAGAGGGTTTCCCCAAAGAGCTCTGCTAGGCTGCATCCAGTTTTCCTAAATTTGTAAGCTCAAGTTACCTAAGAATCTTTGCTAGCTTCGCTCTAGAATTCTGGAAGGTCTTTGCTAGCTTGCCTGACCCTTGCTGGACGCGAACTTTCCTAAAGGATCTCGGCTCGCAGCCCCGTAGCAAAGCGAAAATGCGGGCGAGAGCGAGAGAGAGAGTGGGCAGGAGAGAGAGCGAGAGAGAGAGCGAGATAGAGCGAGAGAGAGATAGATAGATCGAGAGAGAGCGAGAGAGAGCGAGAGAGAGAGAGAGAGCGAGATAGAGAGATCGAGAGAAAGGCAAAATTTTAGTACAACAGCCTAATTTCCTTGAAAATCTCTGCTAGCCTGCCTCCTAGGCTTTAAACTTTCAGTTTCCACAAGAATCTCTGCTAGCTCACTGCCAAAATCTACAGAGATATGACGAAATTTTCAAAATTCCAGAGACACGTCGCTTAACTGGGCTAGAAAAAAAACATCGTTCTCTCATTCTCTCATTCTTTTTCTCTTTCTCTCTCTCTCTCTCTCTCTCGCCCTGCCAATTTTCGGTCTATTTTCTCAGGGTATCCCCCACAGACAGAGGCTTTGGGATTTTTCGCGGGTCCTAGTGTGGCGCATATTTGCGGGCGCCAAATAGTTTACGCAACGGGGCGACCCGGGTTCGACTGGAACTCGCAAAAAAAATGTTTGAAAAATAGACTGGAAATTTAGCTAGCAAGCTGAAGGTTATGGTGAATTTTGGGGATTTGGATAACCTCCAAATCTCGGAAAATTTGGGTTTTGGTGCAGGGCAATCTGGCAGAGATTCTTTTCGCAAGGACGGGCTAGCAGAGATTCTTTAGGAAAGGGCAGGCTAGCAGAGATTCTTTAGGAAAGGGCAAGCTAGCAGAGATTCTTTAGGAAACGGGCAGGCTAGCAGAGATTCCTTAGGAAAGGGCAGGCTAGCAGAGATTCTTTAGGAAAGGGCAGACTAGCAGAGATTCTTTAGGAAACGGGCAGGCTAGCAGAGATTCCTTAGGAAACGGGCAGGCTAGCAGAGATTCCTTAGGAAAGGGCAGACTAGCAGAGATTCTTTAGGAAAGGGCAGGCTAGCAGAGATTCTTTAGGAAAGGGCAGGCTAGCAGAGATTCTTTAGGAAAGGGCAGGCTAGCAGAGATTCCTTAGGAAAGGGCAGGCTAGCAGAGATTCTTTAGGAAAGGGCAGGCTAGCAGAGATTCTTTAGGAAAGGGCAGGCTAGCAGAGATTCTTTAGGAAAGGGCAGGCTAGCAGAGATTCTTTTAGGAAAGGGCAGGCTAGCAGAGATTCTTTAGGAAAGGGCAGGCTAGCAGAGATTCTTTAGGAAAGGGCAGACTAGCAGAGATTCTTTAGGAAAGGGCAGGCTAGCAGAGATTCTTTAGGAAAGGGCAGGCTAGCAGAGATTCTTTAGGAAACGGGCAGGCTAGCAGAGATTCCTTAGGAAACGGGCAGGCTAGCAGAGATTCCTTAGGAAAGGGCAGACTAGCAGAGATTCTTTAGGAAAGGGCAGGCTAGCAGAGATTCTTTAGGAAAGGGCAGGCTAGCAGAGATTCTTTAGGAAAGGGCAGGCTAGCAGAGATTCCTTAGGAAAGGGCAGGCTAGCAGAGATTCTTTAGGAAAGGGCAGGCTAGCAGAGATTCTTTAGGAAAGGGCAGGCTAGCAGAGATTCTTTAGGAAAGGGCAGGCTAGCAGAGATTCTTTAGGAAAGGACAGGCTAGCAGAGATTCTTTAGGAAAGGACAGGCTAGCAGAGGGCGCATAAATCCAAACTCGCAAAAATAATTTTTTTTTCAGCTCGGCAACTGGTCCGAGGAGGACGGCTGGCAGTTCGACTCCCGCTATGCAAATCGGTAAGTTTTTTCGAGCTGGTGCTCTAAGCTTTCCACTCGGTCAAACTCGCTTTTTCAGCTGGGAATTCGACATCGATCCGGATGCGGAAGACTTGGCCGGGTTGCATTTGCGCGTTGTCGTTTACATGGTGCGTTCGATTTCGGAGTTGCTCTCACGCGATTCACCCCAAAAATACCGGTTCTCCGGGCAGTTTTTGATGGGCATAAAAACCGGCTCGGGCGGACCAATTATTCCCCCCGTTTTTCGGAAATAATCCGTGTTCGATACCGGGCCCAGGGTTCGTCATATTTTGGGTGTAGACGGGTTGGAAAAAACGGGTTTGTGGCAGGGGGAATTTGGTTTGGCCTTTTTTTTCTTTTCCTCAGCTATAAAAAGTTAGGCAGCATGCAAATGAGTAAAACTTTTGAACAAAAAACTACCAATAAGTTCAGGAATTTGAAAGGCAGCGTGACAGCCCATTAAATCATCAGAACTAAAACAAATTAAAACATTTCAGGAAGAACCGTTCGTGATGAAAAACGCCCAGGGGCAGTACGAGGGGTTCTGCATCGATTTGCTCAACGAGATGGCGCGGGTCAGCATAGATCTATCTCTCGCTCCTTCTCTCTATCTCTCTCCCTCTCTCTCTCTCCCGGTCTCTCTCTCCAAGTACATCTACATCTTTTAGGTACTCAAATTCAACTACACGATCATCGAGGTGGTCGACGGAAGCTACGGGATTGAGGTAAGCGAGCGAGAGAGAGAGAGAGAGAGAGTGAGAGAGATCGAGAGGCGAGAGACATTCGTATTTTCTAGGACGAATCCGGACGCTGGAACGGAATCATCGGGGTCCTACAACGACATGAAGCCGATCTGTCCGTCTCGGCGGTGACGATCACCTACAGTAGGGTGGAGGTGATAGGTGAGTGAGTTTCGGTAAAAAACCGGAATCCAGAAACTAAGCCCCAAATATTCAATTTTTTTTTCAGATTTCACCCTTCCTTTCATGCATCTCGGAATCTCGATCTTGCTGGCTCGATCGCAAGAGGTAAATTTTCTCTGCTAGCCTGCCCTTTCCTAAAGAATCTCTGCTAGCCTGCCCTTTCCTAAAGAATCTCTGCTAGCCTGCCCTTTCCTAAAGAATCTCTGCTAGCCTGCCCTTTCCTAAAGAATCTCTGCTAGCCTGCCCTTTCCTAAAGAATCTCTGCTAGCCTGCCCTTTCCTAAAGAATCTCTGCTAGCCTGCCCTTTCCTAAAGAATCTCTGCTAGCCTGCCCTTTCCTAAAGAATCTCTGCTAGCCTGCCCTTTCCTAAAGAATCTCTGCTAGCCTGCCCTTTCCTAAAGAATCTCTGCTAGCCTGCCCTTTCCTAAAGAATCTCTGCTAGCCTGCCCTTTCCTAAAGAATCTCTGCTAGCCTGCCCTTTCCTAAAGAATCTCTGCTAGCCTGCCCTTTCCTAAAGAATCTCTGCTAGCCTGCTTTTCAGGATTCTTCAAAAGGCTCCCTCTTCACCTTCCTGGAGCCGCTCTCCCTAACCGTCTGGGTCTCCCTCATCGGAGCCTACCTCTCCGTCTCCTTCACGATGTTCCTGCTCGCTCGGTTCAGCCCGTATGAATGGTTAGTGGGGGGGGGGGAGCTAGCAGCGACCATTTGGGAAAGGTTTTTGCTGAGGCAAGCTCGCAGAGACCAATAGCGAAACACTAGCTTGACAAGTCGTTTAGGTACGACATCGAAAAGATTGACGAGCGTGACCCGTCGATCGAGAATCAGAAGAATCAATTCACGATTCTGAATTCGCTATGGTTCGCGGTTGGGTCGTTAATGCAGCAGGGCTCGGATGTGATTCCGCGAGCTGCTGCTACTCGAGTTGTCGCCGTCATTTGGTAAGTTAGGACAACATAGCAGAGATTTTTTAGGAAAGGGCAGGCTAGCAGAGATTCTTTAGGAAAGGGCAGGCTAGCAGAGATTCTTTAGGAAAGGGCAGGCTAGCAATGGTTTTTAGGACAGGGCAGGCTAGCAGGCACTGGATTTGAGGGCAAGCTAGCAGAGACCATTTGCCACTTCAGGTGGATGTTCACCCAAATCCTCATCTCGTCCTACACGGCCCAGCTGGCTGCGTTTTTGACGGTTGAAAGGATGACGACCCCGATTGAGAGTACGGCGGATCTTGCCAGTCAGACCAAAATTCGATACGGGACCTTAAAGGTGAGTGAGAGAGAGAGGCAGAGAGAGAGAGAGGGCGAGAGAGATAGAGAGAGAAAGAGCGATAGCGAGAGAGATAGAGAGGGAGAGGGAGAGAGAGAGAGAGAGAGAGAGAGAGAGAGAAGGAGGGAGCGAGAGAGAGAGAAGGCGAGAGGGAAATGAAATCCTAACTCCCCATTTTAGAGCGGAAGTACGATGGACTTTTTCCGGGAGAGCAAAATTCCGATCTACGAGCGAATGTGGGTGTTTTAAAGGGGTCTATCAAGCACGATAATCGATCCCTTCGATCGATTAGGCCTTGGATACGCGACACTGCAACACGCCTGTTTATCTCATTTTTAGCCTTTAAAAGCCGGAGAAAGGAACCAAATTTGAGTCTATTGCAGCGTTTTTGGAGTGACGCGTAGCTGGTGTGATCTAGTCGATTTGTCGATTCTCGTGTTTTCTAGCACCTTTAAAATCTAAATTGGATGTTTCTAGGTGGTCGATAATGGAGTCCTCCTCCCCCACCGTGTTTGTCAATAGCAGCAGGGAAGGAATTGCCAGGGTCAAAGGTACTGATGCAAATTTTTTTGGAGTTGTGAGGCTAGCAAAGATTCTCTAGGAAAGGGCGGGCCAGCAGAGATTCTTTAGGAAAGCCATAATATTTTTCTTCAGCTGGAAACTATGCGTATATGATGGAATCTTCAATGCTGGAGTACTACATGGAGAGGGACTGCGAATTGCAGCGGATTGGCGGGTTGTTGGATTCGAAGGTAAATATCTCTATCTGTTTTCTCTCTCTCTTTCTCGCTCTCGTTCTCACTCGAGCTCTCTTTATCGCTCTCTCTGTCTTTACGTCTCTCTCTCTCACTCTCTCTCTCACTCACTCTCTCTCTCTCTTTCTGAAACCTCCCATCCCTTTAGAGCGTCTCCGGTGGTTGGCTGGACACAAGGGTAACCGGTTACGACAAGAAAATCCTAATTTTCGGCTCGTTTTTTGTTGAAGGAGATTGGAAGGCAAAACCCACAGCGATTCCATGGCTTTTGCCTTCCAGATCCCTCTAAAACCATCGCCACCCTGATTTTCATATGGCATGGGTACTGTAGAAAATGGGTTTTATCAAGAAAAATAATTTTGTTTGGGGTTGATAGGCAGAAAATTAAAAATTTAGGGCTACGGTATCGCGCTGCCAAAGGGGTCGCCGCTGCGGGATATCATGTCCGGGACGATATTGCAACTACAAGAAAAAACGATCCTCGAAGCCTTGAAGAACAAATGGTGGCGCGACCGGAGAGGTGGGGAAAGTACTGTAGCTGCGTGCCGTCGTCCCCTTAAAACGAAGCCGAAGCCTCGTCGAAGTCTTGCCAGAGCCGAAGCCACGCCTAGGCCTAAGCCTAAGCCTAAGCCTAAACCTAGCCTAAGCCTAAGCCTGAGCCTAAGCTATATATGGGTCGAAGCCCGGGGGCGCCGCCAAAGGCGCCTCCCGAGGCACCCCCTGGGGGGCGTGCCGAGTGGCGCCTGGGGGCGCCGCCCCTATGATTTTTAACGGGGCGGGGGGCGTCACCAACGGCGCCTGTGAGATTATGCAAATCTTCGAATTAATGTTAATTGTTCATTTCGAGCGCAAGAGCAACGGACAGTAGAAAGTACCTTGCAAAGAAATTTTTGCCTTGCACTTCAGAAATGCCTAGTAACGTAATAGTCAGACTTTCAATAATGTTTCTAGCAAAATTTAACTAATTTTTTACCAAAACTTGAAAAAATTTAAGGTGGAATTTCCGATTTTTTGCTATTTTATTCAAAGTTTGTAGAGTTTCTACGTTTAGGAATAGTAAAAACAGTTTAGAAACACTTCCACTATTTTTTTAGAAAAAAAAATATCCTTGGAAAAAAGTTGGTTTCACCAGAAACTCCTCTTACTCTATAATGCGAGGGAATCTGGCTAAAAATTCTAGGCCAATCAACTAATCTTTTTGCCTTCTTTTAGATATCAGAGATCGCTAGTCAAATCTCATTTCCATAACAACTTTGCATGTTTTGCTTTACATCTCGGTTTCCCGGCGCCTCCCGGTCCGCCCAAGGCGCCGCCACAGGCGTCACTCGGCACGCCCCCAGGGGGTGCCTCGGGAGGCGCCTTTGGCGGCGCCCCCGGGCTTCGACCCATATATAGCCTAAGCCTATATATTTAACTTAACCGTCCCTGTCCCTTTAAACCTATCGGGTCTACCATTTTATGCAAATTACCTTTCAATTCCAGAGGGCCCCTCCTGCGCCCCGGTCGGCGAAGCGCAAAAGCCCACTCCCTGCAAAGTGTATTTGGTAGGCTGCCGTAACCAGATCGCTCTAAAATTCCATTTTTAGGCATTTTCTACGTATTAATCACCGGGCTCGTTGTCGCCCTATTAATGTCGATCGGGGAGTACTGTATCGAGTCGAGGCAGGACAGCTACCGGTTACGGTTGACGATATTGGGGAAGGTAGGCGTTTGAAGCTACCAATCTCTGCTAGCCTGCCCTTTCCTAAAGAATCTCTGCTAGCCTGCCCTTTCCTAAAGAATCTTTGCTAGCATGCCCTTTACTAAAGAATCACTGCCAGCATGCCTCGAAAATTTTGATAAAAATTCCAGATCGTCGAATGGTACAAGCACTGGACGGGGCGAACGTCTCGAAATCGTCAAAAGCTGCGAAATGCAAATTTGGACACCGCCGGCGTTGAGCAGCCACTGTGAGTCCTATTGGCTTAGTAATGCGTATTCAAACGTACATACTTGTACTCGGGCGTACGCTACCGTATCTGAGAGGAGGATAGTGTAAACGAACGTACAGTCGCGTACTCGGGCGTACGGCAACGTACCATAGCGTATCGAGGTGTACTCGAACGTACAAAGACGTACGATGCCGTACTATACCGTATCACAGTATAATCGAACGTCCAGAGGCCTACTCGGGCGTACCGTACCGTACCGTATTCTAGGGTACGGAGGCGTTAACAAGCGGGCGGTACCGCACCTGAGTGTATCGAAGGGTACTCTAGCGTACCAACGCGTACTCAAGCGCACGATCCTATCAACGTGCAATCGAACGCGCAGCCGCGTACTCAGGTGTACAATACCGTACTGTAGCGTACAGAGGCGTAATCAAGCGTACGGTAGTGCATTCAAGGGTACAGCAGCGCCAAATGACGCCCAGTGACGCGTACGGTAGCGTATTTGAAGGTATCGAAGCGCATGTTCCAGAACACTGTAACGTCACAAAGCGTACAGTCGCGTAAAATAGCATAAATCCGCTTAAAGCCGATTTCCAGGCGCGCCCCCGTCCGGATCCCGTCGGAGATGAACATCCGCGTCATCCGCGAGCCGTCCATGTCCAGAGAATCATTGCGTAGGCTGTCGAGAATGATGCCGGCCGGGGAGGAGAGTTTACTGCAGAGGAAGAAGCGGAACAGCTCGATCGGATCGTTTACAGAATACGGAGGAGGAGCCGGGCGACATCAATAGGTTCGCTCTCTCTCTCTCGCATTTTTTATTTTCCGTTGCACTCCTCATTACAATTCGTCGAACGATGCTCAACTTATCATGGTCTTTGCTTTTCTTCTCCGGCGTTTCCCCACATCGTGATTAGCATATGAATTTTTGCACCGAAATTTTTTTGTATCTTTGCGTCTTTTGTATAAATTTTAATATGTTGGCTTTTGCGGTTTTTAAGGGATTTGTAAGGCGGAAATTCTAAACCAAAAATTGGTAATTCGCATGAAAAGCGCTGATTAAGCCTAAGCCTAAGCCTAATCCTAAGCCTAAACCTAAGCCTAAGCCTGAGCCTACGCCTAAGCCAAAACTTAAGTCGAAGCCTAATCCTAAGCCTAAGGCTAAGCCTAAGCCCAAGCCTAAGCCTAAGCCTAAGCCTAAGCTTAAGCCTAAGCCTAAGCCTAAGCCTAAGCCTAAGCTTAAGCCTAAGCCTAAGCCTAAGCCTAAGCCTAAGCCTCGGCCTAAACCGAATTTGCATAATTTCCCGACTTCCTAGTCCCTTTAAGCCCGCAAAAACCCGCGTAAATAATCCCAAACTCGTGCCTCTCGTTTTTGTGTGCGTTTTAACATAAAGCTTTTCACCATTTACCGAATAGCCGGAAAAAAACGCAGAACAACAGCAATAAATACAGTACACCCAGACGGAATCAGTAGCCATACGGAAAAGGCAAAAAAAAACAAATCGATAGATGCCAGAGGGGAAAGTGAAAATGGAATTTGATGATTTAAAAAATCGGTTTGTCGGTGCTTGTCGGTATTTTTTCGGGTTTGTCGGCATTTTTCGGTCATTCGGCGACGAGCTGGCGGGCACGGCGAAGGGAGCGGATTACGAAGTAGAACGACGGGAAGGTGTTCAGCGTCGCGAAGCCATACCAGCAGAAGCGGAACGTCGAGTGGAGCTCTCTGGAAAGGGCAGGCTAGCAGAGATTTTTTAGGAAAGGGCAGACTAGCAGAGATTCTTTAGGAAAGGGCAGGCTAGCAGAGATTCTTTAGGAAAGGGCAGGCTAGCAGAGATTCTTTGGGAAAGCGCAGGCTAGCAGAGATTCTTTAGGAAAGGGCAGGCTAGCAGAGATTCTTTGGGAAAGCGCAGGCTAGCAGAGATTCTTTAGGAAAGAGCAGGCTAGCAGAGATTCTTTAGGAAAGAGCAGGCTAGCAGAGATTCTTTAGGAAGGGGCAAACTTGCAGAGATTCTCTATAAATCTGCTCCTACCGGTCATACAAATTCCCGCCAAACTGCGACGTGGTGACAGCCATCGCGATGAATTCGCACAGCGACTCGAAGCCCAGGTAGAACTGAAAAAAAACGTTTGCCCTAAGGAATCTCTGCTGGCTTGCCCCCACCATCGTGACCTCCGTGAAGAAGGCGACGATGGGCACCTGGACGACACGAGAGAGCTGGTAACCCAGGGGGATGCAGGTGTACGATATCATGCCCGCACTAAAAAACAGGTTTCCTAAGGTGTCTCTGCTAGTCTGCCCTTTCCTAAAGAATCTCCGCTAGCTTGCCTACATCAACGTGACCGCGTAGAACATCGGGAAGATGCAAAAATGTGTCCAGACGGCGGCCACCTCAAGCCAGTCTGACAACCAGAATTGATACCAATTGCAGGCCGGCCCGTACTCGCGACTGGAAGATGGCAGGGTACTGTAGCGTAGCATAACGGAATGTAGCGTAATCAAGCGGAACGTCGCGCGATTTCAAGCAGTTTAAAGTACTATTGCGTAGCAGCAAAAAGAATGCCGATATTTGGGGTGGCAGAACGCATTCTGGGGTATGATAGGTTAGCGATTTACAACTTTGTGATACATTACGTTACACTACGCAACGCTACACTTGGCTCCTTTGGTGTACGCCAGGATATGATAGGACGCTGAGCTACGTTGCGCTACGATACGCTACGCCAGGCCACGAAGGCTTACTAGCAATTGACGACTTTCAGCGCCCGGGCCCGGGGCATGAACTCGAAGAACATCATGCTCACGCTCACCACCAGCCCGAACAACTAAATAAACCGGGTTTTTTTTGGAGCTCAAGGCCTAAGCCTAAGCTTAAGCCTAAGCCTAACAAGGGAACCTCACGGAGACATGGTGGAATTTCGGAAAACGCACGCGGCTACCCCCGGGTAATCGCCCATTGCGATCACGATGCGCTTGTCAGATTTTTCTAAATAGACCTGTGGACAGAGATACATACAGCACTTCCGGAAAATGCTGATTTACATGCAGAAAATTTGCATAGTAGGATGGTTTATGAGGCTCTCCCATCACTATGGAATCACCAGTTGAATGGCCGAGTGGTAAGGGACTCGCTTGGTAGGATTCTAACGAGGGTTCGAATTCGCTCACGATTTTTTGTTTTTGCTTTTTGGCCAGAGATTTTTTTGTAGAAGTCCAAAATCATACATGCTAACGTACTTCTAAATTTTATGACAGTTGTCGACTTCACGTGGTCAGAAAATTATTCTTATAAAATTTTTTCATCTTTTGCAGATGGTCAGGTGTAGGAACTCTAGCCGCCAGAACTGATTTTCATTTTTCGTTTTTTTTTGCCTTTAATGGCTAAACATTAGGGATTTCGGGCTATTACTAGTAACATTCTGGACTTGTACAAAAATCTCTGGCAAAAAGCAAAAACAAAAAATCGTGAGCGAATTCGAACCCTCGTTAGAATCCTACCAAGCGAGTCCCTTACCACTCGGCCATTCAACTGGTGATTCCATAGTGATGGGAGAGCCTCATAAACCATCCCACTATGCAAATTTTCTGCATGTAAATCAGCATTTTCCGGAAGTGCTGTATCTCTGTCCACAGGTCTATTTAGAAAAATCTGACAAGCGCATCGTGATCGCAATGGGCGATTACCCGGGGGTAGCCGCGAGCGTTTTCCGAAATTCCACCATGTCTCCGTGAGGTTCCCTTGTAAGCCAAAGCCTAAGCCTAAGCTTAAGTCTAAGGCCAAGCCTATTAGCGTCAAAAACGCACTACGACAAAGATACAGTGCCACGGGTGCAGCTCGATTTTTGGCTCGCCGTCCTCCTCAGGGGAGAAGCGCTGAAAATCTGGATTTCAATTCCGCAGGCATCCAATTTACGCTCGTCATCGTCTGGCGGCAGCTGAAAAAAAACAATGAAAAAATGGAAAAGCTTTGAAACCTCGACGACGGCGGCCATCGAGTTTTTGGGGAAATGTGAGAAATCAAAATTTCAGGGCAATTATAGGGGGTATCGGAAATGCAGATGCGATATTTAAAGATATAGGATCGAGGACTTTCCCAAGTTTTCTCGGTTGGCCTTGCCTTCATCCTAAACTTTAGCAATTGTGCTGATGCTCTCTCTCTATCTCTCTCTCGCCCTGTCTCTCCCTCTCTCTGTTTCTCTCCATCTCTCTCTGTTTCTCTCTCGCGCGCTCTCCCGTCACAATAGTCTAGCCGGCGTAGACGCCAAAAACCTTGGAATGTGCTTTTCGTCTACCAGATTAACAACGCCCTTGATGCGTTCAGGCCTTTAAAGAGATACTAAAGTCTGACGAAAGAGAGAGAGAGAGAGAGAGAGAGAAACAGAAAAATTCCCTACCGTACAGTCACAAAGCGATGAAAGCAGGCCAGGTGGTTTTCTCGCTTTCCCTGCCCCGGGCGGCTGTGTTGAACTGTGATCGTGACGTAGAAGAGAGATAGCGAGCGAGAGATAGAGAGACATAAAGCCAGAAAGAGAGAGAGAGAGCGAGAGAGAGCGAGAGAGAGAGCGACAGAGAGAGCGAGAGAGACAGAGAGATGCCCCGCGGCATCCCCCCTCGAAATACCCGTTCCTCTGGTGCGCTCCCGGCTGGCAGGAATTCCCTGCGGTTACATTTTATTTAGCATACTCTTTCTCATCCTAAAGAATCGTTCCTAGTCCGACTTTTCCTAAGGAATCTCTGCCAGCTTGCCAATTGATTCGACCATATCAGTTAGTTGCAGACTACTGTGGAAGCTAGCCAGGCCTCATGGGCTTAATCAGGCTAGCAGATATTCGTTAGGACAGGGCAGGCTAACTGAGATTCTTTAGGAAACGGCAGGCCAGCAGAGATTCTTTAGGAAAGGGCAGGCTAGCAGAGATTCTTTAGGAAAGGGCAGGCTAGCAGATATTCTTTAGGAAAGGGCAGGCTAACTGAGATTCTTTAGGAAAGGGCAGGCTAGCAGATATTCTTTAGGAAAGGGCAGGCTAGCAGATATTCTTTAGGAAAGGGCAGGTTAACAGAGATTCTTTAGGAAACGGCAAGCTAGCAGAGGTTCTTTGCATTTTCTCCCTTAAATTCCATGCCAATCGCCGCCCTCCTAGCTAGCCGTTCGCGCGTATCGTGACGTAGTTGTGGTGCAACCCCCTCTGGGGGCTAGAAAGGGGTGGATGGCCTTGGTGTTGCAGGAGGAACAGAACAACCCAGCCTTTCTTCTGATCTCTCTCTCTCTCTCTCTCTCTCTCTCTCTCTCTTTCTCTCTCTCTTCTCCCCCTGAAGGCATTACAGACTCACAGACCCCCCTTCTTTTCTACCCACCATTTATCATGCCAGATCCGCACTCCGATACTCTGTTCTCGGCTTGTGCCTTTCGCCGAAATCTCGCGATTTCCGGAAATTCCCCGGAAATGCCGGCAGCTTGAAGCATCTTTTTGCAGCTTGCACAGCTCATTTTTCCGGAAGACACCTATTTCCGGTCTGAGTACGATTTACTGCGGTCCAGTACTGTAGGCATTTGGCCAGCGATAGCGTACGTCACGATGCCCTGGGGTCGGTTAGGAAAAGCTAGGTTACGCTATGCTACGATACGCTACTTCATGCCACGCTACGCTAGGATACGCTAGGATACGTTACGAGACACTATGATGCGCTACCTTACGGTATCTACGTTACGCCACGATACACTACGATACGCTAGGATACGCCATGATACGCTTCGATACATGCATTTTTAGATACGCTATGATACGCTACGTTCGCCACGATTCGCTACGATACGCTACGATACAGTGTACGTTAGGACATAGGCTATGATAGACTACCGACGACTTCCACGGAATCCGATATGTTACGTTACTTTGCAACCTAAAAACGCGGCACTACGCTGCGCTACTCCGGCTTTTCTTGGTTTTTCGTGAAAGGATGCTAGCAGTGACTCTTGCGGATTTCCGGCAAATGTATACCAGTAGAGATTCTCTAGGATTTTGTTCGAGCAAGGTAGCGGAGAAATTTGTCGATTCCGCTATGGGAAGCTTGCAGTGATCCCGTGCGATTAGCGATGCTGGCCAATCCGACTATCCACAAACTACGGTATTCACTTGTTACGGTAGTTAGGGACTAGAATATACTGACGAAATTCTGTGACTCATAATACCTCTCGATCACGTAGTCTCTCTCTCGCTCTCTCTCGCTCTCTCTCTCGGCCTCCTCGAGCGCCCGAGATTCCCCGTCCTCACCTCAAGGTCGCCCCCATTTGCATACAACTCATAAGACCTCACTACACCATCTTTCTCAGGTTTACAACCTATCGACTGCCAACTTTATTTCTTCTAAAGGAACCCTACTAGCTGGCTCTTTTCTAAAAAATCTCTGCTAGCCTGCCTTTCCCAAAGAATCTCTGCTAGCCTGCCCTTTCCTAAATAATTTCTCCTAGCCTGCCCTTTCCTAAAGAATCCCTGCTAGCCTGCCCTTTCCTAAAGAACCTCTGCTAGCCTGCCCTTTCCTAAAGAATCTCTGCTAGCCTGCCCTTTCCTAAAGAATCTCTGCTAGGTTCCCCGCTTTTAGACGTTTTCCCTTCTCCAAGGTTCTCTGCTAGCCTGCCCTGCCCATTTATTTCTTGAACTTAATTTGCCCTTGTTCTCTCCCGAACGATCTCTGCTAGCCTGCCCAAACCCTTTTTTATGCACGAATTTTTATGCATCATAGTTCCGTAATGTCATGTCGAACATTCAGAAAATTTCCTCTAGCGTTGCAGGTTTGATTTCCTTTCCTAAATGATCTCTGCTATATTGCCGCTTCTATTCCCAAATGATCTTTGCCTCATTCTATAATTTTTAGACATAAATTTTACGCATTTGACCGTAGTTCTAGGGTCCGTAAATGCCATTTCCAATATTCAGTATTCGTCGCAGGCCTTCGCCCCCGATTCGGATCGATGAATGGGGTCCTTCCTTCCCTTCTTCTCTTCCTTTCTTTGTCAGGCGAGAGTCTCGGAATGCGTCTCTGCTGTCTGCGCTCTCTCAGCAAATATACTCTCTCGTCGCCCATCCCTCAAACCCCTTATGGCCGGTCAGTCCTGCACCCTATTCTGTGCCCCAATCGGATTCTGATCTCGCTTGATTCGAGGGTACTTCCGGATTCTGGGGCAAGCTAGCAGAGTTTTTTGAGAAAGGGTAGACTAGCGATTCTTTAGGGAAGGGCAGTCTAGCAGAGATTCTTTAGGAAAGGGCAGCCTAGCAAAGATTCTTTAGGAACGGGCAGGCTAGCAGAGATCTTCTAGGAAGCTCCTATCGTGAATCCCTTATTCCCGATTCCTGATTTCAATCCCTAATTTTTACGAAAATCTAACAACGGGAAGCTAGCAGCGATCATTGCGGAGCCATATATCTTTCCCTCGCTCTCTCTCTCTCTCTCTCTCTCTCTCTCTCTCTCTCTCTTGTTCTCAAAATCTTGAATTCAGAAGCAGCCCCCTCCTCGGGCCATTGAATGCACGCAGTGATCGAGCGGGTCCTCCGGCACAAGCACCTCCAGGTAAATTTTGAAGGTTTTGCGCGTAAAAATATCATTCTTCCTTTTTTTACGATTTTATTCATCCGACCAACTTATATTATTTTTTGGTATTCTTTCAGTAAATTTGCCATTTTTGTATTTTGTAGTCTCGGTACACCGATGCGTCTACCCAGTTGGGTGCAAGAAGCATAACTTTGATAAGGAACAAGCCGGGATTCGGGTCACTAGGGGGCGAATTTAGGCATTTTAAAGAGACCAGGAAGGCTGGAATCAACATAGAAATTATGTTGGAATTCTTGAAAACATGCAAAAGATTAAAAGAACTGTTTTCAGTCCTCCTCCCAACTCTTCGCCCTCTCCGACTACGATGTGATCTCGGATCTGGTGGGTGGCTATTTTTAAAGGGACTTGGAAGCGCCAAAATTTTTCTTTAAAAAGAATGCTTTGCCAAAAAGGCATAATAATTTCGAATAGAAATTTCCATGTTTGGCGAAAGTCATCTTCGCGACTTTGCCGACCGCTGAATCAGCACCAAACACACCCGAGCGTTCGATTTTCAAGGCAAACAAATTTATGGGGGCATTAGAAATTGATAGATTAGGGTCTAGGCAGGCTAGCAGAGGTACTTAAGGAAGAAAAATTATGCTTTCGAACGAAAAGAGCCAAAAAAAGATCATTGCATCATGATAGGGATCAGGCTAGCAGAGAACCTTGAGAAAATGAGCACGATTGCCTTCATTCAGCACACCGTCTTCGGGCTGATCAAGGAGATTTTGCACGAGCGGGGTTATGGCTCGAGAAAGGAGGACCAGAGCGTCGTCGAGCTGGTTTTGGCACGGATTCTGAATGCGATACGGTGAGTTTCACATGAAGCACCGACTTTCTCTATCTTTCTCTCTCTCTCTCTCTCTCTCTCTCTCTCTCTTTCTCTCTCTCTCCCCCTCTCTCTCTATCCCTCTTTCTTTCTCTCAATGTTTCTCTTACAATTTCTATCTTCAATAGCCCTTTAAAATTCGAAAGTCCGCCGGCCAAACAAGGAGCTAGTAGCTAGATAGCTAATGTTTGTCTAGAGGAGCCTCTCGTTGTCCTCACTGTCTTATTATGCACAAATAATACTACCCGACCCAAGGCACAAACATATGGCGAGAGAGGGAGAGACAGAGAGAGAGAGAGAGCGAGAGAAAGAGAGATAATATCTAGCTGCAAGTGGCCTACGTATAGATACAATTACTAAACGCCGAAAGAGATGCATGAAAATTTGGATTCGAAAGGCTAGCAGAGATTCTTTGGGAAAGGGCAGCCTAGCAGAAATTCTTTAAGAAAATGACCGGAAGGGAGCATATTTCAGGGAGACCAGCTCGATCGAGACGTATTGTGCGCAGTTGGTCGACCTACTGGATTGCTGCCTACAGTATCCCATGTCGATCAGGTCAGCTAGCAGAGATTCTTTGGGAAATTTTAGTCATTTCTAGGTCCACCGAGAAGATATCTTCACATGGCAACGAAACTTACTGCGACTCGGCTCACTGCAAAGTGGCGGTGGAGATTTTGTCGAGTCTGTTTATGGTAAGCTGGCAGAGGTTTTTGAGGAATTTTGAAAGGCAAGCTAGCAGAGATTCCTTAGGAAATTTGATAGGCATGCTAGCAGAGTTACTTTGAGGATTTTCATGCTCGCAGAGTCTTAAGGAATTTTCTTAAGGACAGGCTAGCAGCGATTCTTTAGGAAAGGGCGGGCTAGCAGAGATTTTTAGGAAAGGACATGCCAGCAGAGATTCTTTGCGCAATAAAGCCAAAAAACTGTTTCAGTACTACTCCAAGAAACCGGTGATGACGCTGGCGATTCCTGTCGCATTAAGGGTAAGTACAAACTACAGTGCCCCAAGGTAAACTTCGAATTTTAGGCCCTGAGCTCGAACAACGCGGATTTAAGCCGGAACGTCATTTCGTATATTTCGTTGTCGGCGGTGCATTGCGAGAGGGTGTTGGCGCAGTATGCCATACAAATTGCTGGACATATCGTTGGAGGTAAGGGAGAGAGAGAGAGAGAGAGAGAGAGAGAGAGAGAGAGAAAGAGAGAGAGGGCGAGACACACAGAGAGATCGAAAAAGCGCTTTTTCAGGCAAGCACGCCCTCCTAAAAGTGCTCCCCCAAATCTATGCCGAAAACAAAGAAGCCCTCCACGCCCATCTGCCCCAGCTGATGCGTCTTTTGGACCAAAACGTAGCCCTCGAGGACAAGAGATCACTGCTGCAATTTGCGTCCAGAGTAGCTGCGAGTAATGCCGAGGTGAGGGGCAGGCTAGCAGAGTTTTTTAGGAAAGGGCAGGCTAGCAGCGATTCTTTCGGAAAGGCAAACACCTAAAAAGCCATTTTAGCTCCTCATTCCCTACCTCCCCCGACTCACCCAATTCCTGAACAAACCCGCGACCTGCTTGCCCGTGCTGCACATCTACCAGCCGCTGTGCGCCCAAGGAAAAGCTCATGTGAGTTTCTCTCTCTCTCTCTCTCTCTCTCTCTCTCTCTCTATCTCTCTATTCTACCGCTCCATTGCAGCTGCTCACCGAGACCATCCTCAGCCTGGAAGAAGCCACCGAGGATCCGGTGCTGAAGTGTCATGTTCCGGCGATTGTCAATGTAAGGGTATCTTAAGCCCAAACCTAAGCCTAAGCCTAAGCTAGGCTTAAGCCGGGGTTAAGCCTAAGCCTGGCCTAAGCCAAGCTTAAGCCTAGGCCAAGCCTAAGCCTAAGTTTCCGTATAATACCGTATCTCCAGGCCATTGCGATGATTGGACGATCGTCAACTTCCTCCCTCAGCTTATCACTTGAAGCCCTCCTCGCGATCGCCAAAAAAGTGCAAGCACCTACGGTAGCTACGGTACTATCGGAAATTGAGGGTAAGCGAGAGAGATCGAGGGAGCGAGAGAGAGAGAGAGAGCGAGCTAGAGAGAGAGCAAGATACAGAAAACCTCATCTATTCAAGTCCTATTTCCAGCCCTGGCTACCGTATCCCCGGATTCCCTACGACCGTACGGGGCTCGAATCGAGAGCATCGCCAAGACGTCCCCAAGCGTTAGATCGCTGTGCAGTAGATTGCTGGAAATGGCCAACGCTCCCAGGTGACTTCAATGTGTTTTTTTAAACCGAAAAAATTGATGTGCAGGCCCGATAAAATTACCGTAATCCCGATTCGGAATGACAACTCGTCGGACTCGCTGCTGTCGCGGAAGGATCGGAGTCGATATGATAGCTCAACGTTGGGGAGGTGGGGAGAGAGATTGAGAGAGAGAAAAAGAGAGAGCGAGAGATGGGAGAGAGAGAGCGAGCGAGAATGTTCCGAAATTTCAGTCGTAGCCGCTACACTGGAGGCGAGAGCTCAACCGCCCAAACGGTAGATGAACTCGACCGGAATACCGAGGTTTCATTTTTACTTGGTTCTTCAGATTCCTCAAAAATCTCTGCTAGCCTGCCTTCTCAGAAAACCCCTAAAAATAAGCATCAAGTCGCAATTTATCTTTTTCCAGAGCCTCGCCCAAGTCTACCAGAATCGCAGCAACTCGAGCCTGTCGAAGTACAAGTCGCGAAGCTATGTGAGCGTGACGGCAGGGCAGAGGTACGGTAGATTTTATATTTCTGATTTTTGAGATTTTGGATCCTTTAAAGAGCCATTTTAGTCAAAATTCCGCCTCGGAGACGGCGTACAACTCCCGCGATCTGTCGATGGCCAGCATTCCGGGACCGTCAACAAGGTAAATTAGGCTTAAATAACCGCTGAACGGGGTTCAGACCACCCGATTACTCGTCGCTAAAGCGGAAGCCCCCGCCCCCGCAGGCTACGCAGCAGAACAAAGCCCAGACCCTGCCGACGACATTCGCCCCAACACAAATTCAGGTGGGTTGTGGAGAATGGTAATCTGGTTCCTTCGCTCTTTCTCTCTCTCTCTCTCGCTCTCTCTCACTCTCTCTCTCTCTCTCTGGCTCGCTATCTGCCTACCCCTTCTCTCTCTCTCTCTCGCTCTCTCTCTCTCTCTCGCTCTTCAACTCTGGAATTCCAGATGTGCCGCGACGGTCGTGTCCGGCCGGTCGGCTACAAACGTTCCCAACTCGCCCCAATCGAAACAACTTTCCCGGTCACCTCCACGGTGCCGATAACGACGTGTACGGTAGGTGTCTCACCCTGTCTCCATAAACTCCCTTGCCCTGTTTCCGAAAGTTATCGAAGAAGAGATGATCTCCGAGGAGCCGGCCGAGCCCTGGCAGGATACGGTACGTGGCGTTTTGCGAACTTTTTGGTATTTTTAAATCACTGTAATCGTACTGCACCGGCTTACGTTTTGGCAATGACGGCGTACCTTAATCGGCTAAGCTTCCAGATTACAGTATGTTTTTTTTTTCAGAAATCCATCGATCGTGGCGATGTTGTACGGCAGTTCGTCGACCACCGGCGCAGCAAGATACGGTAGGTGAACTCAGCCCACGCCTAAGCCTAAAATCAATCAAAAATCCGTATTTTTTTAGACGTTACGTGGAGGAGGTTTCTTCGCGAATGCCGATCCCGGTGCAGTGTACGGTAGAAGGAGGGAAAGGTGATTTTTTCCCCAGCCTTGCTGTTCTCTCTGCATCTCTCGCACTTGCTTGATCCCTCTCTCCCTCTCCTCTCTCTCACTCTCTCTCTCTATCTATGTTTACAGGAAAACACCGTATGCGTATCCACTTCTCATGCCAAGTTCGCTCGACCTACTGTATTTTCCACGCCGACAATCTGTACGGGATGAAGACCAAGTCTCCTTCGCTGTGGCTTCATCTCATGTTTTTGCAGGTAGCCTAAGCCTAAGCCTAAGCCTAAGCGTAATCCTGCTTTCAGATGGAGTCATCCTCTCTCACACAAACCGGCCAAGTCCTGTGCCAGTCATCAGGAGCCTACCGTACCCTCGCGAATTGTTGGTCGTGTCTCCCGTCTGCTGTGACGAAGGGAAGACCCTTCGTCACCCTAGTCACCAGTGCATTTCCGCCACAAAAGGTAGGTGATGCGGGCAAGCTAGCAGAGATTCTTTAGGAAAGGGCAGGCTAGCAGAGTTGTTTGCGGAAAATGGAAATAGAAAACTAAATCTTTCAGGAACAAGAAAAGCTTGCACGGGAGCTCGACGAGAATGCGTTGTGGGAATTTTTCCAGCTCGACGCTGTCACCTCAAAATGGGCATGTTTAAGCTGCGCGCATCCGGATCGAGTACGGTAGGTTATCAGGACGAGAGAGAGAGAGCTATAGAGAGTGAGAGCGAGAAAGATAGAGAGAGAGAGCGAGAGAGAGAGTGAGAGCGAGAAAGAGAGAGAGAGAGAGAGAGAGAGAGAGAGAGAGAGAGAGAGGGAAATAGATACACATTTTTTACAGCACCTTCGTGGAGGAGAAGATGTTGTGCGGGGAGCTGAAGGAGAAGCGGGGGCGCTGGAAATTTTTGCGGCGATGGCATACCAAGTTTTTCACGCTCAGCACGGCTTCGCTGACTTATACGACTGGGATGCCGTCGAGTGGGGAGGTGGTGCGACAAAATGTGAGTTGAGAAAGAGCGGGAGGGAGAGAGAGAGCGAAAGAGAGAGGGAGCGAGAGAGAGAGAGAGTGAAAGAGAGAGGGAGCGAGAGAGAGAGCGAGTGAGAGAAAACGTTTTCAGAACCACTTCGAATCCCCCTCCATCGATTTGAGGACAATTCGGGTCGTCCGAAGCTTGTCTCGAGGGAATAAGAAGCGGAAAAGCTTGCGGAAAGCCTTTGAGATCTGTACGCAGGAGAATAAGAGCTACGTATTAAAGGTAAGCGGCAGAGATTCTTTAGGAAAGGGCAGGCTAGCAGAGATTCTTTAGGAAAGGGCAGGCTAGCAGAGATTCTTTAGGAAAGGGCAGGCTAGCAGTGATTCTTTAAGAAAGGGCAGGCTAGCAGAGATCTCTAGATGACCCTTTTCAGGCCACCGACGAGCGCAAGGCCGAGGAATGGCTCCAGTGCCTGCAAGTCGCCATCGCAAATGCTAGGCGCGACGACCCAACCCACACTCTTTGATCTCAAAATTTCCAAAAAAAATTTGATTATTCGTTTCTAAGATCTATTCTGCGCTTTTCAACCATACCTGTGATTTTTAAAGATTTGTTTTGTTCGCTAGTTTGCATTTCGAAAACCCCAGTCACAGCCACGGCTTTCACGTCTCTAGAGAGACATTGAGATTCAACATTTATTTTTTTGCTGCTTTCTGTCTTATGCCTGTTTTAAGAGATCCCTTCGGCTTAGGTTCGGGTTTAGGCTGGGCTTATGCTTCATTGGGCCTAGGCATAGGTCTCGATAGCTCCGCGAGGCTCCGTCAGATTCCGACAAGTCCATGCTCTGTCGAGACCTAGTGGATGGAAGGGGTCGATTCTGGCGCTTCCTAAGCCCTTAAAGCCACTTTTTCATGCTTATTGCTTTTGCTCAAAGTGATTCTCGCCAAAGCATTTACTACCGTACCCAATTTTCCGTGTGTTTTGGCGATAAATTCGTTGGAAATGCCAGTTTTTATCTGTCTGTCTCTGTTTCTCTCTCACCTTCTCTCTCTCTTTCTCTCTCTCTCGCTCTCTCTCTCTCTTTCTATCGTCGTCTTCTAGCGCGGAAATTGTGTAAAATTTTTATGTACAGCAAATTTGGATTCAGAAGTAAAGGAATTAGCCCCATCCGCCGAATCCTCCTCGTCCGAATCCTCCTCGTCCGAAGCCTCCGCGTCCGAATCCGCCCCTTCCGAATCCGCCTCGGCCGAATCCGCCCCTTCCAAAGCCTCCACGTCCGAATCCGCCCCTTCCGAAGCCACCGCGTCCGAATCCTCCCCTTCCGAAACCACCCCTGCTGAAGCCGCCGCGTCTGAAAATATCGTTTTAAAGGGACTGGAACAGGCAGATTTCGATCGATCTTCTGATTTTCGATTTGTATCCAAGATTACGGCTAGCTTCAATTTTGGAAGACTTTATAGCAAATTTTAGACCATATTTTCATCAATTGAGACGTTTTTTTGATAGACAAAGATCACAAAAGATAAACAAGTTTTGACAATATTTGGTACTCACCCGAATCCTCGTCCCCACTGTCGCTTCACGCGTATGGTGCCTTCACTGAAAAACAAACGTTAAAAAAATTTTGCCTCAATCCTGACTTAAGCTCTCGATTAAAGGGACTGGGAAACAAAGTATTCGACCCCAGCCGACAACTAGGTCTCGACAGTTACGCGCCACTCCAAAATACGTATAAATATCGTCTTGCGAGCGTCATTTGGAGTGCCGAGTACTGCCTAGGTCTCGTCGATAGGAGGGATCGAATTTCGAGCTTATTATCGGCTTGGGATTAGCCTTAGGTTTGGGCTTAGGCTTAGGCTTAGGATTAGGCTTACTGTCTCTCCCGCTCCGCACCGCCAGCATCTGCAGAAATTAGCAGGATGGCCAGGAACAGGAAGGCAAAAATGTATGTGGTGTTCATCTGAAAAGAATTAATGGAAAAAAGAATAAGAAAAGAGATAGATAGAGAGAGAGAGAGAGAGAGAGAGAGGGATAGTGAGATATCTAGCTTTAAAATTCAGTCTTTTCCAAGGATACTTCGATGGTATAGTCTGCTGGTGGTACAACTGTTATCCTATCCTTTATATGGAGCAACCGGGGCGAGTGAGTGAGAGAGCACCGAGATGCAGAGAGAAAACAAAAAACAAGAATGTTGGGGGTGACGTCCGGTTGTTGGCTAAACCGGGGTTGGCGAGAGAGAGAGAGAGAGAGAGAGAGAGAGAGAGAGAGATATCCATGTCCCGAGTATCCATGTCTTGATCCATTTTCCAGCCCCCCGTTTTCCCCAAAGATCATGCGCAAATTGGCCGAACTGGGGAGGCACACCGTGTGAACTACCGAAAATAATAACCCCTGATTTTTGTTTATAGTCCACTCGCGGAATGGGGCAACCTTTAGCAAAAGATCAGCGCCAAGACTTCGGGAATCATCGATTAATCGGGTTGGGAATTCTGGGAATCAGACTAACAGGGAAAACGGGAAACATGAACACTTCGAGAAATCCCGGCACTTACACCAGGCCCTCCCAGGTTTCGTAAGAAAAATTTTTTCGGCATTGTTTTTCATGTTCTTTCAGATGCAGCATTCAGAATAATTTCGCCAAGTTGAGTTCTCGCGGAATCAGCCTTGGAAGGCACGGTCGATCGGGAGGCATGTCGGGTGTCTAGGTGAAACTTCAAAAAATCGTAAAAAAAACCCACAAAGACGGTGTTAAAGGTACACTAAGGTATCGTTGGTTTGGTTACCGGCCGGTAACCGTCCGCGGGATAGCAAACAGGGTGACGGTAGGCGCTCGCCGCGGAGCAAAACCGAACCCTGTCTGCCAGCTTGAGGCAGCGCCTTGGACCACTAGGCCAAGGGAAAGACGGGGAAAGGGGGATGGGGAGGGGCGATAAGAAGGGGCTTGGTTGACTGCGGCAGAGAGCCCAAATTTCCAAACGCGACCGAACTTTTTGAACGAGATTTTAGTGTACCTCTAAAGCTATTGGAAGCTATGCCAGCTAGCACATCGGAATCAGCGTTTCAAGCGGGTTCCGATGAGTCCAGGGCGAAATTTTGACGAGCTCGACTGGCGGAGGCGAATTTTCGAAAAAATCGATATGGTCCCGCTGTCGGCGTTCTGGTGTCGAGGGTCAAGCTATCGTTATTTTGGTTGTCCGGTTATTATGGGGGACAATTAGCATATTTTCCTTGAATGTCCAAATCGTAGAAAAAGCAAAATCAGACACCATTGTTTCGCGGCCCGATCTGGCGATCGCCAGCTGAAATGGAGCTGCTGCTGCTGCCGCTTCTGCTTTTTGCGGGCAACTTGAAAGCTGATGAACCAAAAACAGCGGTGAGTAATGCAAACGGGACGGTGCTTTCGCATTATCGGGGGGGGGGGCATTGGGACGGAAACTACTTTTTTTCTTAGAATTGGGGTTTTCAAATGGTTATTTCGCATTGTCTCGAGGGGAAGAAAGTTTTTTTTCATCGAAGCCAATTTCTTAAAAATGAATGGCGAAAGCATTTCTATACTGTTTTTTACTATTCCTAAACGTAAAAACTTTACAAATTTTGAGTAAAAATACTAAAAATGTCGATTTTTCGACAAAAATCGATTTTTTTTCAACGCAATTAACGACTTTTTAAAATTTTCCAAAGTTTTTAAATGGTTTTGCTAGTCAAAAACAAGGTTTATTGCACTAAAACGGGTTATGAAAATACTTCCTATTAGGTTACTAGAAATTTCTAAATTAATAAAAAAATGTTGCCCCCGATAATGCGAAAGAACTTTTCAAATTTTTCAGAAGCTCGTCTGCGATTTGACGGCCGAGCCGTGGAGCCATTCGCAGGGATGCACGGAGGTGACGCGCGAGATCGTCGACAGAGACCCGGGCGTCGCCTTCAAAGAAATTGTCGACCTCGGCACCTTTGTCTACGAGATCGTATATGGTTCGTGCTACAAGCCGGCCGCTACTTTTCGAACAAAAGGGCAAGAAGAACAAAATAAGCAACATTGATGTCTGGAAAGAGGCACTTAAAAACGCTATGACTTCGGAAACCGGGTTATTTGGCAAAAAGGGGGGCTAAATTCTACTTTATGGTCTGTTCTCAAAATGTCGATTTTTCGACTGGAATCGATCCAGCTCGATGAGGTTGTGCGTTTCCAGTTGAAAAAACGATTGGGAAACGCTTCTGGACAAAGTTATAGGCTTTCGAAAATATACACCAAAATTGATGAAAATCATCGCATTTTTGCTTGGTTTTTCGACCGATAGACACCCAATATGAGCCTAAAAATAAGGCTTCGTGCCACCCGGGGCCTAGTCGCTTCGGATGGGTGCGAGCTCGTACAGGGTTTCGAAATCGGGGCGCCCGAGGCGCGTGTAGCGGCTAGGCGCCCCGATTTCGGAAGAGTGGAGCGGCAGCCCATCAGAAGCGACGGCCCGCCTTGCCTGACAATATTAGAGGCCACAACTAACATTTATTTATCTTTTCCATACTCAAAATACTAATTTTAAAAATTCCAAATGTTTTTAGCCCAGCACGTGAGCACTGGCAGATAGGGCACGCTTTAGAATGCGGGGATAGGAGTGTTGCGTAGCCTACGGACCTTACCAAAAATAGCTTTAAAACGTAATAACTTTTGATTTATGGTATTCCCAATTGTTTTTTCAACGGAAAACGCTTTACCTCACCGAGCTTTATCGTTTTCGGATGAAAAAATGACGTTTATGAACATACCGTAAAGTATACTCGCTATTTTCGAAAGCCTATAACTTTGTCCAGAAGCGTTTCCCAATCGTTTTTTCAACTGGAAATGCACAAGCTCATCGAGCTGCATCGATTCCAGCCGAAAAATTGACATTTTGGGAACATACCGTAAAGTAGAATTTTCCCAAAAGGGGACCAGGAAGCAAAGTATTCGACCCCAGCTCTCGACTGGGTCTAGACAGTTACGCGCCAGTCCTAAATACGCTTAAATGTCGGTTTTGCAAGCGTCATTTGGGATGTTGCGTACCGTCTAGACCTAGTGGACGGGAGGTGACAAATTTCGAGCTTATCGGCTAAGCATATAGGCTTAGTCTTCGGCTTAGGCGTTGGCTTAGGCTTCTGCTAGGCTTGGTCTTAGAATTAGGCTTGTCTTATGTGCAGTTTCCCCCCCACTTACCGTATCTCGGCCCCCTGTTCATCTACAGGTGTGTAAAGTATACCAAAATGTTCGTTTTGCCCTGGCGAGTATTTTGGTATACTTTACAGATGAAGTAGATGAACAGTAAGCCGAGATACAAAATTTGTGTGCCGGCGGCTGGCAAGCTGCACTCTAACCTTAGGCTTAGGCTTGGGCTTAGGAGTAGGCTTAGGTTTCTATTGTTAGGCTCACTTCTGCGCAACTTCTATTCCAGCATGCCCGCAGAGTTCAAGCGAATATGTGCACTACTGCCGGTGGCGACGGTCGCGCAGGTTCAACTTCGTCGTGCCCATCGAGCCGGGCTGCTGGCGCTACGGGTGGAAGGAGAATCGCGAAGACGGCAAGCACGTTTGCGGTTCGTTTTGCTAGCGTTTCGAGAGAGAGAGAGAGAGCGAGAGAGAGAGAGAGAGAGAGATAAAGTTAAAGACAAACATTTTTCCAGTCGATGACTTTGACCTAACCAAGCAAGAAGCAGGGAATTATTGGCCCCAGCGGCCGATGGAATTGCGTGCGTTCAACGTGCGGTTCAACGCACTCTACAGGCACTACTTCCCCGATCAGGTACGGTATTTTGGACAGCAACTAACTTGATTTTTTTCCTGCTAACCCCCCGCTAACAGTACAGTACCTGAAATTTCAGGACAGACTCGATCCACGCAGGGTTGCTTCGCGCGGCGCCGTCCATTTTGCCGTGGGCTGCTTACTTTTAAGCTCTCTCTCGTTTTCTCTCTGTCTCTCTCTCTCTCTCTCTCTCTCTATCTATCTACAATTTTCCAGTACATCACCTGCGACGTCACCGGCCCACCCTACCATCCGGTGCACGGCTGCAAGCAGCTGACGCGCACCCAAGCAGACCCTGACTGGGGCATCGCCTTCGAGGAGGAGCTCAACTACAAGACGTACAACGTCACCTGGGTGACGTACGGTGGGTTAGGGAAGCGTATGCTTCAACTTAAGTCTAAGCCTTCGCGAAGCCTACGCGCAGCCTAAGCCGGAGTCTAAGGCTAAACTAGGCAAAGTGTAAGCCCAAGCCCAAGCCAAACCCTTCGTCTTCAGCTTGCCCACAAGTTCCGGGCGAGCCCGACTACGTGTCGTTCTGCTTCAGGCCGTTGCTCAATGAAGGCCAGCCAGCCGGCCAGATGGGCTGCTGGCGCTACGCGAGGAAAAACACGAGTCGAAGCGTACTTGATTGCTGTTGGTTTCATAAAGCTTAAGCTTACGCCTAGCCTAAGCCTAAGCCTAAGCCTAAGCCTAAGCCTAAGCCTAAGCCTAAGCCTAAGCCTAAGCCTAAGCCTAAGCCTAAGCCTAAGCCTAAGCCTAAGCCTAAGCCTAAGCCTAAGCCTAAGCCTAAGCCTAAGCCTAAGCCTAAGACTAAGCCTAAGCCTATGCCAAAGCTTAAGCCTAAGCCTACGCCTAAGCCTAAGACTAAGCCTAAGCCTAAGCCTAAGCCTAAGCCTAAGCCTAGGACTAAGCCTAAGCCTAAACCTAAGCCTAAGCCTAGGCATATGCCTATGCCAAGCCTAAGCCTAAGCCTAAGCCTGAACCTACGCCTATGCATATCCCTTTCTTTCAGTCAACGACCTCAAAAGTAACGACTGGCCCGACGAGCCGATGCAGCTGGCAACGGCGCTCAGCCCGGGTTTCCGCGAACTCGTCGAATTCTACTTCCCGAACGGCGTACGTTGCCTAGGGGCCTATTTTTCGGATGCTTGGAAATCAGGAAATATGAAATTGTTACTCGTTTAGAAATATGATTTCGGGGACCCGAGCGGCGTACCAAGGGTGAAGCGACCCGAAGGCGGCGTGCCCTACCAGGTTTAATTGTCCTGCTTTCTCGAAATCCGCGTGATTTCAGCAACACTGGCTGTATCCCGCGTCAACACCACCACCAACGACGCGGCTGCCCTTCCATGTCCCGCCGGATCTGCTGGCGATGGTCCTGTTGGGGATGTTAGAGATGGGATTGGTGGCGTGTCTCGTCCTTTACTGTGGCCACGAGATCAGGAATAGTATGTTTTCTCTTTTGGGAAGAAGTAAGTCTAAGCCTAAGCCTAAGCCTAAGACTAAGCCTAAGCCTAAGACTAAGCCTAAGCCAAGCCTAAGCCTAGGGCTAAGCCAAGCCTAAGCCTAAGCCTAAGACTAAGCCTAAGCCTAAGCCAAACCTAAGCCTAGGGAAGCCAAGCCTAAGCCTAAGACTAAGCCTAAGCCTAAGCCCAGGGCAGGCTAGCAAAGGTTCTTTGTGGTCCAAAAGCCAAAATTTCAGTACGCCGGATGCGGCGGGAACGAAAAGAGCTCGCTGCCGCCCAGGAAGCTGGAAAAAACACGTCAAAAATGCTGGAAGCCACGGGTAGCACCATGTACGTACTTTTTTTCGTACATTAGCTAAAAATGTTTTCTTTTTCCTCGGCATTTTGGGTTTTCTTGGAAGTGAAAAACGAAATTTGAAAAGAATAATTTTGCAGGCAATTTTTTAGGAATAATGAGGCGGATGCGGCGAACGCAACCAACACGGCTGACGCGCCGCAGCAGCCACCCGACGCCGGGCTGGTGAAGCTGGGATAAATGCCCTGCCCTGCTTGCCCTTGACGGATCGGCCGGAGCAGCTGGAATCTCTTCTATTCACGATCACCTACCTAAACGACATATCCTTGCCGATTGTATCTATTGTTGTGTGGTCTTGCCGTGATGTATTTTGGGATAAATATGGGATACGAGAGAAAAAAAGGGAAAGAGAGAGGGGGAAGAGAGGGAGAGAGGGGGATGAGAGAGCAAGAGAGAAAGAGAGAGAGAGAGGGAGAGAAAGAGAGAGGGAAAGAGAGGGAGAGAGAGAGGGAGAGAGGGCGAGAGAGGCAGAGAGGGGAAAGAGGGGGAGAGAAGGCGTGGGAGAGCTAAAGATAGAGAGGAAGAGAGAGTGAGTGCAGGCGAGAGAAGGAGCGAGCAAGAGAGTGGGAGACTACGCAGAGAGAACCCGGAATTTGCCGGTACTTTCACTTTATCGGGGGGTATGCTAGTAATCTCACAGTAGTTTTTAGTGAAATCCATCTCTGTTTTCTGCAGAAAAATGTCCTAAAAATTTTAAAATTCTACATTTTTCTCGAAAATCGACCATTTTAGGCCGAAAAAAATTTGATATTTTCCTTATTTTTAAGCAACTTTGCCAAGTTTCCATGTCTGGCAAGGGTAAAAACGGCTAAAAACGCTTTCGCATGTTACATTAAACAGAATTCAACATGTGAAAAAGGTGCCCCAGAAAATACACAAGATCCGAATCCTGAATTCCCCGGCGTCGTCTTCCCTGAACCCATTCAACCCACGTGGCCTGGCTAAATTCCTGAATTTACGACTCGAAATTTCCTCAAGATGATGTGCACCACTGGTAAATTACCCATAAAACAGTCCGCTTCACACCTTATGACCTCGTAAACTGCCGGGCCAGGCCATTTGGAGGGGTTTTGATGAGTGACAGGCCAAAATTCCGCAGATTCCTCGCCGGCTCCCCGGGGGGCATTAAGCCCGGGGTTAAGCAGCTTATCTGATAACGGGGGGTAAGGAAGCGAAATTTGGACCCGAGGGTGTTAGGGTGAGGGTCCCCATGGCCCTGATTTTGGAGGGTTACGGTAGGGAGGGCAAGGAATCGAATCGGAACCTCGTTGAGGTATTTTAAAGAGACGAGGAAGAGCGAAAATCTACCTTGCATTAATTCTAGGCATCGACAAAATTTTGTCTAACCGGCTAAGAGAGACCGCAATCAGAGAGTGAATCCCGGCAATAATCCCGACAGCCAAAATACCGACGGTCCAAACTGCCGACAAACCAAAATTTCGGATTTTGACTTTCAGCATCTTGGCTTTTTCCTGCAGATATTCTCCACAGAGCCCTCTGCTAGCCTGCCCCAGTTTTAGGTTTGGGCCGCCGGCATTCCTCACGCATCTCTGCCGGCATGCCCGAGTTTCAGGTCCAGGCGGGCGGCTTTCGCCCAAACAACGCTGCGCGCCTGCTGTGTATAAAATTCATCAATTTCCGGGCCTTCCACTTTCCTCAATAATCTCTGCTGGCCTGCCCACGTAACCCCCCAAAATCGCCAGTAGCCTAAGCACATGCCGACTGTGATTTCAACCTGGTTCTTGTGACGTCGACGGAAATGGCAAGGGGGGAGGGGATGTTTTGATATAGGGCAGAGGCTTATCTCTTTTGGGGGTGCTTTGGGGTGACGGGGCCACTCAGGCTCACAATTCACCATAGGGCTACGCGAAGAATTATTGCTTTCACGCCATCTGGTCCATTCCCAAATGATCTCCGCTAGCCCGCCATTGCCTTAAACTTCGATTTGCGCTGCCCAAAGGTCGCTGCTAGCTTGCCCAGACCGAAAAGATGGTAGATTCCTTTCGTTCTAGCTAATCCAGAGAATCCCTGCCTAAGCCTAAGCTTAAGCCTAAGCCCAAGCCAAGCCTAATCCTAAGCCAAACCTACGCCCAAAAAGCTCAAGCCTGAGCCTACTATTTTGCAAAAGTTGTAATTCCCTAAGACTCTCGGCTAGCTGGCGCTGAAATCCTAACCTCATGCTGAAAGTTACGCCTCAAACCCTTTAGCCCCCATTAGCCTATGGTCTAAACCAAAGCCCATAACTAAACTTAGCTTATGCCGAATCCTAAGCCTAAGCCTAAGCCTAAGCCCAAGCCTAAGCCTAAGCGTAAGCCTAGCCTAATCCTAAGCCTAACCCAAAGAATCGCTGCTATCCTACCCTGAATCCCAATCTCATGCTCAAAGTTTAACCCCAAACCACAGCCCTCCGGTGACGCAATTCGTCTTTTGTTTGGAGCCCACAGCTCCCAGTACTTTTTTTGCAGAATTTTTGAAACTTTGACCCTCCCCGTCGAAAGCTTCCCCTTTCCAGAACCTCAAAAAACGCGAGAAAGAAATCCTTGAAAGAATGCGTCGACGAAGCGAAGACGATAAGCGCATTTCGCAAAAACAGCTTATGCGGCTTTTGGCTAGGGGATTACGGTAGGGGGAGGGCATTCCATAGACTGTCATAAGCCGCATGGGGGCCTGGGAACGGTTTATAAGGAGTTGGGAGGGTTGACTCGAGCTCTCGCGAGCTAGTTTTTGAGGCTGGGGTTGCTGTCCTGGTGCCTTTAACAGCTAAATTCCACAAAAATCGCCGCTAGCTTGCCCTATTCACATCTTTTTGCCAAAACCTTCTATTTTCTGAATTCCGCAAAGTGCTTCTGCTAGCCTGCTCGCCGGCTTTTGCCAGCTTGCTCTTTTTTCTAATTTTCAATCCCACCACCCCAAAATTTATCATAATATTTTTGGGCGTCTCCCGGCTTAGTAAGCCGCTTATTAAAGCTCAAAAATTATGGGTTAACCCCCCCCCCTCCCCCACAAAATAAAATAACAAACAAGATTTGTCTAAAAGGCGGAGAGAGAAAGAGAGAGAGAGAGAGAGAGAGAGAGAGAGAGAGAGAGAAAGAGAAAGAGAGAGAAAGTACAGCCCATTTTTGGTCATGCGCTCTTTTTGTTTGCACGCTGTTTGGATTCGTCAGGCTTTTTGGCAGCTGCGATCGCTTTTGCAAAGGGGCGTGGCGTAATTAAATGGCAAAAGACGGTTTTTAAAGAGAAGGAGACGTTTTTTAATCATATGCCCTTGCTAGCCTGCCCTTTCCTAAAGAATCTCTGCTAGCTAGCTCTGTAATTTTTGCTCTTATTTTCGTTTCCCAAATAAATCTCGGGACCCGCAATTCGTTCATTGGATCGTCGCGGAGCCCCCTCTTTTTGACCGTGCGCCCGACAATTTAGACGATTGCATTCAATGACGCACCGAGGGGGAGGCAGACCCTGGGATCGGATTTTCCTTATTTATCGCTGTTCTGAACGTTTTGGGCTTTGTGCTTTGTCTAGTTAGCTTCGTTTCAAAAGCTTGGTAGAGCCCGAGCTAAGCCCAAGCTTAAGCCTAAGCCGAGTACAGTAGCCAGATCACAAAACCTCAAAACCTGGCTGCGGCAAGAGTCGCCGATGAGCTATTTCCGTTGATGGGGATGTGTATTTTCTCTCTCTCTCTCTTTCTCGCTCTCTCTCTCTCACTCTCTCTCTCTCTCTCTCTCTCTCTCTCCTTTTTCTCTCCTTCATAGGTCCGGCCCGGCCGGAAGTCTGTCACTCCACCCCTTCCCATTGTCATTGACAGACGGGAAAAAGCTAACATTCCGGCCTGTCTCCGAATTTCCCAAAGAATCTCTGCTAGCCTGCCATCTCCTAAAGAATCTCTGCTAGCCAGCCCTTTCAAGAATCTCTGCTAGCCTGCCCTTTCCTAAAGAATCTCTGCTAGCCCTATTTATGTCTATGCCCCTTTAAAATGTCAATTTTCCGCTTTCTGGACCTCATCAGTCTCCCGGAATGGAATGCTCATTATTATTCCGGGAACCCCGGGTCCGCCCCATTATTTTTTTTTGAGGTCAGCGGCTTCTGGCTAATGGACATCTGGCCAAACAGCAAAAAATTCGGGACGCTCGGGGCAGGCTAGCAGAGATTCTTTAGGAAAGGGGAGGCTAGCAGAGATTCCTTAGCAGAGAGAAAGGCTGAAGGAATGGGCAGGCTAGCAGAGATTCTTTAGGAAAGGGGAGGCTAGCAGAGATGCCTGAGGAATTGGACTGCCACATTACTTGAATGCCCATTAACGATTTGAGTACCTTTTTAAAGTGCTAAATCGAGAATTCTCATGCCACAGTCCCTTTAGAACAATTTCTCTCTCTCTCTCTCTCTCTCTCTCTCTCTCTCTCTCTGTCTCTGTCAATTTCCGGCTCCTTTAAAAATCATCCGCAGCCAGTCACCGACAAATTTCCCCAATTTCCGGCCACCACCACTCCCGGTAGATAGAGATAATGGGCGTCGTTTTGTACTGTTTCTAGGGCTCTCTCTCACTCTCTCTCTCTCTCTCCCTCTCTCTCTCCCATCCGCCGCGTGCTCGTGCCCGTAAATAGAATCTCCGTTTGTGCACCCGACGCGCCGCCGATAATTTATGACCTTTTCGAGGTTTTGCTATCCCTATTTTTGGACCCGCCTTTGCATTATAGTTTCTTCACTCGGCGAACGGTATTTCCTCACCTTTTGTAATTTGGAAAATTGTTCAAATGGTCGGGCTATCGGATATTTCCTGAAACATCCCTGCTAAGCCTGCCCTTTCTCAAGAATCTCTGCCAGCTTGCCCTTTCCTAAAGAATCTCTGCTAGCCTGTCCTTGGCTATGGAATATCTTTAAGCTTTTCTGCAGATTTCACGGATTTCTTGATCCCACATTTGCCTTAAAACTTCGTCATGAGTAGCCTAGCGGAAATCCCCAATCTCCTGACCAACCGGATCCGGTTTGAGCAGGAAATTCGGCGGTGTGGAGGCCATAAATCGGGCTCCTCATCTCGGTTCTTCGAACAATTTATGACCCACGAATTGGCAACGATAAGCTCGAGCGAGACAAGGGAAACATGGCCCCGGAGACGCGCCTCAATTTTTGGGTAACTTTAGGGCGCCGGTAGCAAGTGGGTGGGGTACGGTAGCCGGGATGTGTTTTAGGAATCGCAAGATTCTGCTGAATGCCTATCAAAATCGTATTTTCCTTATTTTTATTGTTCCGCAAAGAATCTCTGCTATCTTGCCCTGATTTTTGCAGCTGATACCGCAGAGAATATCTGCTAGCATGCCCCCATACTAAAGCAGTTTTCTTGCCTAGTTTGATTGCAAGCGGTATTCCTTTAAAGTCCTTGGTTCCATCATCGTTACATTTCCGCAAAGCGCTTCTGCTAGCCTGCTTGGCTGGCACTCTCCCTTCAAGGTTTCTAGATCGATTTCCCTAAGTGTCTCTGCTAGCCTGCCCGCGTAATTTGATATTTTCATCAGTTTTGCAATTTTTCCTTCTTTTTTTCCAAATACGACCTGGATCCTACCTGCCCAGTCCCTTTAATCCCCATCATTTTGGCTTTTGGGCTTTCCATCACCTCCCACCGTTCATAGTCCAGACGCGTAGTCATCCCCCCCCCCCCACCTTATTGCCTTGATTTCCTGTGGTTGATGGGCCGCTGACGTCACCCGGACTATTTCTTGGGCCGAAAATCTGAAATGGCTGTATTTTGGAATTTCTTGCTTTGTCTCTCGCTCTCCCTCTCCCTCTCTCCATCTCTCTCTCTTTCTCTCTCGTCCCTCTCTCTCTCTAAAAATTCACAAAATTCAGATATTGATGCCGAAATGCGATCTATGCAGATAGTATTCACCCTACTTTTTGTCGTCACCCAGCTCGACGGCTACAAAATATTGTCGAGGAAGTCGAGGAATTTGAGGGTGAGCGAGAGAGCGCGAGTGGGTGAGAGAGTGAGAGAGTGAGAACGAGAGAGAGCAAGAGCTAACAGTTCCCAATCTTTTTTCTGCAAAATATTTGCGCAAAATCCATGCGGGAGGGAGATTTTTGGCGCATTGCCGACCCGAGTCTTGTCGACTAATCTCCCCTTAACCGGTTCTGCGATGAGGGCAAACAAGGAGATGAGCACGAGCTGCTGCTCTGCTCCCTTTACGGTTCCACCGCATACCGCATACTTTTACTTTCCTCTCCCCCCATTTCGACAAGGAGTCTCGGATCGGAATCTCGAGGGCGCGGTGATTATGGCATTACAGCGTGATAGATATGGCTTTGAGGTTGCGGAAATTTTTTGAAGGGAATCTCGACAAGCATAATACCGACAGCTAAAATACTGACAGCCAAAGTGTCGACATCAAAAATACCGACAGCCAAAATCTCGACAACCAAAACCCGATAGTCAAAATCCCGACAAAAAAGTAAAAATGTTTTAAACGATTTTTTAGTTAGAACACCAATTCCACGACCCGCCGGAGAGCGACTCCGATGAAGCGGCCAATTTTCTGGAATATGAGAATTATGGAGAGGAGCCGCTGCTCCGGGGGTTGGAGGAGACCATCCACCGACTTGCCAAGGAGCGAGAAGTCGAGAGATTATGTGGGTTTGAAGAGCGAGAGAGAGAGAGCGATAGAGAGAGAGCAAGAAATCACGCAAAATCATTTTTTCAGTCGAAACCATCCGTCGCGAGAAGGCCGTCACATTTGAAGCCCCGCAACCTACCCTACAACCGGGCGACAAGCCCGGAGTGGCCCTCCGCCTAACCGAACACGCCATGAAATACTTGAAACAGGTGGGTTAGCTTGGCTTAGGATTAGGCTTTGGCTTGGGTTTGGCTTAGGGTTAGGTTCAGGCTTAAACTTAGGCTTAGGCTTAGGCTTAGGCTTGGCTTGGGCTTGGGCTCGGCCTAGGGTTAGGCCTGGACTTGGGTTTGGGCTTAGGCTTAGGCTTATGCTTCGGCCTTCATCTTATGCAGCGCTAGCAGGCTTTCAGAGATCGTTTACGAAAGCAAAATATCCCACATCAATCGATCGATTCTAGAAATTCTTGGCCGTCCTTCGACACGACCTCATCCGAAGTCACCCACCTCGGCTTGAAGCTTCGATTCTTGGAGCAAACTTGACGGTAGATGAGGTGCAGGTTGCGGACTTTCAGGCGCCAATGATCAGCACGGAGGTAAGGTATTTTTAATTTTGGTGCTGAATTTATGCAATAAAAATTCAATTAAAAGGTATTTTTTTAGAATCTGGGCGACGGCACGTTCCGCGTGACAGCTGTTGACGGGAAAGCAAAGGTTGGTTCGCATCTCTCTCCCCTTCTCTCTCTCTCGCTCTCTTCCTCCTTATCTCTCTCTCTCTCTCTCTCTCTCTCTCTCTCTCTCTCTCTCTCTCTCTCTCTCTCTCGCTCGCTCTCTCTTCCTCGCTTTCTCGCTCCCTCGCTCTCTTTCTCCCACTCTCTCCCTCTCTCACCATCGCTTTCTCTCTTTCTCATTCTCTCTCTCTCTCTCTCTCTCTCTCTCTCTCTCTCGCTCTCTCTCTCTCCCTCTTTCCCTCTCTCTCAACCTCCAATTTCCAGCTCCGCGGCCAATACCTGAACATCTTCCGCACCACCCGCCAAGGCCAATTCGAAGCCGAACTCACCGGACTTGACGTCGAGCTGAAGCTCAAATTCCTGAAGACGTTCGAGGGTCGCCTGAAGGTAGGCGAAAATTCCTGCTAAAAGAGGAGGCGCAGATATTGCAGCTGATCGACCACTCTTGCCAATTTCGTCTCCACCCGGCTACCGTAACCCTGGAGCCCGAGTTGGGAATGCCGTTTGCTGAAAAGCTGCAGGTGGGTAGCAGAGATTTTTGAGGAAAGGGCGACCTAGCAGAGATTCTTTAGGAAAGGGCGGGCTAGCAGAGATTCTTTAGGAAAGGGCAGGCTAGCAGAGATTCTTTAGGAAAGGGCAGGCTAGCAGAGATTCTTTAGGAAAGGGCAGGCTAGCAGAGATTCTTTAGGAAAGGGCAGGCTAGCAGAGATTCTTTAGGAAAGGGCAGGCTAGCAGAGATTCTTTAGGAAAGGGCAGGCTAGCAGAGATTCTTTAGGAAAGGGCAGGCTAGCAGGGACTCTTTAAGAATTAATCTCTAAAATTTTTTCAGGAAACCCTAACCCGACGAGTCCAAGCAGCCGTCTGCCCGGCTTTCGACGCCTCGCTGAAGAACTTTGAGGAGAACCTGCCCCAGCTGGCCCACTTCCTCAACCCCCTCTCCACCGCCAAGCATTTCAGGTGGCTTTAAAGGGGTTGTAAAGGTTCGTGCTGATTTCGGCCTTTTATTAAGGGTATAAAAAATTGAAAACCACGTTTTTCCTTATTAAAAACATGTCTAAATTCTAAAACGTCGCCCAAACCGAAGCAAAGCAACGCTAAACCCAAGCCTAAGCCTAAGCAACTCGGCGTAACCGAATTTTTGCAGCCAAGACGTTTCGTTCGACACCCGACTGACTGCCGAACCGGAGGTGGCCTCAAGCTACGCCCAGCTCGCGATCCGAGGCGAATTCTCGAGCAACCGGACGACCATCGAGGAGAAGCCGCACCATTTGGCGGTGGGTTTCCGAGCTTAAGCCTGCGCTTGCGCTTAAGCCCAAACCTAAGCCTAAGCCTGAAGCACAGCCTAAGCCTAAGCCTAAGCCTAAGCCTAAGCCTAAGCCTAAGCCTAAGCCTAAACCTAAGCCTAAGCCTAAGCCTAAGCCTAAGCCTAAGCCTAAGCCTAAGCCTAAGCCTAAGCCTGAACCTAAGGCTAAGCGTAGGTCCAAGCCTAAGTCCAAGCCTAGGCCTAAGCCTAAGTCTAAGCCTAAGCCTAAGCCTAAGCTTGTAGCAAAGCCTAAGCCTAAGCCTAAGCCTAAGCCTAAGCCTAAGCCCAAGCCTACGCCTAAGCCAATTCTAAGCCTAACCAAAGCCTAGCCTAAGCCTAAGCTCACGCCTATACTTCCTCATTTCAGACCTCCCCTTCTGACATCGAGCGTATGGCCTACACCTACATCTCGGACCATACCGTTTCCACCTTCCTGCGTCAACTGTCGACATTCGGAGACGTCCGCTTCAATCTGCACGTCCTCCCGGAGATTGCCGACTTTTTGAGGCCCAGCTGCGCCAAGTTCGAGCCCTGCATCGGGCATTACGCCCAGCTGGACGGGGTAAATGCGGCTAGCGGTGAGTATTTGGGAACACAGGGCCATGGCGGCTAGCAGAAAAAATTTGGGAAGCCTGGGGCTGAACGAAAAACTAGCAGCATCCATTTGGGAAGCAAAAACTAAACGAAAAATTCGGATTTTCAGGTCGTCTCGTCGTTCGCTCGCGTGCTTCACCGAAGGTCCGATTTCATCCGGGTCACGCGGCTATTCGTCTCAAGACTACTGTAGAATTGAGGTGAGAGAGAGCGAGAGATAGCGAGAGAAAGAGCGTAAAAGAGAGAAAGAGAGAGAGAGAGAGAGAGAGAGAGAGAGAGAGAGAGAGAGAGAGAGAGAGAGAGAGAGAGAGAGAGAGAGAGAGAGAGAGAGAGAGAGAGAGAGAGAGGGAGAGCGAGGTTGATTAGGCTTAGGCCCGCTAACTCAAATAAGCCGTGACTTCAAACTACAAGCCAAAACCACCGTTTCAGCTATCGCCCCCAGGACGATCTCTTCACCGAAGACACCCTCTACGCCCAATTTGACGCTGAGGTCGTGCTCAAGCTCACAAAGTTGCTTATCCGACGGGGAAGAGCACCCGGCACCTACGAATGGTCCGCCCGGGTCCACATCCTCGAGACTACGGTAGAACGCGCAAGAAATGAAGTCTCTAAGCCCGTTTTAGGTGTCGAACGGAGTCGCAGTGAAACCGGTCATGGACAAGTTTATCGGCAATTTGCAGTCGATTATGGACAAGTCGACGGAGTACTTGGAGGTAAGCACAATCAGGTTTCAAAGGAGAGTTGAAGACCAAAATATGGTTTAGATGGGGCGGACTAGCAGCGATCATTTGGGAATGGAAGGGGCAGGCTAGCAGAGATCATTTGGGAATGGAAGGGGCAGGCTAGCAGAGATCATTTGGGAATGGAAGGGGCAGGCTAGCAGAGATCATTTGGGAAAGGAAGGGGCAGGCTAGCAGAGATCATTTGGGAATGGAAGGGGCAGGCTAGCAGAGATCATTTGGGAAAGGAAGGGGCAGGCTAGCAGAGATCATTTGGGAATGGAAGGGGCAGGCTAGCAGAGATCATTTGGGAATGGAAGGGCAGGCTAGCAGAGATCATTTGGGAATGGAAGGGGCAGGCTAGCAGAGATCATTTGGGAATGGAAGGGGCAGGCTAGCAGAGATCATTTGGGAAAGGAAGGGGCAGGCTAGCAGAGATCATTTGGGAATGGAAGGGGCAGGCTAGCAGAGATCATTTGGGAATGGAAGGGGCAGGCTAGCAGAGATCATTTGGGAATGGAAGGGGCAGGCTAGCAGAGATCATTTGGGAATGGAAGGGGCAGGCTAGCAGAGATCATTTGGGAATGGAAGGGGCAGGCTAGCAGAGATCATTTGGGAATGGAAGGGGCAGGCTAGCAGAGATCATTTGGGAATGGAAGGGGCAGGCTAGCAGAGATCATTTGGGAATGGAAGGGGCAGGCTAGCAGAGATCATTTGGGAATGGAAGGGGCAGGCTAGCAGAGATCATTTGGGAATGGAAGGGGCAGGCTAGCAGAGATCATTTGGGAATGGAAGGGGCAGGCTAGCAGAGATCATTTGGGAATGGAAGGGGCAGGCTAGCAGAGATCATTTGGGAAAGGAAGGGGCAGGCTAGCAGAGATCATTTGGGAATGGAAGGGGCAGGCTAGCAGAGATCATTTGGGAATCCCATCCAATTTTTCGACCTGTGAAATTATGTTTTTTAGGCAATCCTCTCCACCCATCTCGGCTCGCTTCTTCCCGTGGAGCTGTCGAAGCACGTGGAGCTCGACAAAATCGAGCCCGAGTTCCGAGACCGGACGCTCGCCGTGGGCTTCGATTTTGAGATGGATGCGCAGTTGTTTCCCCGGTTACAACATGCCTAAACGGCGCATGGCATCTGGTGTTTGTGATTAAAATTCTTCTATTTTACTTGCCGTCCGAAGCCTAAGCCTAAGCCTAAGCCTAAGCCTAAGCCTAAGCCCGGCCTAAGCCTGAGCCTAAGCCTGAGCTCCCGGTCTAAGCCTAAGCCCAAGTCTAAGCCTAAGCCTAAGCCTTAGCCTAAGCCAAAACCTAGACTTAAACTTAAGCCCCTGAAAACGCTAGGGTACCACTTTGATCTCACCTTAAAGTCCATAAATAGTTCCCTCAAATTCATCACTACAAACTACTAATTACTACGCTCTAAAACACTGATCCCCCACCCGATCTACCGTATGCTTTATGGCCCACTCCCCCACCAAGTACGTTCCACTCCAAAACCCACCCCGCCCTCCTCCCTATCCCGCCGCCCTGATCTCTGCCCCAGCGCATAATTTCTGTAAATTATTTGGTGACCTGTGTTATCTTCAGTTATTGTGGATTTTGTTGATGGAATTAAATGGTTTTTCATATTATCATGATGGATACAGGAAAGAGCAGAAAGGGAGCGCGAGAGAGAGCGAGAGAGTAGAGAGCGAGAGGGAGAGAGCGAGAGAGAGCGAGAGAGAGCGAGAGAGAGCGAGAGAGAGAGCGAGAGATATAGAGATTGACGCAAATTTCCCGGAAAAATCCTTTGCTCCAAAACGGCAAAAAGTGATCACTTCGAAAAATTCTATCAATTCAACTAGGGCCGCCCAAGTTTCGTAGCAAAACTTTTTAGCACCATTCTTCATGCTCTTTCAGATGCATAAAACCACACGATTGGCAAGGTTAATTTCTCGCGAAATCAGGTTTGAAAGACACCACCGAGGAGGCGGCCGGCCGGGTGTCCAGCTCAAACTTCACAAAAAAAACGTGAAAACCAGAAACGCAATGTTAGAGCGATGCCAGTTAGCACATCGGAATCAGCGTTTCAAGGCGGTTCGAATGAGTCCAGGGCGAAATGCTGACGAGCTCGATTTGCGGAGGCGAATTTTCGAAAAAATACATTTGCTCGAAAACGACGAAAAGTGAGCACTTCGAAAAATCCTAGCACCTACCCCAGGGCCCCCCAAGTTTCGTCACAAAACTTGTTCAGCACCATTTTTGACGCTCTTTCAGATCCAACTTGAAACTGTGTTGAAAATGCCTGATCGGCTCATATCTTTCAAATTTTCTTGGTGTTGTTAGCCCGACAAACGGACGAACATCAATAGCCCGCAATCCATAACATTGAGCAGATGTGGGGGTCAACGTAGAGACGTGGGAGACATCAAACAATCCATTTATTACTCAAAATTATTTTCCTTGGCATTCGCACTACGACCCGGAATGACATCACCTGCTAGCTTCGATTTTCTGAGGCTCAACGATGCGCAACGGCTGGCCGTCTACCATCATTTGGGCTTTTGGGCAAAGCGTGAGCTTCGGCGCGTCGCCAAGGTATTTCGGTTCTGGACTGTTTGCGGGGAGAGGCACGTGCCAATTCCTGGGAAAAATTTGGGTAACCCCAACTACAAATCCCTCACCCCCGCTAACAGCCTAGAACCCGCATGTCTATAGGCACAGTTTTCGTCAAATTTCGTTCTGCAATCCGTTTCAGGTGTTCAAGGAAAAACCGGCTCATCGTTTCCTTTTTGCGACGCGGTTTCAATACGTTCGCCTCCTCGGTGCATGCGGCGTATGTTTTTGGGTGTGCTTTCTCATTATCGGGGGGGGGGAGGGGGTACTTTTCCCTTTTCATCCGATTTTCGAAATATTAATAGAGGAACTGTGTCTACATAGCTTTTTTACTACTCCTAAACGTAGCAACTTTACTTTTTTGAATGAAAAAACTAACAACCATTTGACCAAATTTTTTTCGGCCCACCCCTACATTTTTTTTATGGATAGCGGATGCGTTTCTCTCGATTTATCGGAAAAGTTTGAGTCCCTCTTGCGGGTAATACGAACGAACCCTGTCTATTGTCGATTTAAGGGTGCGGATTGTGCCCGTTCGGATGTCCGAATAATTGACTACACGTTCTGCCCAAACGCTCTGCTAATCGCAGTGGCCAACCCCGCGAAACACCTCGGAATGGAATACAAAGACGAGTGAGTCTGCATACAAGGGAACCTCCTAACCAGGCCTTGACAACGGGCCGGGCCGGGCCGGGTTTTTGTGCCTAAGCCTAAGCCTAAGCCTAACCCTAAGCCTAAGCCTAAGCCTAAGCCTAAGCCTAAGCCTAAGGGTAAGCCTAAGCCTAAGCCTAAGCCCTAAGCCGGATCGGGCCCGATTTCGATGATTTTCAGGTAATTTTTTGCGAATTTTCGGCCAAAAATCGTAATTTTTTCAATTGTTTCGAAATTTTCCAAACTTTTCCAGCCTTTTTAGGTCCTTTTGTTAGATTGTTGGTCTATAACCCGATTTTTCAATTTTTTTTTTTGTTCCGGGAGTTACAGGCCGTGGCCCTGATGGTCTAGCGCCGTACTGGGGGGCGGTCGCTCGGGATTCTAACGAGGGTTCAGACCCGCTCCCGGTTTTTATTTTTTGCTTTTTGGTCGAAAGCTACCTTTTCGCATCCCGAAGCTCTAAAAAAACCTTTCTTATTTTTTTTATTTCCAGGATCTACACCAAAGTTGGTGACAGTATTTGTCGGGTTTTTATTTGCAAGTACACCCAATGTTGATGACTTCCGCTCGTATTAGGGTTTCGTAATTTTTATGCAAACTAAAGTTTCGGCGCAGGCCAAAGTGAGAAACCCGGAAACGGCCGAAGGAAGGCCTCAAGGGTATTTGATGGGTTTTCGGCGCGGCGGATCGGTTGGCGCCATTGGCGGTTGGCTGGCGGGCTGGTTAGCACGCTGGGCTGTTAAGTGAACCATCGCTGGTTCGACTCCCGCCGGTGCAAAATTCTTTACTTTTTGCGCCAAAAGCATCTTTCTCGAGCCTTTTAAAACCATTTTTGTTTAGTACCGGCGCGCCGGCGTCGTTTGCCAAGAACCAGTACAACACCACCACGATGATCACATCCCAAGCAGCTCAGCTCGATTTTTTGAATCGACTGACTGCTGCGATGCCCCCTTGTGAAGTCAATTTCGTTTGTAACCCGTGTCATATTGTGAGTTGATGCGTTTTCTTCAAGGTTCTTCCCTGTTAACGGGGGGCATTTCTTTTTCTTCAGTAATTCCGTACGGCCCTTTAGCCAAAATATGAACGATTTCATGGTGTTTTACACGGTTTTGAGATATTATCTCGATAAAACATTACAACAAATTTTTAACCTTTTTTACTTTTTGGTCAAAGATGTATGAAAAATTCGGAAAAAGGTCAAAGATCGACTTTTCAAATTTTTTGTGTAATTTGTAGGACAGCTTATCGAAGGGGGCGGACCAACTCTTTTCTTGGGATCTAACTTTCAAAATAAATAGTGGAAGTGTTGCTAAATGATTTTTTTTACTATTCCTAAACGTGAAAACTTTACAAATTGGTATTAAAAATATCGATTTTTTGACCGAAAATGGCCGATTTTGACTAAAATGTCGGCTTTTTTAAGTTTTTAGTTAGGTTTTTAGTTAGTTCGTTAAAAGGTTCGCCCCCCGATAATGTAAAAAAACCGAATCTGGATCATCCTTCCGTGTTCAGGTGGACAGCGATTGCATCCGCTATAATCTTGATGTGTGCCGCTGGCCGATCAATGCTCTACATCAATGTTTGGCCCGCGATGCGCCGCTGATTGTGATGCTCCGTGAAGCACGCAAAACTACCAGCAGACATAATTCGGCTGTGCGTTTTTGGGGCGACTTTTCATCTAAATGTCTCTTGTAGGTGGAGATTTATTTGCCGGATACGCCGAATACTGGGGGGCCGACAGACCCGGCGTGCTTTCAGCAGATTTTCGAGCAGGTACATATCCTCTTCGCCCGTTGTTTTGTGGTAATGGAGGGTGATGCTCAAAAGGCCGATTTTACATATACAGATGGCCGATTTACAGGACAGAAAATTTTGAAAATTTTGAAAAATTAAAAAAGAAAAATTTGGCCGGTTTATTGCAAAGGGGATGAAAAGACAATATGCGTCTTTGTTTATTGAAAATTTTTGCACAGGTTTTTCGTAAACGTATAAAAGCGTAGTGCCAGATTTTCTGCTTGCTTTTATAAACCTAAAGAAAAAAAGTTTGGAACCCGCTATTACAATTGATGGTGAGAGCCTAGACCTATTACGAAAAAATCGGGACTACAGGCTATTTTCTGCCCCACGAGTATAGCACCAAAATCGGCACTGTAAATATCGGCATTTTGTAAATCGGTATTATGTAGAATCGGCACTCCGTAAATCGTTATTATGTAAAATCGGCATTCTGGAGTTAATTCGTAATGGAGCTATGGCATTTTCAGGTTGCTCATCTGGAGAAAATACGGGTTAACGCGGGATATTTGCGTCCACATTATTTCCCCGAGGCTATTAGCATCGTGACCGTGTTGCTCGAGGCAGCTTTGGTCCAGGTAAGAGCTGAGAAAATTGCTTTTCGGTCTGCAAAATTGGTGAAATCGGTTTTTCGCAGTTTTGCATTTTTGTATATGTCTATAAAAGTATTGTAACTTAGTAGGAGGTACTTTAATAATTTTTTTGGTAAAACAAAACTATATTTGAACTAGAGAAATGATCTAAAAGCTTTCAAAATATTGAAAAAACCCGAAATTTTGGTCGAAAACGGCCATTATTGGTTGAAAAATAGATATTTTTGTATTTTTAATCAAATTTGTAAAGTTTTTACGTTTAGAAATAGTAAAAGGCAGTTTTAAACACTTCGCTAATTGGAACGCAAGAAAAAAAATTTTGTTCCTGATGATGCGAACATACAAAAACGCGAGCTACAAGACGGTTTCAGTACCCACCCATCAACAATGCTCCTCGTCTCACCTTGATCGACTTTAATATTACGTTTTACTATGGTGATCAGGTACGGCGCCAAAGCAGCTAGTCTCAATTTGCATTGTTTTTGGCGAATCACGTGAAACGTGTTTCTGTGTGGTTTTTGGTGAAACATGATTAAGCTCGACCATGAACTTCCGGAGCAGCTGCGAGCCTTTCTGACAACGCAGCTTGGACCTGACGACCGCGTGGAGCTCCTCTATCACACCGATGTATGTTAAAACAAGGATCTTCAAGAGATTGAGGTCCTTTCGTATTATCGGGGGCGGGGGACCAACTTTTTTTCTGAGGACCTAATTTTTTTTAAATATAAAGAGTGGAAGTGTTTTTAAATGCCTTTTCAAAATTTCTAAACGCGAAAACCTTAAAAATTTTTATCAAAACATACAAAAATTTCTATTTTTCTACCAAAAATGGCCGTTTTTGGCCAAAATTTCGAAGCTTTTAGAAGTTTTTGGGCAGTTTTTCTAGTTGAAATCTGACTACATATTGCTAAAACACTGTTAAAACACCTTCCATTAATTTACCAGGCATTTTAGACCGATACAAAAAGTTCGGTTCCCCTCCCCCGATAATGCGAAAGAACGGAGATTGAAATTCAAAATAATCATTTTTAGAAGATTAAAGGTACGGAGAATGCGGGACGCCACCGGATGGACTTTTGGCTCCTAGTACTCGCTCAAAACGGAGCGCGCTGGACCGATGAAGTGCTGGAAAGGAAACTTTTGCCTATCCGCTTTGGGCTGAACTGGGTCCGGGAATGGTCGGCGAAAGGAGCCCGACGCGAATAGGAGCGATTTTCATTGGCCTTTCTTTGTATTGGTTCTTTCGTATTATCCAAGGGGACCGAACTTTTTTTGTATAAGTTCAGAGATGCCTAGTGAGTTCATAAAAAGCGTTTTAGTAGTGTTTTTAGCGATATAAGACTATCTTTAAACTAGAAAAACTATTTAAAACGTTAAAAAGTCTAAATTTCGGTCAAACATCGCCTTTTTTCGTCGAAAAATCGATGTTTTTCGTATTTTTTCCTACAACAATTTGTAAAGTTTGCACGTTTAGGAATAGTACACCGTTTAGAAACATTTCCAATAATGTAATTTTTAAAAAATGGGATCCTAAGGAAAAAAGTTCGTTGCCCCGCCCCCGATGATGCGAAAGAACCTTTTCCTTTCCTTTCAATAAATCGAAGGCCGAAAAAGTCTCATCAGCGATTTATTTATTATCCCCCCACAACAGACAAAAAAAAGAATTCCAACTGTAAAAGATTAGCCGATCCCTTCAACGCGGCCTCTTCAATCGCTGTCCCCATCGTCGGTGAAGTCGAAGGGCTTGAAGCGGGCTTGCAGCTGCTTCGACAGCTCCGTCTCCTTTTCCTTGTCGAGGGCGCAGGCTCGCCAATCGGCCTAAAAAGGGTGTATTGAAAAATTTGAAGGATTTCTGACCTTTTCCTCGCAATCCAAGACAGTCGGCAATACAAGGACCTCGCGTCCAAATTGAAGCGGGAAATTGCGCATTGTGGTCGTGAAAAGCCGGGTCCCATCCGGCAGCTCGACAAAGAAATACGGGCAGCCCTCGTTCACCAGATCGGCTAGCTGGAAAAAAGGTGCAAATCATAGTCAGGTTCTTTCCCATTATCCGGGAGGGGGGGGCAGAGCTAAGTTTTTTCTAGAAGGCAATTTTTGCAAATAAAAATACTGGAAGTGTTGTAAGTTGCTTTTTAACTATTCCTAAACGCAAAAACTTTACAAATTTTTATTCAAAAAATAAAATTTTTTAAATAACCCATTTTACGACGGAAAAGGGCCGCCTTGTACAATTAAATTAATTACCCAATTTACTAGACAATTGAATTATACAAAAAAAAACTGTTCGCCTTTTGTCTAATCTGGAAACGCATAGTAACTTAATCGCAAGTATCTTAATAATCTTTTTACTAAAATGAAACCATATTTTAACTAGAAAAGCTATCTAAAACTCTAAAATGTCACATAGTCGAAATTTTGGTAAAAACGGCCATTTCTGCCTTTATTTATAAAACTTTGGAAAGTTTTTAGCAAAAACTTTTTACGCATAGGAAGAGCAAACAACGGGTTGGAAACACTTCCGCCATTTCTATTAGAAAATGGCATCCTAGAAAAAAGCCCGCCCCCCCCGCTAACAGCACAGTGCCAGAAAACGAGCAACTAGCTACTAGCACTTAGCAAAAACTAATTCCTCACATTATCCTTCTCGCCCAAAAACGTAAACTCGATGCCGGTGAGGTTGGCGTGGTTGAGGAAGGCCGTGCGCAGCCCTTTCACGCAGCTCTGAAGCAGTAGTCTTTGCAAAATCGTCCACAAAGTTCACCTTCGGAACGGGGATCATTTGCAGCTGCATGTGCTGCGTCTTGAAATTCCGCTCGAATACGACTAACGCCTTGTTTGCCTGAAAAAAATCAGGAAAATCAGAAAATCTAGTTTTTTGATACCTTATCCGCCGCCAATGTAAACGCATTCTTGTACTTGTCGAGCTCTTCGCGCACGTCGGCCGGGGCAGCGACTAGTGATTGGATATGGCCTAAAATATGCTTAAAAGGATATACTACGCAACGCACCAATGGACAGCACAAGCACGTGATCGTCGGTCAACGGCCCCTTCGGCATTGCCGCGTAGCAGGTGCTTCCAATCGACACCTAAAGTCAGTTTTTCTATCCGGGGCCAAAATTGCCATTTTTTAATTTAACAGAATTGGCCAAAACCGTCAATGATCAATTCTATATTTTCTTTAATTCATTACAGGGGTTAAAAATGTAAATACAAGCTATAATGGCCGCAAACAACAGAAAATGCGAAATCTAAACCAGGACACATATCTCGAGTCTCAAAAGCCCCTCGCAAATTTTAAGAGATTTGCATACATTTTCGAAATCTCAATCTCGAAAATCAGTTTTTCAAAGCCTAATAGTGACGAAATTCATATTTTCGAGGTTATTTTAGAAAATTAGTTTTTTTAGAGTCTTATTCGAAATTCGAAAAATTTGCGTCGAGCTTACAATAGGAAATGACCGCAAGGAACAGCAAACCAAATTTGTTGAAAACAAAACTCTGGAAAACATGACTTTCGAAAAAAAGGATTTTCGAAAACTGCTCGGCTGCCTTTTGAGGACCATAGAAACGATCAGAATCTTCGGTTTTATCTTTGTTCCAATTTTCATCCTAGTCCCTTTTAGGCCAAGAAAGCCGCTCTCATACCACTAGATGCTTCTCGGCATCGACGTTCGACAGGCAGAACCAGCAGGGCTGCTGCTCGCGCTTGTTCGCCGGGCCCTCATCTACAAAGAATATAAAGACCAGTAAAAATGGCCTACCATTTCCCAGGAATTCTCGATTATTTCGTTTTCGCGAGCCGATATCATTATCCTTATTCATGTCGACGTTCATGTCGAAGAAGTTATTCCGCGCCCCGCCCTCGTTGGACAGCTTGTTCATGATCGCGTCGCGTTCCCTGAAAAATTTTGAATTAGAAATTCCAGCAATAAAACCTACTTTTCCACTTGTGCCTCCAGAATCTCCATGTACGGGAACTCGGTGGCGTTGTCTGGCTGCACCGTCAGCTCGTCTCTAAATCAAATATACAAAAATTCACTAAAAATAACCTCGTCATGCCCTTCAGCGGCTGGATGGCAAAGGCGTAGATCCACTTCTCCTTTTCCGTGTTGTCCACCGCGGCGAGTCCGATGAACCGGGTGCAATGCCGTTGCTTCTCCACGATGATACGATGATTTCTAAAAACAAATAGCTTATCAGCCCCGAAATTCCGAACCTGTACGGCGTACGCTCATAGTGGATCCCGCCGCCGGCAATGTGATACCTTGGACGAAGGCCTAAAATCGTTTTAATAGTTTCTTTCATAAAAATGTATTACCTGTCGCGAGTCGTGAGATCAATTTCGAGCCCTCAATCTCCTTTGGTGGCACGTTTGTGGAATGCTTAGCCACCTCAAATAAATTTTACAAATGTTAAAACTGGATAAACCTCGGCCGGCCAAACGCTCGTCAGCAAAATGTCGACACCGGTGAATTCGCCGACGGCCTCCACCGGCTTTAGCATGTTGACAACGTCGTCGATGTTGAACTGAACTTGGCTGGAGCTCTGGCCTAAAAAAGAACATGATCAGAAAATTTTTCCAGTTCGATAAAAATTAATTTTCCGGGAGACCTCGATTCCCTCTTCCAAGCATAAAACTCGATCCAGATTAGGGTGTTTCTTAGAATCTTGCAGCTCTTGCAGAACATTGAAATATTGAAAAAAAAACAATTCTAAAACATCTAATCTGTTTATATGAAAAAAAAACTGGATCCTAATAAAAAAATCCGGTCCTTTGGAAAAATTGCATGAATATGAAGAGAAATTTGATAAATTAAATCTAATTTTTCGATCTAAAGCCCCTCTCTTTCTAGATTGTTCGAAGTTTTTAACGTACTTTGCCATGGAATATGGAGTAAAATTCGGTGCTAATGCACTTGGGGGGCAGTCCCGATTTTGACTACAAGACGCTCCAAATGCCGTTTTTTAAACTCGAAGCCTCTGGAAAAGCTAAGCCAAGCCTAAGCCTAGGCTTAGCTTCATAAAAACGAAGTCTAAGCTTAGCTTGAGCCAGGTTAAGCTTAGCTCTAAGCTTAGTCCTAAATGACCCCATTTTGACCACCTAAGGCAATTTAAAGCTCAAGTTAAGCTTAGCTTGGGCTTAAGCTTAAGCCTAAGCCTAAGCTAAGCTTAGTTAAAGCTAAGTTAAGCCTAGGCTTAAGCAGAAAACCAAGTAGCTTAAGCGGAGCGTCTCGTAACCCCTTACTACCAATTTCGGACTGCCCCCCCTAACTGCATTAGCACCTAATATTCGTAACCGATTACCTTCAAGCCCGCTCATATAAGCGATCGTCAGCCCGGACGGCGAATTGAGAATGCCCCTCTTGCCAAGATACGTGATGTCCGACGTGATCTCGGCATTCTCGTCCGGGTAGTAGGCAGAGGTCGAGGGGCAGCACGGTCCTAAAAACTAAACTTCAAAACCTGAAGCTCAATCCCTACCGAGAATGTAGGTGTGCACCGGGAAATCGATTTGCCCGTCCATCAACTTCCGGTTCAGGTCGTCGTCCTCGCCGAAAAATTCGCCCACGCACAGTAGCATGTCGAAGGGGCCGCTCTAAATTTTGTTACACCCGAAATTAAGCGTTTCACGCACCTTTTTGACGATTTGGTTCAGCTTCTTCTGCAGCTGGTAGAACTTGCCGTTCACGTCGCCCACCGCCAATATTTTCGTGGGCGCCATCTGGAATTTGATATCCTTTCCACATAAAAGATCTTTTTAAATATTCAGAATTGACGAGAAATAATGTAGATAAGGTTTTATAAAACTTAAAAAAATAAAACTAAAATGTTTTCGTCGCCGCACTGAAATTTTACACTGTTTTTAAGGGAAAAGCCTTAGAATTGTGGCCAAATAAAGTAGTATTTTTGAAATATATATAATTCTTACAATATCAAATTACAGTTTACAAAACAAATCGATCGATGCAGGCGTAAAGTTCCGTACAAGAGCTACACGACAATCCAAAGGACGGATTTTGACGTTACGGTGGACAGAGCTGTACGCGAAAGTTGGTGATTGCGATTTTTTTCCTTTTCGGATTTTTCCTGAAACTAATTCAATTTTTTTTTAAATGCATCTAAATTTCTCTATTTTCGATTTATGTTTGTTTTCATTTTGACATCATTCCATTTAGCTTCCAGCCCGAATGAGCAATTTCCGGGTGGTCCGCCGGGGGGCCGAAACCCCGCCCGCAAACCGGCCTCAACAGGTATATTGTTTTGCTATCTTATAAATTCTGATAATGAGCACTCTTGTTACGTTAGTTTTTTGGGCTTGAACTTTATACTTTGCTCTGAAAATCTAGAAAGCCTTTGGTCTGGTATTCTCCCGTTTAAGACTACGTGAGTTACGCTTGTTTTACGACATTTCGCCCTTTTATTACGACATTTACTATAATATTAGCGGAAGCCTGTGAAATGCCCTTGAAATGGGCCCAATTCAAAGACTACGCTCGAAAAAAACGGGGCGCAGTAATCCATTTGGCTGCGGGCACAGGGTTTGGGCGCCTTGGCGGGGTGCGCTGCGGAAAATTGGAGGCCTTCTTGGAGGTGTTTCCTCCGCTCGTTAGCACTTTGTTCTAGCCTCGGCGCTATAAAATTTGTTGCCTAATAGATTTAGTCAGGTCCAGCGGGCCCAAGAAGATTACGCTTTCCTTGAAATCCCGTGAAAGAAATTGCGAGCATTCTATTTTGGAGCTGAATCAAAATAATCGCGTAATATTTTAAGCTATTCTGGAAAGTTTCATCTTTTTGATGCGCAAATGTATCTTTTCCGGGCTTCATAATACCAATTCCGCACGAAAACCGATTGACATTCCTTTAGCGGCCATTTAATTCACAAAATTACTTAATTTTTTATTTCGCAATAAATTTACCTTCGGCTGATTTATCGATTCGTTCAGGCGCCCATGAAAATGGGTGATGCGGAAGGTCGACAACGCGAAGGAGGACTGCCTGGAGGACAGGCGCAGCCGCGTCCGGATCCGGGCGTCGGTGCCGCGCCTCAAAATGATGGACCACCGCCGCCATATGGTACAGACAGCTTTCTAGAATTATAATGATTACCTTTTTAGAGCAAGAACCGGCCGGCGGGTCCGCGTCGAAAGAGACGTTGCCAAGTTACGCAGAGGCCACGCGTCAGGTATTTTCCGGACTTTTTTAAAAACTTGTTTTTAGAGCCAAGACGCTTCGAACAACGCCGCCATCCCGCTGCCACCGGTGCCGGACTTCTCGGAAGTGCCGCAGCCACCGGTGGCCTCGTGCTCGACGTCAAGCTTCACAGCCGTCACCAAGGTAAACAATTTTGTGTGTTGACGCATGCTCCTACTTTTCCAGGGCCCGCCACTCGACGAGAATGAGCACCCGTACGTCGGGCTCATCAACCAGGCCATGACGTGCTACCTCAATTCGCTCATCCAGACGCTCTACATGACGCCCGAGTTCCGGAACAGCCTCTATCGGTATGAATTGGTGATTTTTTCGCAATATCGGGGGAAAATAGCTTTTTTCTTAGGATCGAATTTTTGAAAACCAGCGGTTTCTAAACTGGATTTGCCCTGCTGAACGTAAAAATTTTGCAAATCTTGATTAAAAAGTATGAAAAATGAGAAGGTTGATCCCCCGATATTGCGAAAGCATAAAATTGGCTTTCTTGATTATTATTATAACCGCTTTTTTAGTTGGGAATACGATCGGAGCGACGGTGGCGCGACCAACATCCCGTGCCAGCTGCAAAAGCTATTCGTCATGCTGCAGGTATTTTTCTAACTCTCAACCGATCCATTTTCTTTTAGACAACGGACAGATGCAACGCCGAGACCACCGAGCTGACGAACAGCTTCGGATGGACAACCACTGACGGTACAAAACATTAAACGTCGCTTTTTACGTGTTCTTTTCAGCCTACGAGCAGCACGACATCCAAGAGCTGTGCCGGCTGATGTTCGAAGCGCTCGAGAACCGCTGGAAGAACACGGCGCAAAAGGACCTCATCCAGAAGCTCTATAGGTGTGTTTTAATCGGTTTTCTTGATTTTATGTTTAGGGGTACGATGGAGGACTTTGTGAAATGCCTCGGATGTGGCAACGAGAAAGTGAAGCCCGACTACTTCTTGGATCTGCCGCTCGCCGTGCGCGCTTTCGGCTCCCAGAATTCCTATCACAGTGTGGTCAGTTTTAGCAGATTTTGGCTTCTCCATAGCTCTACACTTTCTGCGGAACGTTCATATTTTCGCACGTCAAAAATCGATATTTTCATTCTTTTGCCGTCACCCTTCCGGCGCGTCTGAATGGCTTTAGGGGATTAGTGTGATGAGTATGGCGCGTGCGAGGGTGATTCATAGAGAGGGCTGAGTCGGGAATGAAAAAAAGAAACAATTTTATTTATTTTTGAGCTCGGGGACTGTTTTGGTTTTGCTTAGGTTTAGCTTTTGCTTTTTGTTTGGTTTTCTCGGTTGATTTATTTCATGATTTTATTTCCTTTTCAGGAGGAAGCCCTCGCAGCCTTCATCCAGCCCGAGACATTGGACGGCGACAACCAATACCACTGCGACTCATGCGAAAAGAAGCAGGATGCGCAGAAGGTACAACGTCCTTCTTTTCCACAATTTTCCTTTGATTTAGGGCTTTCGCATCACGCAATTCCCTTACCTGCTCTCCATCCAGTTGAAGCGCTTCGACTTTGACTACAACACGCTGACCCGGTGCAAGATAGTGGACAGGTTGGTGTAGGCTTTGAAACCATGTTTTTCTTTAGGGTCACGTTCCCGGATGTGCTCAACCTGAACCCGTTCGTCGGCAAGGCCACGCCGAAGGTCGCGCGCAGCAGCGATGTGAAAGCCGGACAGCAGATCGACCACGAGGCCGTGATCAAGATGATTCAAACAGAGGTAAACTAATTTTTTTTAGTGCCGAAATCTCCAATTTTAGGGTGAAAACGTCTACGAGCTGTTTTCGGTGATGGTGCACTACGGCACGGCGAACGGCGGCCACTACTTTGCGTACATAAAGTGAGTTTTCTTGACTTTGCTCTATTTTTTGCTCTGTCTTTGGGCTCTATTACATTAGACTTTTAGAAATCTCGACCAAGAGAAGTGGTACGAGTTCAACGACACGAAAGTCGCCTGCGCCTCCCTCCACGACATCAACAAGACGTTCGGCAGCTTTTCCGGCAATCAGGCCGTCGCCTACATGCTCGTGTACCGCAAGGTAAGCTTTCAACTACTGGTTACCTATTTTTATCGTGTTTTAGATTTCCCTCGATCAGAACGAGCACTTTTTGCGCACCGCGGAGCTGCCGGAGCATATAAACCGGTTGATGGCCCGATGGACGCAAGACGAGGAAAACCGGGCCAAACAACTCGAGGCCGACGCCAAGCTGGTCAAAGTGGGTCCTTGAGCTCTTTTCTGTTAAAATCCGCTTCAGATCGTCGTGCAGCTCAACGTCGCCACCAAGGTGCTTTCAAGAAGCCGCCCTCCGGTGCACCAGTTCGAGCTGTCGCGCGAGAATCAATTGGGGTACGTATTAAGAGTAGCATTTCTAGCCTTGTTTTAGGGATATCATCAAGGAGAGCGCCAAGTATTTCGTCGCGGAAGAGGAGGACTTGCAGCTGAATTTCCGAGATTGCCGCCTGTTGGAGTGTGACGCGCTGCACCGCCAGATCACCTACGAGCACACGGCGCGCAATGAGCTGAACAAGGTCCGTTCAACTCTTCATTTTGGGACGATTATGCTTTCGAAAATCAGTTTTTCATAAAGTTTTGTTTCGTTTTTTTCGAAAGCCTCGTTGTGGCAGTAGCTTTTCCGCGAAACAGAATTTTGATCGACGCTATTTTTCGGCTTTTTTATTTTCGAAAAGATGGATGTAAGATTATTTACATAATTTTTTTATCAAAGTTTTAGCTGATCGACTCTCGGCTGCCAACGATGGGCTCACACAACGGCTACAAACCCTCGCGGCCCGAGCTCCATTTCCTGCTCGACGTCAAGCGTCCCGAGAACATGTTCTACCCGGCGTTCCCGGAAAGTCACGAGTCGGTGTGCACCTTCCAGGTAAATTTCTTCTGTTGTTCGAAACTTTGTATTAGGTGTTCGTCGTCGACTTTGTCAACGATCGCCTCTCGCGTTTCCTGATGGCCGTCGGCAGGAAGGAGAGGGTCATCGAGGTGCGCAGGAAGATCGGCACCATCCTTGGCACGACCCCGCACGAATTCTTGCAATATCGGTGGGTTTTTGCGAAGGGTTTTCGAATGTTTGTAGCTGCTATATTTATATTCTAGTTTTCTATTTTAAAACTTTCAATTGGCTAAATTCTGCTACCCTAACCAGAATCCCGTTTCCAGGCTCTACTACGAGCGACGCCCACCGAATCAACCAAGCACGCTGGTCGCCGCCGAAAATGGCTTCCCGCTCTGCCAGCTCTGGTCGGACAACCTCTCGGAACCCGTTGCGGTATTGCTCCTGAATTTCCTTGATCTTCTTCTTTCAGCTGTTCATCGACGGCATGGCGGACAGCTCCATTGAACACCAACAAGAGGTTGCGGCCGATCGACAACTGCCTTTTCAGGTTGAAGATTTTCCGAATAGAAAATGTAAGTCGTTTTTTTCTAGGATTCGCGCATGTTCCATCTGCTCGACCGCAACAAGCATTCCATCGAAATACTCGTCGAGTTACCAAATGAAGGTGGGTTTTCTTTCCTTGTGCACTTAATTTCCCGATTTCAGAAGAAATTACTCGTGCCCAGCGACTCGGCCACTTTGGCGACCCCGTCGACCCGGAGATGATGGATGCCACGGATTCGATGTCGTTCTCGATGGACGTCGTTGAAGCGCCATCTGAGGTGGCCACCTCCGCCAGCGACGAGCCCACCTACTCGCTGGAGCTGCTCGGCCAGCCCGAACCCCTGATTTTTGGCGGCTCCGATGCGGCTCCCGCCTGCAGCCAGTCCAGCTCGCTGGACGATGAGGACGAGCTGATGACGCCCGGCAGCTTTTGCAACAACACACCACTGGTAGGGGAATAATTTCGTTGTAAAATAACATCCTTCTTTAGCTCTCTCCAAACGTGTCCGAGGGCGGCGAAGATGATCCGATGGGTGCCGGCGAGGAGAGCCAGAATAGGGTGCGGATTTTGGTGCATTTTCCATAATTTTTGAATCCAGATGGACATTTGGGGCGACAAGACGACGTACACCCAGGAAGAACACTACACGGCGCTAGATGACATGACGGTGCGTACCTTTTAGCAATTTATATTTTGCATTGGTTGAGTTTTATTCGTTTTAATGCTTTTTGGACACGTTCTATCCAGAAAAAAATTTGAAAATACAAAATTTATTCAAAAAAGGAGCGTGCTCGGAATTCATGGTATTTGTATATCAAGTATAAGTCCTTTTTCAGAATGCCACACGGGGCAGCCTGATCGATGATCCTGGAGCGCGACTTCAAGATCCGCCCCGAGACTGGCGCGAGCTGATCCGCGTGCTTGAAACTACACAAACAGGTGATTGTAAAATGACAATGGCTGAACTTCGGTTTTTAGACACGCATCCCGAGCTCCGTCTCGACGTCGACCGCCGTCTCCTCACCTACAAATTCAAAGAGTGGCTGGCCAGGTACCTCGACTATGACGAGAGGAAATTCGGATTGGCCCGCTATCAACCGGTAATATTATTTGCTAGGTCGTTACTGATCTACTTTCAGAATTCCGACCAAAATGTCGAAATCACCACCAAGGCGGACACGACGATGGAGGAGGTGTGCAGGATGTCATTGAAGGTAAGACCGGCTTTGTTAGTAAAATTCTCTTTTTAGGTCGCGCTAACTCTACGTGCTCCGCTTCGTGAGGGTGAGAAGATGTTGCTCGTTCAACGCTTCTGCACCGAGGAGATTGATGTAAAGCTTTGTTTTACTTTTGTTAACCTTTTTAAGCATTGTTTTAACTTCTTATTACGTTTGCTTGTTTTATTTTTCAGTGAATTGGTGAAGCAGATTATTGTAATTTTTAGTATGCCCGACAAGCCCCTCTCTGCCGCCTCCATTGCCGGACAAATACGCCAATCGAGGCCCTGCTCGAGCAATGCCGTCGCCACCTCGCCGTCGACTTCAACGATGAAGTTCCTGTTGAAAGGTTTATATTTGTGTTTTTATGTTCTAAAATCTTTTTAGACTCCGCTTCCGCGCGATCGAGGACGCGCTGCGCATGACCATGCTGCCGACGACCGGCCACATTGGACCCGTCTGGCAAGACATTGTCTATCTGGAGATTTTGCCAGGTAAAATTTATTATATTTCCAAGCACTCTTTAATTTCAGAAGAAGCCGTCGGCGCCACCGGCCAGTCGATCTTCATCCGGCGCTACCGGCCGTCGGTGCCCGACTTTGACGCGGCCGAGGACCTCTTCATCGTGCCCACCGCCGAGAATCAAGAGCAGACGCTGCGCCAAGCCATCTCGGAGCGCTCGAACATCCCGGCTGATCGGCTGCAGTTTGTTGAGGTGCGTTTTGGAGTAGATGGACACCATCCCGAAACACAGAACCCGAAAAGTTAGGTGATCCATAGAAAAAGAGCTCTTTTTCTATGCAAATGAAGTTTTTCTGGACAAAATTTTCAAGTGCGCTTCAGGATGGCGTCTTTTCGGCATGGTGTAAATATTCCTCATCTTTCAATTGTACTTTTGACTTTCTGTTTTTTTTTAGCCGACCAACCAATGGGAGAAGTTCCCGTACGCCAAGACGCGCATCCAGCTTCACGACCGCCATCGCTGGACCTCGGAATTGAAGTTTGGTGAGAAGTCGATCGAGAAGCTCGCCGGCAAGGTTCTTTACTACAGGTAAGCGCTTTTGCGGAAGATTTTCGAAATATCGATATCCAGAATTTGAAACTTCATAATTTCGAAATTGTTGTATTTGGGTTTCCGGGAAATTTGGTCCTTGGTTCGACGTTACGAAATTTCGGGATTTGGATTTCGATATTCTAATCGCAAATACTTTTGCACATTTTTTGCTGTTTTACTTTCTTGGACATATAATGTCTTTTTTTTTAGGGATGGTGGCGAGGAGGTGAAGGTGCTCACCGAGGAGGACCGCAAGCAGATGAACATCAAGGAGCAGCGGGCGAACAGCGGCGCGTGGAACACCACGGTGCGTTTCTAACTTTGGTCTTGTTTTTCAATCATAGCCGTTGTACAATTTGTAATGTTATTCGAATCCTAAATCTAATTTTTTTTTGCTTTAGAAATACCGACGTCACGAGCGCCCGCTGCGCATCAACATGGGCTCGATGTCGGAGGGCTGATCGTCTTCCGCCAGCGGCTGGTCATCTCCACCCCGGCGCCCAACAAACAAGCACACTACTTCTAGCCCCCGCTCCACGTTACTCTTGCTGTGATCACCTCCCTCTCGCCGGTTCGCCCCCACTCTCCTTCTCCCACTCGCTCATCGAACGTGCTGTGTTCATCTTCGCCCCCCAGTTGTTGCCATTTCTAGGCGCATTCTGCCCCCACACAGACTTTTGTTAGCACCCCCCTTTATAGCTCCCCAAAAATTTTATAGCACCCACCGGAAATTGTAAATTAAGTGCAGCCACCCCCGTTTGTTTATGGCAACGTATCCGTCGGGTCGTCCCCCCCATCCACACCGTCTTCTTGTTGTTCTGCTGCTTCCCCTTTTGTCATCTCCGTAATTACAAATGCCTTACACAAAATGTTTGGTCTTCCCCCTCTGCTCGAATAATTTGCACATTCTCCCCCCTTCCCCTTTCCCTCAATCGAATTGTTCTCCGTTTCCGTTGCCCGTTGATCAGACGAAATAAATTTTACGCGACCTTGTCGAAGTTGAGGGGAATGAACGGCCGATGGAATTAAGGTGATGATTTAGGCTGATCGTGCAGGTGGCTCGAGAGCTAGAAAAACTTCGACCTCTAGGTGCGCGGTAGATGAACCGGCGGGCGGCGGCGAAGGACAAGGGCATAAGTGTGGTTTCGGCAGCGCGCCGAAGCGCCGTGGAAGCGGTTTTTTCACAAGAAAAGCGACTCGATAAAGTAACTGTTTTGATTGATTTTTTCTGTTTTCAAAGTTCTTTGAGGAAAGTTTGTTCGTTGACCGGGAATTTTGAAAGTTTTGAAAGAATTTTGACGCTTCCAAAGCGATGAAAAAAGCTTTTTTTACCAGGGTTTCTCCTTGTCTTGTATTGTATTGGAAAACCCGCGATGTGTAGCTATTTTAATTGCTCTTTACTATTGTCGATTTCAACACAACCAAATGAAAGCTTCAAAAGAGCTATTTTTCGCGGGGTTCTTTCTTCTGCGCAACTTTACTAAAATCTCGTTTTTACGTTGAAATATCCTAGCGAAACTACATAGTTTTAGGTTTATCGTACCCCTACGCGCCAAGTCCCCCACAAAAAACCGGCTGACAAATGGAATCGGCCCCTCCGCGGCGGTTGTGGTGGTGAGGAGTGCTGAGGGTGTGTCGGCCACCCATCGAAGAAGATGCTCTTCTTCCTGGAGAGGGCGAGAATATCTACGGGTCCCCGGGGGATACCACCAAGGGAGCAGCACAAGGAGAAGCATCTCCCCCGGATTCGAGCACAACTTTTTCTCGCGTTGCTCGGGCTGAAGAACTCGAACAACACTTCCCCATCAACTTTGGATGGACAGGGGCGCGCGCGCGAGCTTTTTTTGACGTCGGCTTCTTGACGGCTTGAACAAGTTGGCGGCTTCGCATTTCCGGCGACCGGTTCTTTCGCGATATCGGTGGGAGAAATGTCTCGCCAATTAATAATAAATACTTGAGTAGGGCTTTAATCGAATTGAACTATATTTGAAGCGGAAAAACAATCAAAAACAAGTTTCAAAAAAAATTTTTACTCGCAATTTGCGGCGGAAATCGGGCTAATTTGGTGCAAAAATAACTTTTTTAATAAATTTTGAAAGCCTTTACGTTTAACAGCAGTAGAAAAGCAGTTTAGAAACACTTCCTCTATTTTTTTAATCCTTAGAAAAAAAGCCAAAAATGCTTTTTCTAGAGTTTCCTCAACTTTTTAACGTGGCATCAGGCAAAATTTCGAATCTGGAAACTATTTAAGAAGTTTCTCAAAGTTCTAGATGCTTCCGATGCTATTTTTCCGCAATTTTTCTGTATCTCAAATCTTAGAAATACTTCTAAATGAATTTGCGCATGTTTGTAGTTAGTTTTTGCGTTTTTAAGCGGATTTTGCCCTTGCCGACGCTCTTTTTTTTGCAATTTCAAGCTATCGTGATTTTGTGAGGGAACAAATTGTGTAATTTTTTAAGTTTTCCGTATGGATTCGGCCTTGCCGATCTCTTTAAAGTGCCCGAAGCGGTGGTTTTGAGCCTATTTTTCTCATAAATAAGATTTTTGAGATTTTCAGTGATTTATTGTAATTTGTGGCTTGTTCAAAGGAGATTCATGGAGATTCGACCTTGCCGATCATTTTAAAGTGCCGTGGAGGGCATATGCCGATTCGCAGCGCCACCCAGCCACCCGGCCCCCGAGTCAAGAAGTAACTCGATTTCGGGGGCCAGAGGAAGCACCCTTTGCCAGGCTTTTGCCAGCTTTTCCACATCTCCCCCCCACCCTTTCAGTGGCCTCGAATAGCGAAAGGCCGACGAACCCGAAGCCGAAGAATTGGGGGCCGAATCGAAGCCTCAAAAAGCTTCGTTAACGAGCTCTCAAAGTCGCCGGCGAACGCCTTTCACTTTTTGTGGAGAAAGCCCTCAATATATCTCTTCGCATTTCTTGAAGGGCGTTCTTTCTTAGATTAAAATCTCCGCATTAAAATTCAAGAAAAAATTCCGAAAAAGCCGTGCTAGCTTCCCCTTATCTGTCAAAACCATCACGGATCCGCAAGGGTCTCTGCTAAATTGCGATTCCTTCTTTAAAATCTTATCAGTCCTTCTCAAAAATCTTAAAAAAAAACAGCAAAACTGTAATCCTCGAGGATCTTTGTCAGCTTTCCACGTTTTCTTTGCTGAACTCGCGCAGATTCCCCAAGAATCTCTGCTAGTCTGCCAAACTTTAGAAACGAAAAACTCTATTTTCCTGAACAATCTTTGCTATCCTGCCCGTTTTCTTTTCAGAAATCACGGATTCCCAAAGAGTCTTTACTAGCTCTCCAATTTCGGACCGCTGTTTCCCAAAAAATCTCTGCTAGCCTGCCCCTTCCTAAAGATCTCTGCTAGCCTTCCCTTTCCTAAAGAATCTCTGCTAGCCTGCCCCTTCCTAAAGATCTCTGCTAGCCTTCCCTTTCCTAAAGAATCTCTGCTAGCCTGTCCTTTCGAAAATAATCTCTGCTAGCCTCGCCTTCCCAAAGTATCTCTGCCTACCCTCACTTTATAGCAATAATGGACGCCTTATTCCGGACGCGACGGGTCGACGACGCTTTTTTGAGGCATTCCGAGTGGGGCCGAAAGCTTGGAGCGCCGTCTATGATAGCTATTGGTAATTTTTTGAAGTTCTAAAGGAACTTGGCAGCCAAAACTCCATAGATTTTGGCTTGCTTTAAAACTCGCAGAAATGGTTTCAGCCTGGATCCAATCAATTCCGCTCGCCATCTTCGTGATTCTGCCCCATTCTCTGGCACTGCTTACCGGGCCCTCGACTTCATTGGCAATTATTGTGGCCTTTGTGGCATCTACATTTACAGGTAGAGAGAGAGAGAAAGAGAGAGAGAAAGAGAGAGAGAAAGAGGGCGAGAGAGTGAGAGAGGGAGAGAGGGAGAGAGAGAGAGAAGAGAGCGCGAGACAGAGAAACAGAGACACAGATAAACCGTTTTTCAGTCCTCCATCTCGCCGAGCTCTCCTGTGCGGTCCCTAAAAACTGTTCCGCCTACCACTATGCTTTTGCGGCGATTGGCGAGCTGCCAGCATACTTACTAGGGTAAGTTTTTGAGCTTTTAAAGGGACAGGGAAGGTAGGAATCTATAAGCTAAAAAATTGTGTTCAATTGACGATTTAACCTCAATCATAATTTTGAAGATGGATCCGCCTCACCCAAGCGGCTACCGTATCCGCGCTGCTGTGCCACGCCTGGAGCGAACATTTGGTGAGTTCGCGCGATTAATGCCGTCCTAAAAAACCTGAATTTCATGACCTGGAGCTTTCCCATTATCGGGGGGGATCTGAATAAAATCGAGTTTTTTTTATTTATGGGGACCAAATGTTTTTTAAATATAAATAGGAAAGCGTTGCTAAATTTATCTTTGCGATTCCTGAACATCAAAACTTTCGCAATTTTTTATAAATATTGCAAAAATATCGACTTTTTATGCGAAAATCCCCGGATTTTCAACGAATTTCGGCAAAATTTTCATGAAATTTTCGTATAGTTTTTTAGTTGAAGTGTAGTCAAAAATTTAGGAACGATGCTAGACAACAGAAGAAAATAAGAAAGAGAATAAATTTGGCAAATTCGTTTTTTCTTTCGAAATTTTTGATTCCGATTTTTGAAAATTTTTTGGCCACAATTTCGCTTTTTCTAGAATCTACTAACCGGCGGAGCGCTCTACCCTGTTGCTCTCATCGAAATGAGCCACCTGCCAAGGAACGGATCGGCCATTGCCCAAGTCGTTGTCGAGAAGTTTGACGTCTCCTCGGTGGTCGGGATGTGGCTCTGTATTCCACTGCTTTTTTGCTCGCTTACGGTGAGGGTTACTGTAGATTTTATAGATGTTTTGTAGATTTCGTAGAGTAGTTAATTTATTTTTGATCATAAAAAAGTTATTCCAGGTGCTGGGCACGGTCTCGGTGAGCCTGATGGTGGTGTGCTCGCTGGTGCTCTCCTCCTGTGCCCTCGTCGCCTTCTTCCACGCCGACACGCACAACTGGCTGATGGCCGAGTTTTTCACGAATGGCGCGCAAGGGGTGGGTTTTTGAGGAAGGCAGCAGAAAGAGCATCAAAAACTGGTGCTCAACCTGTTGATTAAAATTTGTTAGCAACCGCCGGATCCCTTTAAAAATACATCGGTCCTTTCCATGCCAATGCCCATTTTCTAGCCTCTAAATCGTGATTTTAAGACGTAAATTTTTAGAATGAATCATTTCCAAGCACGTCACCTGAAAGAGCGTAAAATTCTGAACCAGAATATCCATCCAAAAATGGAAATAGGGCAGGCAAAAAGTCGGCTTTACAAACATTTTCAGCTCCTCCAATCAAGCTCGTTATTCCTGCTACTACCGTTCGGAATCGATGCCCTGTCTTCGCTATTAGAAGAGACATCACATCCACGAAAAAAGGTGAGGAAGAGAAAGCCGAGAGAGAGAGAGAGAGAGAGAGAGAGAGAGAGAGAGAGAGAGACTCCAACGACTACAAATTCCAGATCGGCACGATGTTCCCCCTCCTCTCCGTCGGCTTGTCGTTGATCGTCTTCATCTTCTCAACCGTTGTTTCGCTGACGATACGCCCTGACGCGCTACGCAGCGCGGCCATACTTCCGGAACTGTTTAGATTGGCGAACGTACCGTCTGCTAGGTGAGCCAGAAGCAAGGAATATCTGCTAGCCCGCCCTTTCCTAAAGGGTCTCTGCTAGCATGCCCTTGCCTAAAGAATCTCTGCTCGCCTGCCCTTTCCTAAGAACCAAGAATTCCAATACTATTTTAGACCCGATCATGGCGAGGGATTTTTGAGAATACGGTAAAACACTAAAAAAACTAATTTTTGAACTATTTTCTAACCATGATGGTGATTTTTTAACATTTTCCGTGTTCATATGTACGGTCCAATACTCATTACGGTAATAGTGTACTGTAGAAATTCATAACAAATCATTTCAGCTACCTGATGGCGGTGTGCGCATTTTGCGGGCTTTCCGGCAGTCTGCTCGTCTCATTTTTGCCGGGCTCGAGGATGCTGTCTCAGCTGACAAATGTAAATTTTGAGAATTTCGGCAGCTCTCGCCGTTTCTCTCTCTCTCTCTCTCTCTCTCTCTCTCTCTCTCTCTCTCGCTCTCTCTCGCTCTCTCTCGCTCTCTCGCTCTTTATTACTATAGATATTAAGGCGTTTAGGACCGGCTCCTGCCTCTCCCGAGCGATTCGGCAAGGCGCCCCTACACGGCTACGCTACTGTACGCAGTCCAGGTTTTCGTCTTCCTCTGGTTCGACCAAAAAGTGCTGCTCGGTTCCGCGGCATTCCTGACGACGCTGAGGGCTATTGCTATTGTTGGTTTTTGATTGAGCCATGGAAGGCTAGCAGGGATTCTTTAGGAAAGGGCAGGCTAGCAGAGAACATTTGCGATTTTCAGATCTCCCTCACCCACATTCAGCACTATTTACCCGAGCCGATCGGCGTTCCGCACGAGACGACACATTATCGAAAGATTCGGGTAGGGGTGGAGCGAGAGAGGCAGAGAAAGATAGAGAGAGAGAGAGAGAGCGAGCGAAAGGTGCATTTTCTAGCCCTCCGTCGGCAGCACTTCGGTGGCAATCTCGGACTCATACTCGTCCTCCACCTCGGAAAATGTTGCTCTCCAGATGAAGGTGGCAAAAAGCGAGACTGAAAAGTATCAAAAACGGCTGGAGAAGGTGGATTTTTGGCTTCACTGGCAATTTAAGACGCAAATCCTTCAGAGAATGGGCAGCGAGGCTTCAGAATTGTTGGGGGTTCCGAGATCTGTATCGCAGTATCACACCATTGGAGGGGTAGGCTGGCAGAGATTCTCTAGGGAAGGGCAGGCTAACAGCGATCGTTTAGGAAAATACCCTTCCCTTTCAGCCTCCCCGCGAGAACTCAATCTCCTCATTCGCAGCCGTCAATAAGGGCCATAATTGTGTGGAAGAGGCCTGTTCTCATACTGGATCTCAAGGTACGGCAGGCAGGCTAGCAGCGATTTTTTGGGAAATCTGGGAGAAGTTTTGCTTCAGGGTCCGGCCGGGTTCATCTGTACGCTAGAATCGACCCGGATATTCCGAATGTTTCCGTGTTCAACTCGAAAAATGCGAATCGACAGTATGCACCGGTAAGTTAGCAGAGATTCTTTGAGAAAGGGCAGGCTAGCAGAGATTCTTTAGAAAACGGCAGCTTGCAAACATTTCCCAATTCCAGATCGATCCTATGGACACCCATATTTTTGCCTTAAAAGTGCTAATTCTCTTTTTGACGCTTTCTACGTTACTTTCGCTCGTTTTTACGACACTTGGCAGAATACATGTGAGTTGGAAAAGGCAAAAGAATCAAAAAATATTAACATTTAGGTGTCGAGCATCGTGCTGCTATTTATGTTGTTTTCACTACTGGTTCTTACGCTATTTATGGGGTTGAGATTGGTGGGTTGAGGGAGTGAGAGGGAGCGAGAGGGAGAGTGACAGAGAGAAAGCGACATTTCAGCCCACAAACGATCTCGGCTGCCGACGCCAATCCTCCACCCCATGCTTCCCATATTCCACCTATGGGGCCCTATTTCTGCTCTGTACACTTCTCGGGTCCACTACTGCCAGAATATTAGCCGTTTCCACGTCTTGGCTAGTTTTTGGTAAGGGTTTTCGAGTTTTGAAGGTACCGGGAAGGCAAAATCATGATTTTCTAGACGTTCTCTCTAGGTTTGGGACCTTACCAGCTCTGATTGAGACGCTTGAGACATTTTGGGGGAGTACTATAATCGGCAGTGCAAAATTCTTTTCCAGGCCTTCTACTGTATTTTGGCTACGGTTTCCGGCACAGCACGGAACGATACTCGGGTCCGTGTCTGATCCTACAGAATGAAGACGCAAGGAGAGCATCTGAGGAACAACAATGCGAACGGATAGTGGAGGACTACAGTTCTGTGACCAATACGATATCGGAATAAAGATTTTGAGACTAAATTTGCTCCCTTTCTCTCTCATTTCTCTCTCTCTCTCGCTCTCCCTCTCTCTCTCTCGCTCTGTATCTCCCTCTCTCTGTGTCTCTCTCGCTCTCTGCCTCGCTCTCTGTCTCTGGCTCATTCTCTGTCTCTCTCTCGCTCCTGATAACTCGAAATCTCAGCAGCCATCTTTATTCAGCACATCTCACAAAAGCATTTTAAGGAATCTTAAAGGGACATTGCCAGCAAAGCTTAAGCCAATGGATGTGGGTGTTGGATTTGCTCGAGCTGCTCCTCGCTCATATGTTGATGAAGAAGCCGATGGGATTTGAGCATCGCCGTCTCCCAGCACGACTCCGAGCAGAAACGGCATTGGAACACCTCCGGAACCTTGTGCCTGCCGGCAGCATAGCAGTCGCGGCATACCTGAAAAATCGGGCTTAAACGGGTGGGGAAGCACGACAGGATCTAGCAGAGATTCCTTAGGAAGGGCAAGCTACCAGAGATCCTGTGGGAAAGGGCAGGCTGGCAGAGATTCTTTAGGAAAAGGCCGGCTAGCAGAGATTCTTTAGGAAAGGGCAGGCTAGAAGCTTCAAGGTGGAAAGCTCGTATTTTCGAATCCCCAAAGATCTCTGCTAGCCTGTTGGCAACGTGCCAATCCTTTAGGAAAGGTCAAATCCGCCTTCTCAGCCCCGCCAAATTCACAAAAATCTGTTTGTAGTCGGCTCCCGTTCACCAAAATTCGGTTTGCGCTTTTTCTTCACTTCCGGTTTTCGCTTTGCGTTTGAAAGGGCAATTCCGGAAGTTCCGCTTAGGAGATAAGCTGAGATAGCTCAGGAATGGAGCAAGCAGGCTAGCAGGGATTCTTTAGGAAAGGGCTGGCTAGCAGAGAACTCACAAATAATCGCTTGTCCTCGCCGCGAGCCTCGCAATTGGCGCAGATGGCGTCGCGAGTTGGTGGCTGAAACGAGTTTTTCAGGTGTTAAAGGACGAATTTAGAGCTTTCTCTCTCTCTTTCGCTCTATGGCTTTCTCTCTCTGTCACTCTTTCAATCGCTCTCGCCCTCTCGCTCGCATTCTCGCTCTCACTCACCTCCTCATCCACTAGGTGTCCATCACACGGGGTGGCTGGGCCAAAACTGTAGACCGGAATGGGGGCTAGCATCGTTTTATTAAAGTTAGTAGGTAGTTCTGAAAAACGGAAATGTGATGGAGCGAGAGAGAGAGAGAAATAGTTCGAGAGAGAGCGAGAAAGAGCTTGAGGGATGTGTTTTCTTAAGGCTCAAACGCTTTTGCTCAAACTCTTGCCCAAAATGGCCAACTTGCAAAAATTCTTGAAGACAGTTCGCCACCGCCCAATTCCTGTCAGGTCAAAAAAGACAAAGCAACGAATAGCATAACCAAATATCCACGACTGGGAGTCTCCAGCTTGGTGGTGAAGCCGAATCGGGCCATTCCCAGGGAAATGGGATTTCCGCCGGCCGGCCACTGGTCGAAGACATCGCCCCCAAAAAAGCCCCAACTCGGGAAGGGGGGCGCTACCCGATAAACATCCGCACAAAGAAGAAGCTGAAACGACAAAGAAGGGCGAAGCCGATGGGTCGTCACCAATATATTTAGGAGAGCGCTTGGGGCGGGTTATTTTTGGATTGCCCCCTTCTCCGGGCTTGTCCTAAAATTGAGACGTGAGGGTTAAAATTTGAAGGGGCCGAAGATCTCAAAGATGGGCAGGGATTCTTTAGGAAAGAGTGGCTAGCAGAGTCTTTTTTAGCAAAATACTAGGGGTGAGCCTAAGCCAAGCCGAAGCCAAGCCTAAGCCTAAGCCTAAGCCTAAGCCTAAGCCTAAGCCTAAGCCTAAGCCTAAGCCTAAGCCTAAGCCTAAGCCTAAGCCTAACCTAAGCCTAAGCCTAAGCCTAAGCCTAAGCCTAAGCCTAAGCCTAAGCCTAAGCCTAAGCCTAAGCCTAAGCCTAAGCCTAAGCCTAAGCCTAAGCCTAAGCCTAAGCCTAAGCCTAAACTAAGCCTAAGCCTAAGCCTAAGCCTAAGCCTAACCTTTCTCGCCCGGTTTTAAAGGACCATTGAAGATAGGATTCGGGTCTTTGTCCTTCGCATAAAACTGTTATGACGAATATGGAATTGGAAAATGGAGCTGAGCAGAAGCATCTGACGGATAGGCCCAGGAGAGCGACATATTTATACTCGAATCCAGTCACTTCGAGGAAAGAGAGAGAGAGAGGGAGAGACAGCGAGGGAGCGAGAAAGCAAGAAAATGCAAAAACAGAGTCCACAAGCACTTTTCAAGCGATGTGTCCCATCGAAAACATCCCAAATCAGCCACCAGATCCGTCAGCCGCCCGTCCAAAAGTCCATTTGAATAATGGGGCATTGTTTTCGAGCGGAACTCGCTGGAAATGCCCTTTTTCTCTCGAAAATCCCCCGGGGGCTTTCCAGAAAGCGCATAGCCACCGGCAGAAAATCACGTTGTCGGGGCCCAGAAAATTTGGTTAGGCAAATTTGGGGCAGCTCCGTAAACTGACCGCCCTGTTTTCGTGGATGGTTGTGGAACTCTGGTGTGTTGGCCGTCTTTTTGCCGGGGGGGTTTACGGTGAGTTGGATCATGGAAAACTTGGCAAATTGGTTTCGACATACGCAGTCCACGGCACAGTATTCACGGCACAACAATACAGGGTGTCCCGAAAAACGGACCATCTGGAATTCCGCCGTGTTACACCCATACGGTCCCAAAATTGGACCAGAGTAGGAGTAAAGTCCTGTACGGCAATTACGGTTTTTGAGAGGCAGCGCAGAGGTGATGCTCCAGAGGAGTTTCGAAAAGGCTTATGGCGTTTTCAGTCTTTCTCTCTCACTCTCCCTTCTCACTCTCCCTCTCTCTCTCTCTCTCTCTCGCTCTCTCTCTCACCCTCCCTCTCGCTCTCTTCATTTCTCTATTCCACAATGTAAAATCAATAAATTATTTATTCAACAAGCTTCAAAACGTCATCTTCTCCTTTCTCGGCCCGTCGTGGGCCGACTTTATCTGCGAGTTCCGGCGCTCGGCTTCGACGCCTAAACCGGGAGTTTCGGCACAAAAATGAAGCCGAGAAAGCTCAAATTCAATACACAGTTTCAACTACTCGCCCACCAGCTTTCACCAAATCGAAGCGATCCGGCTTGGGGATGTCGTAGTAGACGGTGTCCCGGATGCGCTCCACGTAGTTTTTCAGCTAAAAGAGGTCTCTAGGGCTTGCCGTCACGCTCAAAACCTCGACAAAAAATATAGCGGGTCTCCTCGAACCCGGGGATGGGTGGGCTTAGGCTTAAGCTATGGCTTAGGCTTAGAGTAGGCTTAGCTTAGGCTCAGTTTAGGCTTAGACCCAGGCTTAGACTTAAGCTTAGGCTTAGGCTTGTAACGCACGTTTTGATGATCATGGTCGAGCAGCTCCTGAATATGCTGCGGGAATGGCAGGTAGTAGGTGGAGGCGAGGTGGCCAAAGAGGGTGCAGTCGACCTGAGAAAAGATCGCCGTCTCTTCTCTCTCCCTCTCACTCTCTCTCTCTCTCTCTCTCTCTCTCTCTCTCTCCCTCTCTCTCTCCTTCTCTCTCTCTCTCTATTCGGACTCACCATCGTCATTCTGCTACCCAATAGAAATGGCTTGTCCCCAAGGAGATCGGCGCACGCCCTCAAGTCGCGTTTCATCACCTAAAACGGACGAAGAGATTCAGGCTACCGAGCAGCAGCCGACCTCCATCAAGTCGTCGTTCGTCAAGTTCCCTGCTCCGACCATGATTCTGGCTTTCAGCTGGAATGAATGGTGTTTGCTAGGTTGTCCTTGGGCTTTAGATACTCTCTCTCGCTCTCTCTTCTCTCTCTCTCTCTCTCTCTCTCTCTCTCTCTCTCTCGCTCTCTCCTCACCTTATTCGCAAACCGACTGGCCACAAATTTCCCTAAAATCCCAGGCACCTTCAGCCCGGTGACCTCGCGGCTCATGAACGCCTGGTTGTTCAGCATCTTGTCGTTCATTAGCGTGCTGGAAGGGGTACAGTCGTTTTAAAGGGACTGTGACAGCTTAGCAAGTCCAAGTTCACTGACTAAAACGTGCTCCCGTCCAGCATACGGTCCACAGCACGTCCGATAGCGGCATCACGGGGGCTGATGTTTTCCTAAATCGTAATGGTAGCGAGAGAGAGAGTGAGCGAGAGAGAGAGAAGAGAGAGAGCGTGAGAGCCAGCCAGCCTCACCTTCACCCGAAAATGCTTGACCAGCTTGAAGATGATGACTTGTGACTCGCTGATGCGCTCGCCGTTTAGCTGAACAGATTTAAAGGTTTCCGCGGTCGTTCGTCAACTTCCCAGTCCCTTTAAAACGCGAAAATTCGAAAAAACCCAAACCTCGATATACGGTAGCTGGCCCTTGTCGGTGTGGTTGGTCCACGATTCCTTGAGCTGAAAGTTGGAGCTTGATCGAAGGCGAGGGCCGGCTAGCAGAGATTCTTTAGGAAAGGGCAGGCTAGCAGAGATTCTTTAGGAAAGGGCAGGCTAGCAGAGATTCTTTAGGAAAGGGCAGGCTAGCAGAGATTCTTTAGGAAAGGGCAGGCTAGCAGGGATTCTTTAGGAAAGGGCAGGCTAGCAGAGATTCTTTAGGAAAGGGCAGGCTAGCAGAGATTCTTTAGGAAAGGGCAGGCTAGCAGGGATTCTTTAGGAAAGGGCAGGCTAGCAGAGATTCTTTAGGAAAGGGCAGGCTAGCAGCGATCCTTTAGGAAAGGCAGTCTAGCAGAGATTAGTTAGGAAAGGGCAGGCTAGCAGGGATTCTTTAGGAAAGGGCAGGCTAGCAGAGATTCTTTAGGAAAGGGCAGGCTAGCAGAGATTCTTTAGGAAAGGGCAGGCTAGCAGGGATTCTTTAGGAAAGGGCAGGCTAGCAGAGATTCTTTAGGAAAGGGCAGGCTAGCAGCGATCCTTTAGGAAAGGCAGTCTAGCAGAGATTAGTTAGGAAAGGGCAGGCTAGCAGAGATTTTTTAGGAAAGGGCAGGCTAGCAGCGATCCTTTAGGAAAGGGCAGGCTAGCAGAGATTTTTTAGGAAAGGGCAGGCTAGCAGCGATCCCTTAGGAAAGGGCAGGCTAGCAGAGATTCTCTAGGAAAGGGCAGGCTAGCAGAGATTATTTAGGAATCGACTCGCCTCATATTTGATGTTGTACAGCCGAAGGAACGTCTCGATCTTGAGGCAAAACGGGGAGAGATTCGGGACAAAAGGGCTTCTCGGGAATTGATGGAGGATCACGAGATCGCGCTCCGGAGCCTTGTCTCCCATTGGGGAGTCTGAAAATATTATTATTTAAGGTTAAAACGGATAAAAAAGATACCGTATACCAATCACAAAACTGCACATTACGAGATTGCATGGAGCTTAAAAGTAGTGCTTATGCTGGGGCTTAGGCCTAGGCTTGGGTCTAGGCTTGGGCTTGGCTTTGGCTTAGGCTTAGCTTAGGCTTAGCTTAGACTTAGGTTAGGCAAGCTTAGGCTTAGGCTTGGACGAAAATAGGATGCCCACAATACATCACTGTACTCCAAACTACAAACTACAGCCCCGGGTACCAACCATCCGGCTCGCTGAGCTTGACCGTGGCCTCGGTGCGGAAGCGTAGCATCGCAGAATCCGGGTGTTTCTAGCGCTTGAAGGGCCGCAGAAGGGACACGAAAAGCCGAGGAAGACTTTTCCGACGAATAATGCTGGTTTTCAAGTATTTTTGTGGCTAAAATAAGCGGGCTGTGAAGTGATTCCCCGGCGGTGTGTCACACCGAGTTTGGCCTCGACCGGATATTCATCACCTCGAAGGGGATGAACACACACGCACAGACACACAGACAAACCGACAAATTTCCCGATTTTTTGCCCTCCAGGAGGTCCCAGGGGGAATGGGCCGACCCCGGCGGTGTTGGGGCTAGAAATCAACACGTTCTTCTGGGGCTTCACGGGGCTGGCGCTGCCTCTCTCACACTCTCTCCCTCTCTCTCTCTCTCTCTCTCTCTCTCTCTCTAAAATCTTGAGAATGCGAAACCTTCAAAAAATCCTATAAACTGACGAGATTTCTGGGATGGATGGCAACAAAAGATGGGAAGATCGAGCTGAGAATTCGCCATTTTTCTGCCTAGTCGCAACTTCAAAAAAATCGTAAAAAGACAAACGGGATGTTACAGCTATGCCAGGTAGCACATCGGAATCATCGTTTCAAGCTGGTTCGAATGAGTCCAGGGCTAAATTCTGACGAGACTGGCTGACGCGAATTTTCCAAAAAATCGACGTGATTCCATTTGGTCCAAAACGAGAAAAGTGACCATTTCGAAAAATCCTAGCAATTAAACCAGGGCCGCCCAGGTTTCGTAGTAAAACTTTTTTAGCGCCATTTTTCATGCTCTTTCAGATGCCAAATGAGTTACATGTTGAAAAGCCCGATCGGCCTCCGAGGTGCCGGGAAAGGTACATGGTAACATGGTGGTCAGGGCCGATTTGCAAAAAATCAAAGCAATTTAAAATAAGAAGTCAGGAAACTAAACTATTTAAAAGACATTTTTTCGGAACTCAGCGGAATAGCCGAAAAACTGACGGTAACGGTGTTTGAAATCGGCCCTTGTGCCCCAAAGCTGCGGCACCTGGCCGGGGCATAAACTGACGATTCGGCGGGGTTTACGATGACTAGAGAGAAGCTCGAAGAAATTCTTTTTCGAAATGGGTCTAGGGCAATCTATCAGAGGTTCTTGAAGAATTCTTTAGGATAGGGCAGGCTAGCAAAGATGCTTTAGGAAAGGGCAGGCCAGCAAGGATTCTTTGGGAAAGGTCAGGCTAGCATAGATTCCTTAGGAAAGGGCAGGCTAGCATAGATTCTTTAGGAAAGGGCAGGCTAGCAGAGGTTCTTGAAGAAAAGGCTTCCGGATAGCAGAGTCCGGATTGCTTTAGCAAGGGGTGGCTAGCAGAGATTCTTCACAAAATTCCCTCTCCCTTTCTCGTTCCTCGATTTCAAGCTGAACCGCAACTTTCCTGCCACCACCGTAATCCCGCGTACCCTGTAATTTGTCGTACGCAAGGCCCGCGACTTAGTGCCCTACGGCTACGCGACTTTCCCCCCGAATTCCGGGGGCGATTTTCAGCCTTGGCGCGCGCGTGTGGGGATTATTGTGTGCCCTTGTGGTTTTGGGCGCTTGTACTCTGCCCTGGGGGCACAAAAGAAGAGAGAGAGAGAGAGAGAGAGAGAAAGATAGAGGGAGAGAGAGAGAGCGAGAGTAAGCGAGTAGACGTTGGTAAACCAGTTCATCGGTACACGCGTGTAGTCGCGATGGCACAAATCTTCTAAGCCGCTCCGGCCCCGCGGGGGGACTCGGTAGAGCATTTTTTCGACACGGGTGGGTGAAGGTGGAATTTGGAGTGGAAAGTGGGGCTTAAGGTGCTTGGCAGATGGAGAAAATAGCCTCTAAGAATTTCTGCTAGCCTGCCCTTTCCTAAAGAATCTCTGCTAGCCTGCCCTTTCCTAAAGAATCTCTGCTAGCCTGCCCTTTCCTAAAGAATCTCTGCTAGCCTGCCCTTTCCTAAAAAATCTCGGCTAGCCTGCCCTTTCCTAAAGAATCACTGCAAGCCTGCCCTTTCCTAAAGAATCTCTGCTAGCCTGCCCTTTCCTAAAGAATATCTGAGAGCCTATGCCTTTTCCTAAACAAGCTCTGCTAGCCTGCCATTTCCTAAAGAATCTCTGCTAGCCTGCCCTGTCCTAAAAAATCTCGGCTAGCCTGCCCTTTCCTAAAGAATCTCTGCTAGCCTGCCCATCTCACTAGTTCACAAGCACATGCCTAGTACGAGGGTTGGATGTGAGGGGCCGGCATGGAAAGCTGCCCCGAGAGAGGCATTCCGCGGGCTTCGGTAGCTCAATAGGGAGAGCATCGGACTCGAAAGCCGTAGGATGCGGGTTCGACCCCCGCCCGGAGCACTTGTTTTGCGGATTGGACCCGGAGCTAGTCCATGGCCATGGGACCCCAGAATTCCCAACTCGAGTTTTACGACATCCGTAGACCCTAAACAGATACGGTATGCCCTGGGGGCACATTTCCAATCCTGCTCGAACCTGGGCTGACCGGTTCCATTTCCGATTGGCAAATAAGTCGGGGCGGACGCTGGCGGGAGGTTGTAAACGGCTCAGAGGGAAATTTGATTCGACTTGTTCCCGAAATGACGCAGAATTTGATACTCGACAGGTTTTAGAAAACCGATTACGCGATGGAATCCGGATTTTGGAAGTAAAGCCAGGGCAGGCCAGCAGAGATCATTCAGAAAGGCCTCTCTGGGAGCCACCCGTCCCCTTAGAGGTACTTTCGCATTATCGAGGGATCAACTTTTTGCATTGGTAAGCATAGGCCCCTCCCTAGAATATGCAAATTAGCGGCAATTTTATCATAGTGCGGTCAAGAGGCGGGCTAGCCGAGACCATTTGACAAGATGCAAATTACCCCGAATTGCGTCGTAGTACTCCGAACGGGCAGGCTAGCAGGGATCTTTTGGGAAATCCCGCAACTGCCCCGAATTCTCGAGGTGGCGGCCTGGCCAGGGTGTCGAGACCAATGCGGGGAATATGCAAATTAACCCCAATTCCGTCACAGTACTCTCGACGGCGGTGTCGAGAGTGCCGTGACGGAATTCTTCCCACTGCCATTCTAAGCCGAAAATCGTTTTTTCGTCCTCGGCGGCCCGCGGCGATGATTCAGATGCCATTGAGAGAGAGAGTGCGAAAGATAGAGAGAGAGAGCGAGAGAGAGCGAGAGAGACCCGCGCTTGACTGCATGTGTTTGTTGTATTCCGGCGGAACCTGTTGCCCGGGGCAGGCGATTTTGCCCTCGGGCACAAATCCCGGCTGAACCACCCTGTAGGAGTGGTGGGAGGGGCTTCAGTGTACTCGACCACGCTTCTGTACGTCTTTACGTCGTGTCGCGTTGTCTTCAGGCTCCGCCCACTTTTCAGAATCGCCGGCTTCGGGTTGGCAAACCATTCCATTCCATTCCACTCCGATCCTGTTGACGTGCCGACATCGAGATGTATCGTCTCTTCGTGGCATTCGCCCTATTTGGCGTGTCTTCTGCGGTGGGTAGAGTTGATTTTAAAGGAGTGTTGAAGGCAAAGGTACTAGAGATTTTGCATTATTGTAGTTGTAGACTATTTTAGAGGACCATTGAGGCCAAAAACTTGATGGATAGTTATAGATTTCGACTTTTACGGGCCATTGAAGTCCAAAATGAGCTATAGATTTAGACTTTAAAGGGTTATTGAAGGCAAACAGCTTAGACTTCTTTGATTACTGTGGATGCAGAACGTCTTAAAGGGCCATTGAAGGCAAAGCTACTAGAGATTTTTGCATTATTGTAGCTCAAGACCATTTTAAAGGACCATTGAAGGCAAAGCTACCAGAGATTTTTTCATTATTGTAGTTATAGATCGTTTTAAAGGACTATTGAAGCCAAAAAACTTTATGGGTTATTGTGGATTTCGACTTTCAAGATTGAAGCCTAAAATTAGCTATCTAGTTGGTATTTAAGGGGCCATTGAAAGCAAAGATATTTGATATGATGGATTACGGTAATTTTATAAATGCTTCAAGGGCAATAGAAGTCCAATATTTTACTTTGAAAATTTCGCGATTTAATGGACGATTGAAGCCCTTTTCCAGTGTGCCGCTAACGGAATTTGCGGCGGCGGTTTGCCGGGCGGTTCTCCCTGCTACGGCGCCGCACCTCCTCCGCCACCGCCTACGGTAGGTCGTGCCGCTTTTAGAAATACGGCTCCGACTCGTTTTCGAGGTCGTAAGTGCTAAACAGTGCCAAAAATAGCCAAAAATCAACACATTAATTTTTAGTGTGGCGGCGGATGCGGGCCGGGAATGGCCTGTGGCGTTTATGGATGCTTTAGGTATGTGTGGGAAGGGAGAAAGAGAAAGAGAGAGAGAGAGAGAGAGAGAGAGAGCAATAGATAGAGGGATAGAGAGAGGGAGAGAGAGAGAGACAGAGAGAGACATTAAAATCACTCTTTTCTTCAGGCGTAGCGTCCGTGCACTCTCCGCGGCCACCTTCACCCCGGAGGGCGCTGTTGAGGTTTTCTTGCCTTTACAGTCCCTTTAAAACTTTTTTAGGAGGTTTCCACTGAACGCGAGGCGCCCGCCATCTTCGGCAAGTCGCGCTTCAACTCGATGAGGAAGGTGGAGAAGCCGGTGCAGGCGCCAGTGGTGAGTTCGGGTTCTTTAGGAAAGGGCAGGCTAGCAGAGATTCCTCAGGAACCCGGCTAGCCCAGGCAAGCTAGCAAAGACCATATAGGACCCGAACTCCCTCTTCATGGCCTGTTGCGAGCAGCGCGGCCTCCCGGATGCCTGCCTCCAGAAGTGCACCTTCAACACGTACAGCAAGGAGTCGGTACGGTGGTTTTGGGGCGGATTTTAGGGAATGACAGTAGTCCCTGGGCCACAGTACGACCAAAAAAATTTTTTTAGCTGACCCGGATGTACTTCAAACAGGACGCCTGCCCGCTGGCCGCCTCGGCTGATATTCAGTTCTGTGCTGCTCAGGTGAGTTACGATCTATCTCTGGCTCTCTCTCTCTCTCGCTGTCTTTCTCGCTCTCTCTCTCCTAAAACCCTCTCTTCAGGGTCGCGATCACCGAGCTTGCTGCGCCCGCAACGGAGTAGCCAATACCCTAGCTGGAGCCAAGGTAAGCGGAATGGCGAGCAGAGATTCTTAAAGAACCTTCCCAGATTTCCAAGTCCCTTTAAACCTCAAAAATGCTTTTTTAGTGCCTCACCTTCTGCGACCAGCGCCCCGGGAACGTGACCCTGCTCGACTACTCGTACGTCTCCTGCTACGAGCGCTTCGAGAACATGAAGAGCTGCTTCTGGTACGACGCCGTCAACCGGTTCAACTAGACTTCCATGCTCCTTAAAAAGTTAACTTTTAATTTCAGTATTTTATTCCCCGAACTTGCTATTTTGTGATCTCACCCCGAAAAACCGAAAAATCTATACTTTGTAGCCCCCATTAACCACTTGTAGTTCGAATTTTGGTATAAATTATTTGACACGAGAGAGCTGTAAACTACAAAAATGAAGGCAAGCTGGCAGAGATTATTTGGGAATTACTCGCTCCCTCTCTCTCTCTCTCGCTCTGTAACTATCTCGCTCTCGGTCGCTCTCTCCCTCCGCTCTCTCTCTCTGTCACTTTATCTCTCTCTCTCGCTCTCTCTTTCTCTCTCTCTGTCACTTTATCTCTCTCGCTCTCTCTTTCTCTCTCTCTCTCTCTCTCTCTCTCTCTCTCTCTCTCTCTCTCTCTCTCTCTCTCTCTCTCTCTCTTGCTCTCTCTCTCGCTCTGTGACTATCTCGCTCTCGCTCTCGGTCTCTCTCCCTCTCTCTCTGTGTCACTATATCTCTCTCTCGCTCTCTCTCGCTCTCTCTTTCTCTCTGTCACTATATCTCTCTCGCTCTCTCTCGCTCTCTCTCGCTCTATCTCTCTCTCTTTCTCTCTCTCTCTCACTCTCTGTGTGTCGGGATTCCCGCCGTCGGTACTTTGTATTTCGGTATTTCGGTTGTCGGGTCATTCCTGAATAATATCCGCTAGCCCCCCCTCCCCCTTTACCGGTTCAGAAACCAATGCCCTAGGTGGAATTTTGGGCCTCCCGGCACGAAAAGGTCAAGTTCGCCGTGGAGCTCCTTGATAGATGGCGCTCAATCCGAACTTTCGCGCCAATCAGCCTGACGCCAAGGCGAGTGGATTGGTCATTTATCAGGAGGAGGGGGACAGAAAGACAAACAGACAGACGAACAGACAGGGTCGAAATAGCAGCACGGATTGACAGACAAACAGTTTGTCTAGCTATGCCCTCCTGGGCCTCCTCAAGGCCATCGAACGTCCGGCTACCCTCACTCGGGGAGTCGGACTAATTACTGTAAGATAGGGTCCGAGCTGGGGCTCCTAAATGATCTCTGCTAGTTTGCCTAGAGCGTTAAATTTCGAGGTAGAGTTTTCGGTAAAGAATCTCTGCTAGCCTGCCCGAGAAGAAGGCTCGGTAGAAGATTTCTGCTAGCTTGCCGAAGCGCAAAAATTCAGAGCTAGAAATTTTCCGCTCAGAATCCCTGCTAGCTTCCCCCGGGAAGAGGGCTCCGCAAAAGATCTCTGCTAGCTTAGCCGGGCCAACAAAATTACTAAAAATTTCCTAAATGACTTCTGCTATGCTGCCCCGAGCGCCAAGTCTAGCTAGTTTCCGCAAAGAATCTCTGCTGGCTTGCCCTAAGCGCTAAAGTTACAGCTAGAAATTCCCCAAGTAATCTCTGCTAGCCTGCTTCCTGCGCTCAATTTGGAATGCATAGTCGTTCCTAAAGACTCTCTGCCATGTTGCCCAAAGCGCTGCATTCCGGTCGAGTAGCCAGCTAGCTAGGTTCTGTCACCGAAACCTCGCGCAAAGAATCTCTGCTAGCCTGCCTCTCAAACGACTTTAGAGCCAAATGGGTCGGGTCTTCTAAAGAGCCCTCACTAGCCCGCCAATAACCGCTAAAATTCAACGCGCCAAAAGATCTCTGCCCGCTTGCCCGCCATGAATTACGATTCAAAGGTTCCGGAAGGCATGCATGAATGACATCATCCAAATTACGTCTGCACCTCCAAGAAACTCTGCCAGCCTGCTTCAGACACACCTTGAACTAGAAAAAAACCAAACTTGGAGGCGTCCAAATTTACACCCCAATTGGCGCCAAACCGGCCGGCTCGCGGCCATCAATCTCCGTTGAAGATCTGACCATCCAATCTCAATCTCCGCCTGCTCTAAAACAAACAGAGAAATGACCTTTCCGGGTAGAGTTGGCGCCGGGGGGATTGAAAATTGACACGTCAAGTTGCAATTTTTGGGGGGAGCTGAACAAACTGTTGTTTTTTGAAAGTCCGGCAATAGGAAAGAGGCGGAATTTTACCGAAATCCGTCCGCGAAGGGGCTCTGCTAGCCTGCCCTTTCCTAAAGAATCTCGGCTAGCCTGTCATTTCCAAAAGAATCTTTGCAAGCGGGCCCGATGCTGGCAAACGCCCCTCCCAGATGCTTCAAAGGATCTGTGATAGCCGCCCTGAGATTCCTTAAAAATCGGTGCGCCGCCCGCCCCAAATTCCTAAAACTTCTCGGCTAGCTTGCCGCTTGAACGCATTTCCTGAATGATCCCTGCTAGCCTGTCCTCCGGGATTTTTTTTATCCTCCGTTCGATCCCTGACTTTCCAATTCCCGCCGGTGATCCGTTACAGGGAGGCAATTTAAATGCTGTTAGCTAGAGAAAGAGAGAGACAGAGACAGAGAGAGAGCGGAATCATAGAAAAAGAGTGATTAGACAAGTCGTAAGTACCCGGGGTGCCATCTCTCATTTTGGGTATTCCTCCCCCCAGCAGCTCGTCCCATAAATAGTCCCCGGGAATGATGGCTCGACTCGTCTTCTAGGGGGTAGAACTCGAGTTAGAGAGCGAGAAGGAGAGAGAGAAAGAGAGACAGAGATAAAGAGAGAGGGTAGAGAAAAAGAGTAAATCACCGTTAGGATCACCTGAAATCACGCGCGGGAATTAGCCCCGGGAATGGAAGGACCCGAGGTAGTAGCTGGAAATGCTTTAGGAAAGGGCAGGCTAGCAGATATTCTTTAGGAAAGGGCAGGCTAGCAGAGATACTTTGGGAAAGGGCAGGATAGCCAAGATTCTTTAGAGAGGGCAGGCTAGAAAAGATCTGTGTCCTATTTAAAATTCCGAGAAATTCCGAGCCATTTAAACTTTTCTTTTTTAGCAGATTACTACGGTAAGTCTCACCTCCAGATACCAATTATTCCCTCTGGCTCCTCCTCTCGGTCACACCTGCCCTGCCCTCGATCCAATATGTGTTCCCGAGCACTTTTTTCGGCTCTTGCTCCTCCTCAATTCCCCTTATGCCATTCGGCGAGATGTGTCGATAGCATCGCCACGTAGCCTCCATCAAAGAAAGGGCAACAATTTATATCGAAAGAAAACCACCTCAGAACGGCATCGTTGACTATGGTAAAAACGGAACGCTTCGCAGTGTCGAGATCCCTAGGGCAGATTACAGGGTGGTGAGGAAAGTTGGGCAAACAAGGGGTATACGGTAGGTGACGTGCTCTCACTCGCGCTCTCTCTCTCTCCCGCTCCCGCTCCCTAGCTACCTCTCTATCTGTCTCTCGCTCTGTCTCTCTCTGTCTGTCTCTCTCGCTCTCTCGCTCTCTCGCTCTCACTCTCTCTCTCTCTCTCGCTTTCCGTAAAGAACCCTGCTAGCTTGCCCCAGTTCCACTTCAATTGCCATTGAAGCCGACAATTTTTGGTGGCGAAATTGCTCTTCTGGGTGTGGCCGCCAGCTAGAAAAAGTGTAGAGTTTCAGCATAAAATTGTGGCAGCCATGTGATGTTATCTCGAGCATGTCTTACTCACCCACCTTCCTATACACATCCATAAATCTAGATGAAGAAGTTCGACCTCCCTCGCATCGTGTTGCCGTTATTCAAGTAAAAACTTCCTTTGGCGGCCGGGCTTGTTGGAGCTGTGCTTGGGCCGGCTAGCAGAGATTGCTAGGGAAGCGTGACATCCAGAGCAGATGCAGGTCCCAGGCGGGCTAGCAGAGACCCTTAGGGAGCCACTGTAAATAATGCGGGCAAGCTAGCAGAGATTCTTGATCTCTCGGCCCTAAAGATCTCGGAATGCCAGCAGAGATTATTGAGGATTCAAGCCGAAAAGTCAGGGCAACCTCGCAGAGATTATTTGGGAATCAGGCCTAAAGTAGGCTAGCAGTGATAATTAGCCATCTGGAAGATAGCGGGCATTCTAGCAGATATTCTTGGGGAACCAGATATTAGGTGAAGGGCAGCCTAGCAGAGATTCTTGTGGAAAACTTCTCTAATATCCCCTTCCCAGTCCCTTTAATGCCCCCTCTCCCCATCCAATCACCCATTACTACGAGTTTACTATCGACACGAGCGCGTACACACATTTTCTAACGGGGAACACACCGCCGGTCCAAGGCCAGGCGAGAGAGAGCGAGAGAAGGAGAGAGAGCGATAGAGAGAGAAAATTCCTATATGGGGTCCCGGAGCGCGCAAAACCGGAGCCCCGGCGGCCCCCACCGGAAAAAAAACAAAAATTCCCCAGCCAAGCGGACGGATAGCTGATATGTTTTGAGCTATCGAAGAGGAGCTGTTGGGGAGCAGAGATTGAACGCTGTCGAATTATTGGATTTTATGCTCATTGTAGGCCGTCGCAAAAGGTCTTTGCTAGCTTGCCAAGAACTGCTTGCTTTCCGCAAGGATCCCTGCTAGCTTGTCCTGATTAAAGACGTTTCCTAAGTGATCTTTGCTAGCCTGCCCTTTCCTAAAGAATCTCTGCTAGCCTGCCCTTTCCTAAAGAATCTATGCTAGCCTGCCCTTTCCTAAAGAATCTCTGCTAGCCTGCCCTTTCCTAAAGAATCTCTGCTAGCCTGCCCTTTCCTAAAGAATCTCTGCTAGCCTGCCCTTTCCTAAAGAATCTCTGCTAGCCTGCCCTTTCCTAAAGAATCTCTGCTAGCCTGCCCTTTACTAAAGAATCTCGGCTAGCCTGCCCTTTACTAAAGAATCTCGGCTAGCCTGCCCTTTCCTAAAGAATTTCTGGTAGCCCGCCATTTCCCACGAGTCTCTGCTAGCCTTCTCTTTCCTAAAGAATCTCTGCTAGACTACCGGCCCAAATCGGTCCCATGCATTTTTCCCCGCAAATAATCCCTGCTAGCTGCAAAAAATACCCACAAAAAATTCCACCTTGTCACCAATCATCTTGTCACCCGGGAGTGCCTCTTGTCAGGCTGAAAATTTCACTGCCATCCGCAAATTTTCTTGTCCGATCAGCGCGACAAGCATAGTTACAAGGGGGCGTG